TTAATGCGTAATGAAACGAAGTAATGAAGAGTAATAGTATAATAAGTACAGGTTTTTTTTAAATCGGGAACCCTGGAACTGGGTCTTTCTCCGTGTGAATATTTGAGAAATACATGTATTCCATATGTAACCCATATTATTTTATTTTACCCATGACGTTGATTGACGTCTTTCCATATAGTACTGTATGCCAATGCTATATCTCGATTATAAAGGGGAAGTCAGAATCTTAGAAATATTAGAAATACAAAGTAGCTTTGATAGTTCCGCCACCACATCAAAGGATTGAGGCTGTGCAGTCTGCACAACGGAGCTCAGTTGTGATTCGATCAGGCCCCGCACCAGCCAAAGTGCTGGGTGCACTGTGTGGCGGTCCCGAGGCCCCCCTGTGGACTATGTTGACAGTTTGAGGGGTACTTTTCTATATTGTACAGAGTAAAGCTAGCAGTTATCCATTCATCCGATATTATTGGAGGATTCTATTGTTCTATTTGAACCAAACCTTTTGGACGTGCTTTATTACTCTATATGGTAGTGGATTATTATCCACAGTATACTATACGGAGTGAAGCATAGATCAGACCATCTTATTCCAAGATTTACTACTCCGCATATGTGCTTACAATATAGATTGACATAAGATGTCATCCAGATCATGAAACCTTGCTAGTCTCAAAATGACACTGTTCTCGTTAGTTATAAATCCTAAATCCTTTTTCAACCAATTGTCAGATTCCTCCGTTTATACCCGTGCTCACTCACTACTGTCAACGTTCAGCTGTTCGTATCAACCTCGATCATCCCAATCAACTCCCATTTTTGGACACTAATTTCTGCCAGTGATTGTTGGTGATTACCAGACGATCGCTTCTACGTAATAGTCGATCCATCATGCACATCTCTCTATCGGGATCATGGGAACCGCGTGGGGTTTCTGTATGATGAAGTCCCCCGCAGCGATGTACAACGTACATAATGCTCTAGTACGTTATAGGGGAATACGATGGAGACTAACGGTAGTTTTCCGCTATCTACTCCGTAGCGTCATTTGGACGGGGGTGCAGGTTGACTAATATGAACTTGTTCAATTGAAAAGGATTGGATAGAATATATCGCTCTTTCTTGGGCTTATCACGTCTACTCCGTACACGGGAACATGTCAGCTTTATTACTATTGGAATGTGAAATGCGGAATGTTCACCGTCTATTTGGCAATTTTGCTGCACATGTGGTGCTTCCCCATGTGGGAGGGGGGTAATTCTTGGACACCTATGTTGTAGTGCCTATGATTTTCCATACTAACATGAGCTTCGCCCGGACTTTTGTTTCGGAGCTAGTACCAAGTAGTAGCTAGCGGTATGCTCAATAATGTTATTTAATATTGCTTTTACCCCGGATTATTGGGTTTCCGAATAAGCCCGTTAGTCCTGACCTCCCTGACCTCGGCAAGAGGATATAGTAGAAATAATATGTAGAAATAAGACATCGGGGAACAATAGAGAAATACAATACATGTAATGCAAAAACGCTTCTCACACAAGCTTCCGTATCTAGAACTAAGAACTACGAGGGATTTTCACTCGCCAATCACAGCCCTAAGAGATCCCCATCTTAATTTCGCACAAAGGCACTATCTACAGCGCATCTACAAATGTACTTCTATATGTTATATGCACTTACACGTCTAATATCTCCAAATACCCCTCTTCCCAAATTCTAGTCCTCCGCGACACACGTAGACTATTAGATGCATCCTATAATTCAATTGCTTATTCTAGAATAGTTCAGTGCTCTTCCTTTGATCTCATTTTTAGGGGTTCGAAATCCTTCCGTTCCTATATCGAGAACAAGGTTTTAATAAGATTCAGGTTCATTGTTGCCTGGATATGTATCAAGCTTCATAGGAATCCTCTTTCAGATGAAACATTGAACCTCGCTTCCAAATACCGTGCTTCACCTCCATAACCATGTGAGTGTATTTCTATGACTCTATAGTCCAATCGCCTTGGCTACCCAGTAACATACAGAACCACAACTATATAGACAATACTCTCACAATTGGTCTTCAAAAGTACCTTTTTGTCCTCGATTTCCTTGCTTTTCAATATTAACTGATTCGGGTCAGCCCTCTGCCAATGCAGAAGCCATATTGTTGGTGACTGCAGTATTTCTTATCCAATCCCCCGAGTTACCATTACGCACATCTGTGATAGTAGTAGAAACCTCCTATAGAAAGTCCAACCCCTCCAAAGGATTCAGACTGATTCGGCTCGGATCGCTATTCGGCATGCGTATACGAACTCCTAGAACACAGTAGATAAGGATCGACATAAATCGTAGTCTACTTAGAGACATATCTAGCAAAATGGAGATCTTGGAGATCACATCCAATAAAGCCCATGTTCATGGGATCGAGTTCAGTTCCCGGGAACACTCCATTAGTATAAGTGTAGAAACCACCAAGCCACCAATACCGGCTGCAACCCAAATTCCGACTCAAGCCGGCGCATTCTTGACCGCCAGTTTGTGGTTGCAGGCAGACATAACAGCCATGAAGTTGTAAGATTGGTGGGCTTTTGCGACAGCGTTACGGGACCGTCCGAGCTTGAGATAAGCTGCGACATGATCCTGTTTTATTCTGTATGCATGTGCCGATGGTATGCACTAGTAACTACTCTGTACATGTCGTATGCAGAACAAGAAAGCTCGTGTGAATAGGAGGGGGGCGGAGCTTGTCTTTTGGCATATGTTGTCCCGTATCTGTGGACGTTGTGCTAAACCTGTGTGGACGTCTGTGCTTTAGCCAAGTCATGCAGGATGGGGACGATCTCACCTGAAACTGAGAGCTGTGGATAACTATGTTTCTCTTTTTTTTTTTTTCAATATGCTTTGAGCTTTGCTTTTTCTTTGTGCATTAGGGAGAAGAGGCAATTTCGTGATCCAATTATTCTCGTATGATCTATCTATATCACTTGATTCTCAAGTCTACATCTATCGGGTTGTCGGGTTACTGTCTCCATACGGCAGATGCACGAGCCATGCTGGGCCGCTTGGGAAGCTGATTCTTGGCAGTGCTGCTTGGCTACTCTATAAGGAATACAGCTACTCGAATTAAGAGTATGGTTGGGGCTCTAGACCCGGATCTTGTCCGGATTCTTTTATGGCGTTGTTGGTGGCTGCAGTATTTCTTTGATTTGTAGGATCCACGCCCCGGTTTACTATAAACAGGCATTTCAGGGCTGAGAACTTAATATCGCACCTATAGTGGAACAATTCATGCGGATATTGCGGTAAACCAATGGTAGATTCGTCCGACTCTTCCGAACACCAGTAACAAATAGCTCTGCTCGGCGTTCCTGGCTGATATCACCCAAATATGCAAAGGCTGAGCTATTTGCGGGCCGGCCCCCGGGACACCCTGCCCCGTCGTTTTCCCCGGCGCACAGCGTGCTAGTGGCGCTGCGAACGCCACGTGGGAAGGCAACCGGTCTCATTGAATGGGAGCCATACATGAAAAGGCGGTATGATCATCCCCTGTCGGGCTTGGCTTCGGTGCTGTGTCGCGGTAATCTCGTTTCCCAGCAAATGCTGTTACATGCAGGTGCCCGTGAAACAGCGTGCGTGACAACGGGCGAATCCGTTGCGGTGTGCGCTCGATTGCAGCTATCCAGCTATGCAGCCATGCCGCTCTCACACCTTCGAGATACCCGATTTGTATATACTAAGTTCGATAGGCCGCCACGGTGAGATACTGTTGCTTTTTCCTTCCTTCGCGTGTACTTGCTGCTTTCTTCGCATGAACTTGCTTTTTCCTTCGCATGGACTTTTTCCTTCGCATGGACTTTCTCCTTCGCATGGACTTTCTCCTTCGCGTGGACTTGCTCGCACGAACTGATCTCCAGATTCCGGGAGGGATGCCCAACTCGATATCATGACAGCACTCGAGTCTGCTAGCAGATCAGAAAACACAAGTCGACAATTAAGGCAGCATGCCATAACTAAAATGAACGCACCACAAACTGCTCCAATGATTCTTCGAATAACTCGTTGTTGACGCCCACGCCGCCGGGATGCTCGGTCGGAGAAAGGGGATTCTTAACCACTAAACCGATCGAACCAAGTTAACACTGTCCAAACCTGTCAAACGAGATCAATAAACCACACGAACCATATTCCACAAACAGATTGATATAGATCTGTTGGAGCGCGATGCGCATGCTGGGACTCTTGAGGTCCGTCAGCATAACGAACTTGGTATTCGTCGGTGTCTCGTAATAGTGAAGCTTGTATTGGCTGGTGGTGAATGACACAAAGCTACTTGGGTTAGCATCGGCTTCGCCCATACGTCCAAACAGCAATCAATCTGGCTTGCTTCAGGGGATGTCTTACTTGTCATCTTCGCCCCCTAGCTTGCGCACCATATTCCGCAGCGAGAAGACTGTGCCAAAGACAAGCTTCGAATCATCATCTGTCGATCGCACTGTTTGGCCTAGACCGGTCGGTGCTGAGCCGGAGACTGTGTCAGACCTAGACTTCCCCACGATGGAGGTCGGGCGCGGAAGCCAGCGACGCTTGTAGATGCATTCCGCTGGATGACAGTTAGTATATGATAATTAAATTATATAACAGAAGATATTTACCATGCCGATCAAAGATGTAGAACGAGTAGACGACCATTGTGTATAGTGTTATGAAACAAGTTGTTGTTGATGTTCAGGGGAGTTCCGACGGCTGAGAGGCGGTGAAATTAGCTCCGGTATCGATAACAAAAGCCCATATCAAAAAAGGAGCTGCCTAGATTTTCTTTAGCATTTCCGATTCGACTGGTTTCTTAAATTATACCATAAGGCTTAGTATCATTTATTCTATCCACTTGTGTCGAATCCTTGCAAAATAGGGCCCCGTAAGGCTGACAGCCCGCATCTCACGTTATCAAAACCCCCGCTTCGAACTTCCTCATTTACCCCACACATCACCAGCACTTGGTGGTCAGTATTTCAATGAATGGGAATGTGGCAAACACTATGTCGGATATCTCCGCAGAGCCCTCTATCGACTCAGTGGAGGGTATGAACGATGTGCGGCCTCAGGCGAGCAGAGTTGCGTGAGTTTCACCGTGAAACACCTACTGGAAGATTTCTTTTTGATGTCTCATGCTGACGCCCGATTTGCAACCAGGTCAACTGCATCCTATGACAGTTCTCAGAGGCACCGACGACGAAACCCAAGAGCAAGGCGTCCGGTGAAGGTCGGTGCTCCCAATGCCGTTGTGACAGCTTCGGAGAACTGATACCGCGGACTAGGAAACACTGGACGCCCGCTCCGAGTATTACACGAGCCAAGATGACGGTACCGCGGAACATCGAATCAATCAATATGTGATCAAGCAGGAGATAGGACGTGGTTCGTTCGGGGCTGTCCACCTGGCTGCAGATCAGTATGGAAATGAATATGTATGAGCACGAACCTGTGGGATATGAGCCTGATCAGCATGGGGAAATGGACACGCTAACCGTCAGATAAACGATCTGTGAAATCAGGCAGTCAAGGAATTCTCCAAGTCCAGACTAAGGAAACGTGCGCAGTCGCATCTGTTGCGAAGACCGCGAGGCCCGATTCGGCCAGGAACGGATTTCAACTCGCCCTTACATCGGCATCCTTCCGGTGACGACAACGAGACCGCAAAGAATCCGTTATATCTGATCAAGGAGGAAATCGCAATCATGAAGAAACTGAACCATAGCAATCTGGTGTCGTTGATCGAGGTCTTGGACGATCCGACAGAGGACTCGCTGTACATGGTGATGGAAATGTGCAAGAAGGGTGTTGTCATGAAGGTCGGGTTGGAAGAGAGAGCAGATCCGTATGATGACGAGCAGTGTCGATGTTGGTTCCGTGATCTGATCTTGGGAATCGAGTACCTGCATTCGCAGGGAATTGTCCATCGAGATATAAAACCGGACAACTGCCTGGTGACCAATGACGACATTCTGAAAGTGGTCGACTTTGGTGTATCGGAGATGTTTGAAAAAGATTCAAACATGTTCACGGCCAAGTCAGCTGGGTCACCAGCATTTCTCCCTCCGGAGCTGTGCGTGGCCAAACATGGCGATGTATCCGGAAAGGCGACGGATATCTGGTCCATGGGGGTGACTCTATATTGTCTGCGATATGGAAAGCTGCCCTTTGAGAAGCAGAGCATCTTCGAACTGTATGACAGTATCAGGGGAGATCCCCTGGTCTATGAAGACGAGTCAGATGAAGTATTCAAAGATCTGATAGGGCGGATTCTCGAGAAAGATCCAGAGAAGCGGATCGACATGTTTGCTTTACGAGTGAGTTAATTTCAATCACACTGCTCGCCAATATTGACTAGATACAATAGGAACACCCCTGGGTAACAAAGGGCGGGACGGATCCTTTGCTGTCATATGAGGAGAACACGTCGGAACTCATTGCGTTTCCAACAGAGGAGGAGATGAACTCGGCCATTACAACAAACATGGGGCATCTCATGACCGTGGTATGTTGCGATGTCTCGTTGTGCTTGGATATCTATTAACAAGGCCCGCAGATGAGAGCCGTCAAAAGATTCAAGCGACTAACAGATCCCACCAAACAACAATCCCCTATTCAAAGTATGTTCGGTAAGAGCATTCTGGGCGGAGACCACGATGCCTACTTCGTCGAGCCACCAATGGAAATGGACCCAGACGAACCATTCCCAGCCGTAGGAGCAGCTTCACAAACAAATGACGCCCATGGCTTGCGTGGAGGCATGCGCAAGGCGATCGGCCGGCGTCCTTTCGCCGGGTTCCGAGACGACTCTGGAGCGTTCGGGTCTAGCGATTCAGCTAGCTTTTCATCCCGACCCGAGCACAGCCCAAGCAACAGCAAAAGGCCTAGCGGTGTGTTCGAGCCCGAGCGAAAAGACTCCGGCTCCATCCGCAACGGGGAATCACCGGCCCAACCGGATTTCGGCCAAGAAGCTCAACCCCACTCTCAGTGGGAATCACCCCGTATCCCCCTTTCGCGAGCGAGCTCGGGTACTAAGCGCAGCCTGGAAGGGACGAGAGGACATGCCCGTGATCCGCTGGAAGAGGAGTTCCCCTACCTCTTCATCGGACCATCTACATACAACGGCTCCTCACAGCAAGAACCCGATATGGAAATTAGCGACGAGCCGGTGTCTATCTTCCAAGAGCCTGAACATTCAATGGATAATCCTGACCAAATGGATGGCGACGAGCCGGTACAGTTTGTTAGTGAATCGCCCGGAGCTGCAGATTTCAATATCTACGAAACAGCGTACAGGAAGGAACTAGACCGCATTAAACACAGCCTGAAAGACCGCGACACCGGTCCGAAGGTGTACCTGACCCGTCTCATTGAGAGAAATAGCGCCGAAGTGATGAAACTGGCCAAAGAAAAGGAATTGGATCTTCAGATGGGCGATGAGCCCACTCTTGCTTCTATATCGCGAACACCCTCAGGCTTCGGGTCTGCGGTTAGCGCAATACGCTCGCAGATGATGCAGAAAAGACAGGCCGATGGGTTGGAATATCAGGGTGATAGTGACGGTGATGATGTGAGTAAAGATAAAGATTACTCACAGAACCACAACAATCATCCTCCGAAACGTCTGTCGGTTTCATCCCAATCTATACCCGAGCCTGAATCGTCTCCTCTAGAGGCGACGGGGGTGTCGTCTACGGAGGGGACTGGTGATTCCAAGGCAAAGCTGCAGCGGATTCTTGATCGAGTTCGTGGGAAATCTGGTAGTGCGGAGTGATAGCTGGATGGAAGGTGCTGTGTGAATAGAAGTGTGTTAGGCTTGTTCTTTGTGTAGGTATATCATCTCATTCAAGACATATCATTCAAGGCATCGAAGGAGATAGCTAGTTTCCTTGTGTAATATCTTCTTTGACCCATAAATGCACTGCCCCTGTTCATAATGTGACAATCTTGAAGGGAGTACTTTGGCACTTGCAATCCTTAGAACTAAAACATCGCCATCGCGAAGTATAGCCTGTAAACTCGACGAACCCCGGAAACTGTGATCATGTAACTGGTCTGGTTGCATTTGTATGGAAATGAATCCCCCAAAAGTGATCGCCCATAGGCAGTCCGGCACAAATGCCCGTTCGCGCATTCATACATACTGGCAGTCCGATTTTTCATACACAATAAGTGGTCATCTCCATATCTCTCTAATATGGTATTAGCTCACCATTAGAGGCCAGCAAGCACTAGTCATTAACTAGGATCTATGTGTAGTGCATTTGTATCAGGCTAGGGCTTACGCAACTCATTCCCATAATGGCGCAGATACAACTTACATGGGACCAAAGAACGAAAAGGGCCAACGAGATATATGTGTGATTAATGCTCTCAATCATTATTAACTAGTGCAAAGAATGTGGGACATCATCCAATAGGAGAGTCTGAATAGAAGAAGAATAACAAAACCAAAAATCAGAACAGGAACCAGAAAGCCATCGAAAATCAGAAGTATAAAATACAAGGTGAACAGGCCTTAAAGGCTCAAAGAACCGCCATCGCCATGTAGCAATAGACATAATGCATCATCATCATCATCAAATGCATAGCAAGCTAGACATTGGGCTGGGCTGGGAGAAAGAAAAGGCAGAAAGTATAAAAGCATAAAGCGAAAAGAAAGATGCGAGGCGTGGGGGCATCAATTGGCGTAAACGTCTTGTCTTGACTTAGGTCGTGTGGTAGGGTTCACAATAGAGATTGTGTTTGCTTAGGGATGAGTGGGAAGCAGAAGCAGAAGCAGTGAAGGACTCGCTTGCTTGAAGGACATGAAGATTCGATAGAATCGAATATGGATACGAAAGCCGTTATCTTCATCGAACGTGGGGGAACTCGTGGACGCATCAATGGTTGAAGGTCACTGTCACAAAGAGAGAAGAGAAAGGAAAGCATTTCCCCATCCTGTGGTCTATCTGAGCTTAGGTATATAGTACCTAGGCAGAACCACAGGCATAAAATGAGAGGGTTAGGGATGCAGGGGTATTGTCGAGGGAAAGTCGGAGGTGTGAAGGGGTCGCTTGAAAAGCTTGGAGAAAAACCGCGCACAATAACACAACACGAAAACGCTGTCTATTGTTCATCAATGGCTTGATCATTCATTCATGGCGCTTGGGCCTCAAAAAACAAAAGGCTGAAATCGAAGTCGCAAAGTATAATCGAGACTGGGATCGAAATGACGATATAAAAAAAGAAAATATCAAAATCAATGGTCATCGTGGAGGTTTCTCGGCTGGTGTGCTCATTCGTCCTTCCGAATACGGTCCTGGTGGCTGGTCAGATCGACTAGTGACCGAGTCGCGTCGACCACTGTCTGGCGGAGAGAACCGATCTGCGGCGAAACTGTACGGCCGTTCGGATGCATTGTTGAGTCTGGGGAAAGCGTCTGGGGGCCCTAATTGCAAGGCGTGTGGTGAAGGGAGGGGATGGCCCATCTCTGTTGGCCGGGGTAGCTCACGCATGGTGCTCATGTTACGGGCTGGCATATCGCGACGCTCGTCATTTGGCGCGGGACCGGGGCCAGGTGGTGGAACTGCTGACCGCATGGCTGAAGTGTCGTAGAGCATTGTCGTTGGGCCTGGGTTAGGTCTGTGGAATGCTTGGGGTGCCGGTGGGAATGGTGTAGACGATGGGCCTGTCGCAGGGCTGGTTGGTGAAGGAGAGACTTTGGCTCTGCCAGACCCTGACCGCCGAGGAGCAGGGTACGTTTCACCACGGGCCTCAGCTAGGAGCTTGCGTCGTTCGGTCTCTGCTTTGCTTGGGCGTCCACGCTTACGGGGTGGTTCGCCGGTGGCGATATCTAGCCTCGGGGACAGCTGGGCCGACGCCCCGCTTTCACTGCTGTAGGAGGCGGTGCTGGCTGGTGGTCTTGGCTGTATTGCACGAGGAATTGGCTTGTCGGAAGGATACAATGGCCTCTTGCGCATATTGCTGGGTTCAATTGGGGCTGGCGGGCCGGTCATATCGGATCGCGGTGGAAATGAAGCAACTGGATGTGGAGGATGCGTAGGCTGCTGAACCATGATGTTATATGCCGTTTTGCACGAGCTGAGTGAACGGCCTTAACCGGGGCAGGTGTTAGCGCCATGTTGATATCGATTTGCAAAGCTTTTTTGCTCTTTCTTTTTCTTTTTTTTCCTGGCAATTGGACGATAATACCTTGAGGAAGGGGAATATGCTCCCAACTTGGGGTAATCCCATATTCTTTAATCATTCGTACTAGACAGCTAGAAGGAAATCCAGCTTTCTTGAGGATCTCAGTGAGTAGAGTGTACTGGTTGATCAGCATCAAATTCACATTCGACCAATGAACCTCCATACCTTGTCCTCTTCAGTCCATGGCCTATCAGATGGATTCGACATATCCAGACCATGGAAGCGGATTATAGCCGGCTTCCCTTTCCCGAGAAGAAAAGAAATACGTGAAAGAAAGGAAGAAAAAACAAAGAAAGCCTCCCAGATTATCCCGGAACAAGGACAGCGAACAGCAGTCGTCAGAGTCGTGATACACAATTCAGATCAATCTCTCATTTAGAGGAAAAGAGAGTGAAGAGAGAAAGAAAAAAAAATTAAATCAATCAAAAAGACACGCGCGAGAGAACGAGAGGTCTCTTATGTCCCCATATCCCACGCGGAGACGAAACAAAAGGGATGACAGAGAAAAAACAAGCCTGAGAATTGAAGGCTTTCTAGCCAAAGAAAATGAAAAAAGAGCAATAGAATCAAACTCCATTAAAAAAAAAAACCAATTAAATTATGGGGGGGGGTTTTTTTTTGCAGGAAGATTTTCTGGCCAAACGGACTTGAACAGCCGGGATCGCGCAGAAGACCAGCGTTCGGGAGGAAAGCTGCAGGGTCGATGCTGGAGAGTATTACAGTACAAGGTAAAGTACCAATGCGTAGAGACTGATAAGTTTCATCTGGTTTTTTCCAGAAGAGTTTCGAAGGGCCAAAATTACCACTAAGGAGACCGGGAAGCGGGGAGAAAATGGATTTCTGATTCCTCCGAAAGTACTAGAGGGGTTGAATTGAGTGGGGACTTTGTTAACAGATGAAGTTGCAATATATCCTGTATACGATGTATATAAGATAGGCTTCGAACATCGTTGGTTCGGGAAACGGTTGGCTGGCAGGTCCAGAACCAAGGGACAGTCCATTATTTCTGGTGGTTTTGGGATTTTAGTGCAAAAGATTTTGGTTTCGTCGTGTCTTTTCCGGTAAACAGTGGGAATCATGGAGCTCAGAATGGATTTTGATAGGTTGACTTGGCCCGGGACGTTGGGTCATTCTGTAAAGAGAAAATGATTTTGTTTGAAGCTAGCTTCAGGGGCGGTTAGAGTGGGCGATCGTACAGAAAGGAAAAAATGCGCGTCTGTCATGCAGCGGGTGGTTCTGAAGCAAATGGATTAGGACGATTGGTAGAGACGAGCCGAGTGGAGAGAGTATGACTCCGCCGAGCTGCAGCCATGAGGTTCATGTAAAATACGAGTAATTAAGAGAAAATAAAATATATATATATTGAACATGTATGAGAAAAGATAGGAAGAAGAGAGAGATGAAGTTGAAGTGAAGAAAAAAAAGTAGGGGATGACATGATTTACTTTTATAGCCTAAGGCATATATATAAAGTACACACACTATATATATAAATATTATATATATCATATATATCACATTTATATATATTTTTGGTACTCCGTATATAGTTATTCTCTTCTATTCGTAATTAATTACTGTATCTAAAACGCACAGACTCTTCCACGTTGACGAACAACACATGCAGACGCGCTTTTCTTGCTTTCTCCTCCAATCGATTTCTGAACTTTTCACGTACTGCATACACATATTTCCCCCCCCCCCTCTCCCCCCCCTTTTTTTTTGTTCCCTGTTATATCGCCGAAGATGCTGACATGCATTGAACATTTGAATATAACTGTTATCGAGGAAAAAAAAAACTCTCCCAGTTATGCCAGCTATTATGCCAGCTATACCAGCTATACCTTAAAAGAGGTATAATGAGTTCTAAAGTGGAACTGAGCGCAAGTAGCTCAGGAATATCAGGAACTTCAACTTCAAAAGAAGAAAAAAAAAAAAAAAAAACAACTAGCAAGGCGGTGAGAGATACAAAATGACAATAGCTTCGATTTCAGTCAAATTAGGAGATTTTTATCAATGAGATTGTTACTTTACCGCTCTGGACCCCCTTGATTCCCGAGGGCAGAATCTCCGAACTTTTTGTATTCTGCTTTATTTTTCCTTCATCGTCCGTGTCGTCATGTCTACCCATGACCACGCGGACTCTAAGTCTCCCATGGAGCACTCTCCGGTAAACGGTTTGAAAACCGACGCGCGTACCTCTTCTCGATCACCTCTTCCGAAAAAGGAGTCCTCCCCCAACTCCGACGCATCCGATATGAAGGAACACATCGGCGACATCGTCCTAAAACAGGAACCAGGTCAACCTCCAAAGCTGTCTCGCAGCTCATCGCAAAACGTCGCGTCGCGACCTCCGCCGCTGTACACCCACCTACCAGATAGCACCCAAGATGCGCTTGCCACCTTCGAACAGATCCCCGGCTGTATCTACGCCAACAAATATATGGGATATACCGAACATGCCATGGAATGCGATTGCGCTGAAGAGTGGGGTAAGTTTGGTTCGAGTAGCTTCGGTGTCTTTTTGGCTTGATTCCCAAGGGGATCTCTCTCACTTCGGGAATGATTGAACCTCGAGCATATCACTGATCCGCTCTGTAGACCCGAAGATTGGTCAAAACATCGCGTGTGGCGAGGATTCAGACTGTATCAACCGTGCGACCAAGATCGAATGTACAGGCGACTGCGGCTGCGGCGCCGACTGTCAAAACCAACGATTTCAAAAAAGACAGTTTGCACCGGTTTCCGTTATCAAAACAGAAAAAAAAGGATTCGGATTGCGAGCGGAAAAGAACCTCGACCCAGGCGAATTGATTTACGAATATGTCGGTGAGGTCGTGGGAGAACAACAATTTCGAAAGCGCATGAGACAATATGATGAGGAGGGCATCAAACACTTTTACTTTATGTCCTTGAACAAGGGTGAATTTGTCGATGCCACCAAGCGAGGCAACCTGGGACGATTCTGCAACCATTCGTGCAATCCGAACTGCTATGTTGACAAATGGGTGGTGGGCGAGAAGTTACGTATGGGAATTTTCGCTGAACGCGCTGTTCAGGCCGGCGAGGAGCTGGTGTTCAACTACAATGTTGACCGATACGGTGCCGACCCCCAGCCCTGCTACTGCGGGGAGCCGATGTGCACGGGATTCATCGGTGGACGCACTCAAACTGAACGTGCCACCAAGCTGTCGAATGCGACTATCGAGGCTCTTGGTATTGATGAGGCCGATGGCTGGGATACTGTGGTGGCGAAACGTCCGAAGAAGAAGAAGATGGAAGAGGATGACGAGGAATATGTGGACAGCGTACAGCCCAAGTCGCTGGATGAGGACGGTGTGACCAAGGTCATGGCAGCTCTTGTACAGTGCCAGGAGAAGTGGATCGCGGTCAAACTGCTAGGCCGTATCCAGCGCTGTGACGATGAACGCGTTCGCAATCGCGTGGTCAGAATGCACGGATACCAGATCCTAAACTCCCAGCTTGCTCAATGGAAGGAAGACCAAAACGTGGTGCTGCAGATCATGAACATCCTCGATGGGTTCCCACGACTCACCCGAAACAAGATCCAGGACTCCAAGATTGAAGCAAACATTCGACCGTTGACGACCTGTGATGATGAGCGTGTCGCGAAGAAAGCAGCCGCCCTTCTCGAGAGCTGGGCTGGTCTGGAAGTCGCCTACCGAATCCCACGCATGAAACGCGGCAAGGATGCGAAGCAGGCCGTGAACCAGTTTGAGCGCCGCGAAACTGGACAAGAGCAGCGCCAGCGATCCCTTACCCGCTCTCCATCTCCTATGTACGATGCTCCTCGGGGACCAGCGCAGCAACGAAGAGACCGAGGTCCTCAGCGGTCTAGACAACCCAACCGTCGTGGTCCTCGGCCATTGCCTGAGGGATGGTATACTGCGGAAGCGGAGGGTCGTGTTTACTACTACTCTGCATCAGGCAAAACGACATGGGAGCGGCCAACCCAGCCTGCTACTCCTGCTACCCCTGCGCCGGGCCAGTCAGCAAAGAACCAACAGAACTTGGCGTTGCAGAGTATCATTGACGGAATTATGAACACCCAGGATGACACACCCTCTGATCACCGAACTGATACACCCGTGACTCCTCAGCCTTCCGCCGATCAGCCGGAGAGAAAGCACAAAGAAGAGAAGTGGAGGAAGCTTCCGTTGGAGAAACAGAAGAGAATCTACGAGAACACTGTGAGTATCCACGCAAAACATGACATGTAACTGGACTAACACGGCACAGCTTTTCCCGCATATCAAGCCCATAGTAGATCAATATAAGCACAAGATCCCTGACCATCACTTGAAACGATTTGCTAAGGAGGTAAGATCACCCACACTTTCGATTATCTTTCTGCTGAAATGCAATTATGCTAACATTGACTATTAATAGACTGCGAAGAAGCTTGTTGAAAGCGATTACAAAAACAATCGCGTCGCGGATCCTACAGCGAAGATCTCAACAAAGCACCAGCAAACCATCAAAAACTACTGCAAGACCTTCTTCCGCAAGGCCGCAGCCAAATACGTGGATCGGGAGAAGCACGGGGGCGAGAAGTCCCAGGACGCCACCCCAAACCCCGCAACCGAGACTCCTAGCAGAGCTGATGATGAAGCTACTGCGGGTGCACCTGCGAGTGCACCTGCGAGTTCTCCCCTGGAAGACGATGACGCCGCATCGCTGAAGCGCAAGCGAAACGGAATCCTACATGTCGACGGTGCTGAAGATGGAGCCAGTTCTCCCTCCAAACGACAAAAATCCACTCCTCCACCACCCCCTCCTCCGCCTCCTCCAGCAGATCGACCTGAAGATGACGCCGACGGTGACACCAACATGGGAAATATCGAGGACCGTTCGCCTCCGAAAGACGACTCCAGCGCTGGAGTGGACGACAATATGGAGATAGAAGCGGGAAATGAGCCACAAACGAAGCAACCTCCGATCAGTATCGAGGGACGGGAGTAGGCAATTCCAGCGATTCTCGTCTTATTCTGTCTTTGTGCATCAATACCCAAAAGCGAGTAAAAAAGCGAGAGAATCAGACGGGAGGTTGAAAACTGATATCTCAACAACCTGCATTACTTTTGCTTCTACCATGTCCTTTTTTTTCTACCTTTATTCTTTTTTATTTGCTTTCTATGTCGTCAATACCCCGGGCCCAAGTGCCACTATCATAGTTTGCATCAATTCAGCCTATATTGAGCTGTAAGCTTTCAATGCTTTTCAGAATTACATATCTACAAATATATAAGATATGACAATGTCAAGTGTCTCTATATCTCTTTAAAAATAATCTTTACTAATTCCATCCATGCATAATTCATTCGAGTATATGCAAGCACAGGCATTACAGACTCCCAAAGAAAGACCCATCCGAACAGAGCAGAGAACACAGAAAAAAAAAATACCAATCAAAAATAATCATTTCAGCGTGAAAATAAGAACAGGACCATGTACCGTGAAGAGACCAGTGCAATCTATAAAGATAAAACATCTAGTAGAAACTCTCCACAATACTATCCTTATTAACACCGGCCCCGGCACCACCGGGAGCCATCTCGCCAAGTCTGAACACAGACTCGACAACGCTCAGCTCGGTGGCTGTGGTGTCGAGACCGGTGATGGCGAGCCAGTCGTTGACGACCATTCCGGCGCCGACGACGGGTGATCCGCGGTTCACACTGCCTGCCACGAGGGGAACTTGCAGGAGGGAGGAGAGCTCGTCCTGATCACGGATTGAGGTCTTGGGGTGAACGATTCCACCTTGGTTGGAGAGGGCCATGTACGAGCCTGTGAGGACGTTGTCGGCTACTGTTTGGCGGAAGACTTCTACGCCGAGGACGTCGGCGATGCTGTGATATGTCAGTTTTGGAACCGATGGAAGGTGGTTTTGCATATGGTACTTACATCTCCTCGGTTTCACGCTCCAGATCGGGGTGCACGATTGCAACGTGATCGTTGCAGCAGATGACATTACCGAGCGCGGAAAGACGCTCTTCTATGCGTTGGATTTTGACTTCGGACGGAAGCGTGTTGCGCAGGTGTTGCAATTCTTGATCTGTGGTTGTTGTGGGGACAAGGAGACCTTTGCGGTTACTGCAACTTATTAGCATTTGCGTTTTCTATGTTTCCTTGGGAACGGTTCGGTTTGAACGGGCTATGGTCAACTCACCCGACGATTAGACGACCGACAATGCGGGTTCCGGCGATGGTTGCGTGGCAGATGGGGATGACATCTTGGAGTTCAGATTCGAAGACACTGCATTATATGTTAGTTGGGGTTCATGGGTGTGTTGGGGCAGAGGTGAATATTGAGATTTGAAATGGCATGACATTGGTGGTATGCCGTAGCAAACTCCATTCCTATCCTGCCAGTTCCAAGTCCCAATCCCATCCTTCTGAATTACACACCTGTAGAAGTTCTCGGAAGCACCAACTGCAACGATAGCGTAGGCATTTGTCAGGCAAGAGAAAACGCCGACCCTGAATGGAAACCGTCAGCCTGGGTTCCAAATGTTCTCACATATTCTTTTCTGGTATCTTACTCGTTCGAGTTCTCGAATTGCGCGCGAACAGCCATAATGGTTAGAGTATCAGGAAGATGTGCAGAGAGCAAGGTGGGAAAAAGTCTGCGGTGTAGAGCGGGGTAGCGAACAGCGCGGAGCTAGCAGATGCAGGAATAACAGAAACGAAAACTGTCAAGTAGAATTAAGAAATCGAGAATTCAGTCTGGGATTTGCAGAATGAAGCCGAAAGATAAATAAATTGGCAGAGACGTGCGATCCAACTGAAAAAAGAACAAAAGCTCGGACCAATCAGAGTGTCGCTTGAATTTGCCCCGCTGGAGCCGCAGAGGCGAGGTTGGTGGGTTGATAGAATGTACTAGTACTTAATTTACTATGGTGTTTAGTATGGTAGATCATGTACTGATACCTAACTTCTACTGACTCATTCTGTCTCATGCTGACGATGATTCATTCTATGTTGTACTTCATTCAATCTACTTTATTTTCGATTATTTATGACTGACTAGTCATAGTTATATACACAGCCACAGAAAATAGGCCTTGGCTAGAATATGGCTGATGCTATAGCATGTCAACCCCAGTCATCCTCCATATCCTTCCCCTCTATACGAATACTATCTATGGACATAATGCTCCCTCCCTATCAAACCTATCTTTCTCTATCTTGTATATGTCCCCAAGCCCATGCTTGAGTCTATAGGGTATAGGAGATCATAATAATGATACAATATAATGATATTGAAAGAGTTAAAGACAATAAGGGTAGGATAGTTTGGTTCGTTTCTTCTAACTTATAGTTGGGCCCCTTCTCGGTAGGCGGCGACTTTTGCTGCTGAGGGCTTGTCATCTTTCTTGGTCGCATAGAAGGAACCAGTAGCACTGGACTTTTTCCTCGAATGGGTATTTCTGGCCTTTCATATGAAGGTTTTTTTCTTGATTCATAGGTAGTGGACTATATGGCCCATCAACTACTAGATAGCCATGAGATAGTCTAGTTCAGAAGGATAAGTGCTGTCTTCCTAAATGATCGAGATCGCAACACATCCGAAGTTCAGGTGTCTAGCACGATTGCTCAATGGCCCCATTCCTCCGAAGTAGTAGATCTGGACGACGATGTTGCTGATGCCGCGATGGCGTCGAAGTTTGCTTAGTTTGCTCCAACGGTCTACCGGCGAACTGCTGCGATTTGCCCTCTTTGAACTTGCTGTGCGTTTGGTAGTACTATAACCCAGGTTTTGACTACCATTTTGCCGGTCGACTGCCTATATCGCCAACATTGCAGACAGGTCCACAGAATATTCTTGGCGATTGTTTCCCGTTTGGAATAAATGCGATGAGTTGGCTCAACTGAGAAACAACACAAACCGTGGGGTGTGACTTGGGATGTGACCTGGGAAATGTGAGGGATAAAATCTCCTAAACCTACCTCCGTAGACAGCAATGCCCCGGGACAAGAACGGTGCCAAAGACGATGGCACCTCCCACAATGTGGGCAAGGTCGGTGCAGCAGCTTGCTGCTACGGCTACCAAGCAAGACAAGGAAGACACACGATGGAGATGACATTTTTTAAAAAGAGAACGTGTGAGAGAGGATGAAATGAGATGGCAATAAGAGTTGTACAACTTCTCTTCGAAAATCTCAACGGAGCTTCCATATAGGCGGGATCAATATATGATTTCTTCTGAGTTGGCAAGAATGACATCGATCTGGAACTAATCCTGGCATTATCCAGGGATAATGTAGCAGGAACAGCGATGGGCCGATGGCTTTCCTGGTTTATAGCCCACTTTCTCCCATGGGTGAGGTAGTAGTTCTCAATCATGGGGGCAGTACTCAACCTTGTTGTGGTACTGGCCATAGTGCTCTATCCTTCTAACTATATAAGTACTCAGGAAGGATACAGTATCCTACCACAAGGGAAGCATAACAATACCATAATTGTCAATACTTGTACAACCCGGTCGACAGAGTTGGGTTTGATCGCAGTTCCGCGAACCGATGACCCATGTGGTGCCTGTTGACGGCAACAAGATGTTTGCCGTAGCGATCGATCCTGGAGGAGGTGGGCCATATCTGACATCGATCTGGGATGCATGTGTGGAACTGACAGCATGTTTCTTTATAGATTGCTACACTGTCGAGACTTTGCCGTCCTACATATTCCAGACCGTTCCTGCACAAGTGCCGCGTAAAAGACGGGTACAAGTGATCGTGAACAGATCCCCGACAGTCAACAACGGTATCTGGGCCAGGTAGTGTATTCATCTCGGATTGAGCGGCCTTCTTCTTCTGCGTGGGTTGCTCCGCCATGTATCTCATGCTCTAGGCTTTGGCCCAGAATGATGAAACATGTCTAACCGTGGAATGCGGCCATGGTCGCAGCTTTCTGGCTTGCGGGATCAACTAAGAGGGCCTGCTGAAGGTCCTGGGGTGGTACCTAAAATTAGTCATGTCAGTTATCATAATCTTGAATTATGGTAAAGGTAAGGGATAACCCTTCATATGTAGTGCATTAGAGTCGGTCTAATTTGCACTCATGTCGGTATCCAACCGGAAACAGGAGTATAGGGTGCGTGTTATCAAAGCAGATAATTGTCCCGACCTATGATACTAATGAGCGTGGTTCCAAGGAGAGTGCGGCTCTTGAGAAATACCTTTGTGTAGGTGTTGGAGAGGAAAAGAACCCTCGACCATCAGACTTTCGGACGAGCTCTTGTGCGATAAGATGTCCCCTTTATACTCATTTTGTGATCGAAAGACGTTTTTTGGAGCATCATAACAGACAGATCGTGGACTTGCCCATTCATAAGAATAAACACATCCGCCATTGCGAAAGCTGATCTGTGGCATCTCTAATGTATTTGAATATGGCGAGACATCTATCTCAATGGCAGACCCTCCTTGAAGTGGCGGAGTTCGGTTTAGAGGGTGGGAGTCCTATAATGCCTTGCTGGTTGGCTATTGGATCAAATTGTGTTGTATAAGGCTAGGAATGGCAGATAATAGCGAAATGTGTTTTGAAGACTTTTAAAAGCAGTCCGCATAGGGAAATATTTGATGAGGATATGGATAGGTCATCTTGAGAGTTTGGGCTCGGGTCCAAGGAACTTGTAGCCAGCTGCACACTCTGAAGTAATGGGTCCCTTGGCTTCAGTACAGCTGGCTCCTTCCCGATTTGGTGGATGGAGTTTGGCAAAGAAGTGAATAAGGGGGGAGGCGATGGAATGTGAGAAATAAAAAGAGTGAAGGTAGATAAAATATGAGAAAGAAATGAAAGAGAGATAATGAAAGAAATGAGATGGAAAATGAGGATGGGGTGTGGGAGGATGGAGGATGGAGGTCTCCCTCGACCTTCTTATATGTGGTGCGTTTGCTCACATCGCATTCGAATATTTTCGAGAATTGGTTCTATCTCATAATAGGGCTTCTCTCACATAACGATTTCTTCATTTGAATTTCAACTTCATCTCACTTGCTAGTCACTTTTACTTTCAATTTAAATTTGAATTAGATCTGATTTGATATCCATATCTCATCGCTCACCCCTATCTCTATTATTATTTACTACTGAATCAAATCAAACAAGGAATCTATTCATTTTTGATGCCCTCCCCCCTTATCCCCAGTCGGGGGGGAGGGCATCGCTAAACGTACAAAAAAAAGAATTGGTATCAACTGCGGGGAACGCTACACAAACATCTTGGTACAAGCCGGCGGGTCTAGTACCCGCGCGGCGGGGGTGGGGGGTGCGATCCGGGCGGCGGCGGCGGGAAGTACAGGGAGGGCGCGTGGCCCTGGGGCATGTAGCCCGGCAACGGCAGACGCGCGAAGTTCGAGCCCGGGGGAGGAGGGAGCTGCGGCGGCCCGTTCATTGCGAACGGGTCCGGCAGGCCCAGCCCCAAACCCAGCTGCTGGCGGGCGGGGAGAAGGCGCCGCGGCTGCTGGGTTGGGGTGGGCCGCGGGAGGATGAAGGACCGCGGGTCTGTTGGCCCGTGGCCGTGGATGGAGGAGGGAGGGGGGCCAGGGTGGGTGTGGGTGGGCTGAGGGAGGAGAGCACGATGGTGGGTCCCGGGGTCAGTTCGCATCATTGGAAGATGCTGGGGCAGGGGCTCGGTCAGAGCCGCATCTGCCAGAACTGACAGTGCACGTGAGTGCACCGGGAAATCTGCGGCGCCGTCGTAGCTGACGATCTTGCCGGATGCCTCCTGCTCGTTGATGAAGGTGGCAGCATGGAGCATGCTGCCGAAGGCATCCTTGGCGCACATTCGCAGAGCCTCTTCATCATTGATTTCTGTTGGTGCAATCTCCTCATTCAATCGGCCCATCCGTACCCTCTGGACGAAATCCTCCCATCCCTCCTCCGCCGCCACAAAGTCCACTGCTCCCTCCGGGTCTCGAACTACTTCAGCTGCAAAGCCACGCTCCACCTGTCTTACCGCCGTCTCGCCGTCGCGGAAAAGGAATTGCTTCACGGATTGTTCGGAGTCCGATGTATCGTACTGGAGACTGGTTAGCTGTTGTAATGGTTTTGGTAGTTTTTCGGACTACATACCTCAGTGTGTTCATCATCTTCGGCCACCCTGCGGCCCTGGATTAGGGCCATCATCTTGCCCATAAGCATCGTAAGCATCTCCTCTTGAATTTCCCCAATGAGCAGCTATTTCCACAAGTTAGAATCTTCAATGATAAGACAACTTTGATCCAAACTTACATTCGCGGTGTCTTTGATGACGTGAATATTGCCCTCATACTTTTGAGTCTCCAACTCGGTGTTCATCTTGTACTCGTTGTTCAGTCTCTCAATTGCCTTGCGTTCGTACCTGTCCAGATCCCGCTGGACTTGGTCGAATTCAGGACATTCTTTGTGAGCATTTTTCTCGCGAGCAATCTTATTCATGTTCTGCTCCGCCATGAAACTCAGCGCAATATGTTGGGCTTGCCCAACTTTCTTGAAGAGCGCAGACATTTCCTCCTGGCGAGCTTTTGTCGGCATTGATTCCGGAGTAGGTGAAGGGGTGGGACCACGCCAATTTTCGGCGACGTCCCAGATCTCATCTTCGATTTTCTTGCCGCGTTTGATGATGGCGGCCTTGGCACGTCCACGTCCTCGACCACCTCGAGTCTTGGTAACTGCTGCAGGTCGAATTGGGCCGACAAATCCACCGCGGCCGCCGCGACCACGGCCACGGCCACGTCCTCGACCGCGACCCCCACGCGCTCCTCGGCCTCCACGGCCTCCCCGAACAGTAGCGTTGTAAGCAGGGGGGTCGAATTCTTCTGAAGGAATAGGGATATCCTCGGGAGATGTTTCATTTTGAGTATCAACCTCCATGCCATTTTGAAACTGGCTTTCTGGAGTCTCTTCGAGTTCAGTCTCGTCAATTCGCAGCTTTTTGTTCATTGTATCTTCTGAATCAATATCCGGGTTTTCATTTTGCAATTCAGCTGACTTGCGCTTGCGCGCAAGTCGGGGTGAAGATACTGCACTGAATGGTGCTTGTTCAATATGTGAAATCTTGGGACTCTGGCCGACGGGAGTGTCTTCAGCCTTTGCTTTGGCTGGCTCAGAGATATTGTTCATGTTATTGTTCATTTCATCGACCATGGCATCAGCAGGATCAATTTGAGTTGCTCCAGGCGACACGGGGGCTGAAGCAACCATGCGAGGTTCAGGAGATTGCGATGTTTTTTGAAATGGGGGTTCGGACTTGAATTCCTCATCGTAATGAGACTCCATGTCATCATCTGGCTCGGTGATTTGATTATCAACGGCCTTGGTTGGCGAGGCATCTTCTTCATAGACGCCATCCCCATCCGGCTTCAGTCTTGCTGACTGCCGGGTGGTCCGCGAAGACTCAGGAACAGTCCGAGGATGCCGCGGACGCCGAGTGCGAGGAGTCTCTGGATTTGAGACGGCATTGGCATCCGCATTTTCATTTTCATTGTCATTTTCATTCTCATTTTCCTCGTGGGGATCATCAGAATCAGCATGTTGCATTAATCTGAGTGAGGGAATTTTGAATTTGACAATACGCGAGAGAACCTCTGGTCTACTCGGTGATTCAGAAAGAGCACGATCAGGGAGACTGGCGCGGCCACGGCCGCGACCACGTCCTCGGCCTCGACCTCTTCCACGAGGGGGAATTGCAACGGAATCTATATATAGGGTCAGAAATGAGACCGATGGGGCAAACATGCATATAAACTTACCTTGTGCAGTTCGCCCAGATCGCGTAGAAATACTAGGAGTCCGCGTAACAGGCTGTGCAGCCGCGCGATTTTTCCTTCTTCCCACCATCGCTGTTGTCTTTCGAAGAAAATTAGTTTTGAACGGGGGAAATTGATCCAGTGGCAGCAAGGGGGAATGGAAAATCAGGGAGGGAAAAGTGAATAGATCGAAGAAGACATTAAAATCGAGTACAAGAACGTTCAAAAATAGTACAGTTCAAAGGGGGAAAATGGGAGTAGAGAAAGGGAAAAAAAAGTACACGCGAATTTGCCAAATGCAGAAAGGAAACGTCACTGTTGGTAGCAGTGGAAAAAGGCTTGGCAGGAAAAAGCGCGAAGTAGAGAACACGCGATCAAAGTACAGAAGATCAAGAAGATCAGAAGATCGAAAAAAGATGCAACGATCAAAGTTCAGAAGTCCCAAAGGTCCAGAGCCAAGATCAAGGGGAGTGTAGAAAACAAAGTGTGTGGGGGGAATTGCAAGGGGGAGATGAAGGAACACGACATAAAAGATTCATGAAACTTACCAAAGCGATATGGGAAAAAGATGCGAAGTAGAAAAGAAAAGCAGAGATCTACTGCAGGATTTGACCGGGTGGATGGGGAAAACGGGGCCAAGTAAAAAAAAAAACGGGGGGGGAAAGAAGAGGATGAAATAGAAACAGGGGAGTAGAAGTTAAATGAGGATATGAAAATGAGTAAGAAACTTGAAAGTAGCAAAAAAGGTAGAAAGTCGAAAAAGTAGAGAGAAGATGAGGAAGAGAGAAAAAAAAAAGGAAGTCGAGGTAGAAAAGAAGGAAGAGAAGAAGAAAGGGAAGAGGCCAAAACAAGGTGTTTATGGGAGCTGAACCTTGGGAGTATTCCAACAATATGACTATTCTATATAACTTCTTATAATGTAAATTCAAATTCTCTCTATTCCAATCTATTCATATTATATTCCTTTTAGTCTATTGGTCTGACATCGGTGACTTTTCCCTTCGGCTGAGGCTCGGGAATAGAGCCACAATAGCATACAACTTGAACATTCATTATACATTATACATTCAACTTTACTAGGTATATTCATTCTATAGTTTCTGCCTAGGAAGTGAATACAATGTATCTCCAATCCAGTCCCAACAAGCACCGGAGCATTTGGTATTCTATTTCGTATTCGGCTCTATTATGGAGCTTTGGTCTACGTGTCTAGATAGTTGCCTATATTGTATGTTCTTTACCTTCATGAATAAACCTATTCATGGTATTCATATCTCATTTCTATCTATATTTCCTATTCTATTCTATTCCATATTTTAACTATACTAACCCCTACAGAAAAAAATATACGGACCCACTTAGTCTAAAGGGTGACAACGCATGCGGACTTGCAATGTACTCCGTACACGAAGTATGCTATTGGCTAATTATGAGAATTTTAGAAATATACAGTAGAATACTATGTACAAATTATACCGTACGGAGTAATATCTTCCAAAGAATGGTCATCCCTAGCTAGAGCAGTTAGTCCACAGAAAAGTCAAACTTGGTTGACATCCGCATTTTTCCGCCATCTAGAACTAAACATAATATCTGAAAATACGAAAACACATCCCAAGACTGCATAAGCCCACTATTCTTGTATCTACGGTTAATATGGTTCAAAAAAGATTACAGCTATCATAATACAATTTTGGAAGAAATTACAAGTAATTGGAAACATTCCTACACAACTACTCCAATATATACATTCACTTCAGTATATGTAATCACAATTCATTTAAACAATTATACCACCCATTCCCTATTTACACAAATACTATGCATACCCAATGGTCCAGCATCATACAGCAAAAAGCAAAAAATCCAGAAGGAAAAAAAAAAAAAAAAAAGAAAACATAGCAAGTCATGCAGATCTCGATATAAAGGTAGATCAATCACTTTTCATAAGGGGATTCGTTCAAGTCATTATCGCTTCTCAGAAGACGAACGCACAGAACCACCTGGGGTTGGAGTCATCATCGGGTGGAGTGTATCCTCTGACCCTGGCAGCGAGGAGGGTGTAAGCGTGGACTGATCGCGGAGGGAGCGAGCAGATCTCATGCGCGTGATTGTGCCAGGTGTGATGGTCTGCCCCGCGCTCGGTGAGGCCTTGACCATTGTCCCCGGGGCAAAGGTTGGCGACGGACAGGGGCTTGTTGACCGGAAGAGAGGGTGGATGTTCTCTTCGCCGAATGGGTTATATTCCCACGTTGAATTGTTAGAGCCGGACTGTGTTGGGGAGTCAATGCGGGTTGTTGATGCTGATGGGGATGGAACTGGTGTGTTGCGTCGTAGGCTGGGCATGCTCCGAATGCTGTGGGTACCTTGCAGGAGGGGACGAGTGTCCCGGTCTGGGAGGGTGTCTACCCTTCTATCCCGTGTTGGGGATGGGCTTGGTGAGCTGTGGGCAGAGCATGGTGTGTCGATGGGGGTACACTTTTCTTCCTTTATGCTTGGAGGACAGAGTGTTGCGTCTGAGTAGTGACTGGATCGCCGGGGGAATTTGCGGAGTGAGGCTCTTTTAGGTTCAAATAGATCGGACAAGTCGCATACTGGAGGAGGTGATGGAAGAAAACGTGGGGTCCGCGGGATATCCTTGAGCTCCTGGGAGTAGGCACGCGGCCATTCAGAATTAGATTTTTCCTGGACTAGCGTGACGACAAGGAACCCGCAGTACAGGCCTTGCGCAAATACTGATAGTGCCCAGAACACCGAGCGAACCACCAAGACCGAGGCTTGAGGACTAGCTGCCATTGCTCCGGCAGATGCTGCAGCGGAAATGAGTAGATATCCGCCGGCGAAACAGATCAATAGTTGGCGGCCGGTTTGTATATTTTGGTGGTGCAGCAGGCTGAGAGCAACCAGAGTCAAGAAGCTTACTGCACTTAGGATAGTCGAGGCAACATCGGGAGAGGCTTTGGAGGTTGCGTAGCAGATCCCATTGAGAATAGTGACAATGAAAGTTACGAGCAAGGAGGCTCCCGCCAGTGAGTAAGACAGACGAGACATGATAATGGAAAAGAGAGAAAGACCAAAAGAATGGTTGGAAGTATATCAAAGGAAAGTAAGAGTGTGGATATGTCAAATGTTGGCAGACTGCCAATCCAAGACGTTTATCCAATGCACTCAATGAATGTGAAGGAATGTGCCAAATCCACGGGGAAAGATGTTGGTATTTATGAGTTGGGGATGCCTAGATGCATAGCCCTAGAGGGTTTCAACACGGGACTGAGGACTGCGGATCTCAGCGTGGCTTAAAAGTATATCGGGGAAGCTGTCCGTCTCAACCTGACGATCTTTTCCCATCGGTCTGATTCATCATTCCAGCATGCTGGTTAGAGTGTGTAGATAAGAATCGGTTTAGCAAGGGTCATCTCGATTGGGCGAGGCAAAGGATCCCGGTGGAGGTGCATAATGTATGTGGATATTGGCAATTGTTGTGTGTTCCAGCCATTGAGGCGACGCCATGGGGCCTGATTCTGGGGTAGAGCCCTGCCAGTTCAGACTCGTCCTGCAGACTAGCAATCCGATAATTTGGTAAATCTCACTAACAATGGCACTATTCATCTGATCAGTCTGGTCAGGGTGGCAGATCCTCTCTCGATCTCAATAATGCGGGCCGTATGTGATGTATCTCCCCCCCTTGCGAGAGGAAATCTCCGCCAAAACTCAGTTAGACCAGAGCTAAGTATAGTGTGAGTTTAGGTAAATTGAAAATTCACAATTGTACTTTGTAAATTCTATAGATCCATATTCCGTGCGGAGTACAAAGTACTCATAGACGGGATATCATGACCTGTCGTGCAGGAAGTATATAGTGGATTGTCTACCTATAATTTGGTCAATGCCCCCATTTATCCCTGAAGAAATTGGCGCATGTAATGATATAATTTGTTGACTTTAATTAAATTAGATTGTGTATTTTGTGGGTTTCACATATGCATCTTTTCCAGGGTGGGTAGAAGATGTGCAATGTACAGCGTCCGTGCTACTTACTTGAGAGGCAATAGTGGCGCTTCTTACTGTGTTATATAGGAGTTCAAAGTACAGAGTACTCCATACCGAGAATTCATTTCAAAATGGCAATGTCATTGGGAACCCAAAGTTGGATACAGATCTGCATCTCCATGTTAACTCTCGATGTCCGGGATGTTGTCATCGAGGCGCCAACAGGCAACCAGCTTGGAATCAAATGGAGTAGACCTAAATCCTTCTATATGCGCATGTGCACTGCATAGAGAGTGAGCAGTGCACGGGGAATACCAATAATAGCCTGGTAAGATCAAAATTTCCTTTGAAAAAGGTGAAATTAGCCCTAGGGGAAGTGGTCTGGTAGAGAGTAGTGGCGGTAAATCCGAAGGCGGTCACCGTACTCGTTTGCTATCGATCATCGTCACTCCGAATGCTCCCCTCCTACTTTCTTTTCCCTTCTCTTCGACTTTTCTTCGACATCATCGCTGAGAGGATCCTGTGCATCAACTACTCTCCCTCCCCCCTATCTCAATTCGTCATATTTTCTCCCTACCCCTTTTCTCCCTGGTTTTACTCAAAAGCGGCAAAATGAAGCTCACTTTCAAGGTATCGAAAACTTACTCTCTGGGTCCTCACAGCCACAGACTGCTGACAATCATCGAAATACAGGACCTAAAGCAGGAGAAGTTTGTCATCGATGTCGAACCTTCTGAGACTGTACGTTTCTTCCCTTTGCCACAACTAGGCGGCGTCATCGAGTGCGGGGCTCATCTGTTTAGGTTCGCGAGGTCAAGGTCAAAATCGCCCAAGAGAAAGCCGAATATGATGCAGAGCGCATGAAGGTCATCTACTCTGGTTCGTATTTGCTCCCCGATAGACAAATTTTCCATACACGGTGCTGTGGCTAACGTTCGCTTTTTTCTCTTTGTAGGAAAGATCCTTCAGGATGATAAGACAGTCGAATCTTACAACATCCAAGAGAAGGACTTCCTAGTGTGCTTGCCTTCAAAGGTACAGGATAAACCTTGTCTATGATTTCCGATGGCCGACCCAAAATTAACGCATTGATACTCAGCAACCCAAGGCCGCCGCTTCTACCACTTCACAAGTCCCCTCGACTCCAGCTGCCCGTGCTCCTGTGTCAACACCCGCTGCCCCCCAAGCTCCTCATGCTGCATCTGCTCCTCCCCCTTCTGCCGTCCCCGCGACTCCATCCCCAGCCGGTGCGGCTCCAGCTCCATCGACCGGTCCCGCCTTCGGAGATCCTTCCGCTCTTACCATGGGCTCTGCCGCTGAGGGTGCGGTTGTTCAGATGGAGGCGATGGGATTCGCCCGCACTGATATCGACCGTGCCATGCGCGCTGCATTCTACAACCCTGATCGCGCCATCGAATACCTTTTGACCGTAAGCTTTTCTGTTGAAGATTACACTTTGAATCTTTGCTAATGAGCACGACAGGGTATCCCCGATAACATCCAGGAACAGCAGCAACAACAACAGCGACAAGCCGCAGAGCCAGCCCCTACCAATGCTGCTCCTGCTGCCCCCGCTGCTCCTTCCGGTGGTGATGAGCCTCATCTGAATCTCTTCGAAGCTGCCGCTCAGGCTGGTGGCGAAGGTGGCCGAACTCGCGGTGCTGCCGGTGCCGGTGCCGGTGCTGGTGCCGCTGGTGGTGAAGCTCTTGGCAGCCTGGAGTTCCTCCGCAGCAACCCCCATTTCCAACAGCTTCGTCAGCTTGTCCAACAGCAGCCTCACATGCTCGAGCCCATCTTGCAACAAGTCGCCGCTGGGAATCCCCAGATTGCATCAATCATCGGACAGAACTCCGATCAATTCCTGCAGCTTCTCGGCGAAGAACTCGAAGACGAGGAGGGTGCTCTGCCACCTGGTGCACAGGCTATTTCGGTTACGGAAGAAGAGCGCGATGCCATTGAGCGTGTATGTTGGAACCTCCTTTCCGTCTCAAATATATTTTTTAACTAACCCCATAACCAGTTGTGCACCCTGGGCTTCCCCCGCGATTCCGTCATCCAGGCCTACTTTGCCTGCGACAAGAACGAGGAGCTCGCCGCCAACTTCCTCTTCGACCAGCCGGATGAGGATGAGCAGTAAAGAATCAAATGTTCTCTCTCACTTCTTTTCTTCCTCCCCTACTTCCCCCCCTTTAACGTTATGTTCTATGATGAATACCAAGCATGCTGCTGTTTGAATTGATTCCCATCTCTCCTCACCCGGATCCCTTCCTATGAATACGAATCAGTGTTCAGCCTGGCGTCTCTGAGTTTCTGCTTGCTGAGTATGGACTTGGCTTCTTTGTATCCCGCTTTTCTCCCCCATTAAGCCTATTATGTATCTATCTTAATGGGCAAAATGGGACCTGTTCGCTACATATAGAGTATGCGAGTAGCTGTATAACACTGTAGGTGGCAAAATTCGATCTGGTCATCTGGCATTCATTGGTGGTCAGGCGCATTTTATATGCAGGTAGACATGTGCAGATGACCTGTGAATCGGTTGGAATGTATATATTTGCATTGCAGAACTCTATATCCTCCAGCAACCACGACGGCCACCCAAATCGTCAAATATATTCCCACACAACATATCTAAGGTTACTACTTTGTATTTTGTAGTATCAATATGACATTGAAATCCATGTATAGCCCTTATCTCCACTTATCAGCCCTAAATAGTCCAGTGTTTGGGCATCTTTTGATATGTCTTATATTTTTCGTCTTATTCCCTTAGATACTAACCCAGCCGACTAGCTTATACATGAAAAACATTTGAAGTCAATAAATTGAACTAGTACTACTTACATATGGGTAGAGGTAAGTGCAGACTAGAACCCCAAAGATACCAACTTGACGCCCATCCCCAATGCAAAAAGGTATCTTATGGACCCAACCCTAACATGCACCGAAAATATCCAGAGAAAGAAAAAAAAAGAGAAATTGCAATCATGCAAATGAGAATGTAGTTCCCAAAAGATGAACAAAATACAACGCCCCATCCATGGAGTACCATGGATATGCAACAGGAGAAGATTATTTGCAAGATCTCCGCACAGACCAAACACCCAGTCCACGGCGTCCAACGACCCGTTGCAAAGTTGGAATGATTCCATCCTCGCCGAAGTCCATGTCATCGAGGTTGAGGTGTTTGCGATAGGACCAAAGGGGATGAAGTTGCAAGCTCTGGTCTCGGCTTTCACGTGCAGACACGGCGTATGGGTCCAGAAAAGAAGCTGATGTAGGCGCGACTAGGAATATGGACGATGGAGTTGAGCAGCTGGGTACAACCAGCTCCAGCTGAAGCATCATCTCGTCGCCTGACATTCCCATGAGATCCTCTGTCTGGATCTCTGTGGATTGGTTGTTACCACCGAGAAGCCACAGAGGTGGGGAGTATGTTTTCCACCAGAACACCGTCGCGGATGGGATGTGGTGGGTTGTACTGGATGAGACGATGTCGCGCATTGCTAGCTGTGTCGGGACGACGCCGCCTTGATGATAGACGCCCATGAGGAAGCCCATGGCTGCGTTAAAGATGACCCACACGATGAGGAGGAGGCGGGAGCGGAGCATGGGGACACAGCTGAGGAGGAGGGGCACGGCTGGGAGGAGGAAGCGTGGTTCTTGGTGCGGGAATAGGGAGAGGAGCATTGTTGCAGAGAGCGCGGAAAGAGCGCGCACATTGCGCATCCAGTATGGTACTACCAGTGGCCAGTTGAAGAGGGAGACTAGCATGGCGATGTATGCAGGACCAAGCAGTTGGAAGAGGTTTGCAGTGAAGTGTTGGTGGTGTGGATGGAGACCGTGCTGGGCAAGGTTGGAAGTGTCGGAGTTGTAGAGCAGGTTGTTGAGGGGAGTTATTATGGGGTCGCGGAAGGTGCTGAGGAGGGATGCTGTCGGTCGGTAGAAGGTTGTGTCTGTGTAGACTGCAATGAAGGAGAAGAGGAGACCGAAGAGAAGGAATGCCGCGAGCGAGAGTGGTCTGGCGCGGACGCGGGGTTAGTATATGTGTATTGGCTGGTGAGGTGGAGGTAAGGTGTATATAAATTGACATACTTGCGCTTGAACTGAGGTAGCAATTGCAGGCCTGGGAACAGAAGGAAAGCCGGGAAAGTGATGCGGTTGAAGACGCCCAGCACAGCGATGAAGGCGAGCAGGGCGTTGGAGAAGAAAGACGTGTGTCGCTGCAAGTTAAGTCAGCGTGAATTGTGCTGTTTCAAGCTTTATCTCTCTCTCACCTTATTGTCAACAATGCGCCGAATCAGAACCAGCCCCCAGGCAACCAACAGGGTCTCGAGGCTGTTGGAGAATGTGTGCGTCTGATATGTCCAGGTGACATACGACGAAGCCACCAGCACCACCATCGCGCGCCGATGACGCGGGGAAGGCACTAGCTCATAGATCGCCCAATCTTCCAGCACGAAACTCAATAGGAACATTCCACCGCGCAGCGCATAGTAAACCAAGTGAGGTGGAGGATTGCCCGACCCGATTTCAGTATAGAACCATTTCAGGAGGCTCATTGGAAGCTCGTAGATCGCCCATAGTGGGAATATGCTGCGGATGGGGTGTTCGACGGTAAACTCCCATGGTAGCTTCGAAGGAAATGAGAATATGCGACCTGCATTTTTGGTGATTTGGTCAATATTGTTTTCCCCTCGTATAGGGGAGTCGCGGAACTGCCGGATCGCGCTTTTGATATTTTTCTTTTGGGGAAAATGGCAACAAGATTTCCCACGCGTTTGTGCAGTCGCCGTATGATCGCGACTTGTCAGGCGATAATTAGAGAGTTAAACACACCTGCAAAAAGCTCTGGGCCTTGGAAGTTCTCATCGGGATGTAGATAGCTCGGGGAGAGCGCGAAATACACGCGAATCACCAATAGCAGTAGATAAGTTCGGCGCCACATGGTTGATGCAGGAACATTATTAGGAAAAGAAAGTAAAGAACAAACAGGAGAAAAAAGGAGTGGGAGCTAAGAGAAAGGTAAACGCGTATTAGGCGATGATATCACTTGTTTATGTTGAGCGGTAAATTGAAGCGGTGGGGACTATTGCGAGAAATTTAGATCTACAGATGGAGTAAGTATTGAATAGTATCATATTTCTACTCCGTACATATTTTCTACACATCAAAATCTTTTATGATTGATACATATGTTAACATTTGAATTCATATAGATCTCGCATACACACTATACGGAGTACTCCGTAACTCTATAGTTGATAGATCTACAATCTTTGGACAAATCAGATAATCAAGAATATAGTCCACGGGTTTACCCAAAACGACATCGGGGCCTTGCAATTACTGAGTTAAACACATCCAGATTCTTCCCCCTCCTTAGACATTAGTAGAACTAGATAGATTCGAATAGATTTGGCCGCTGTTGGTTCTGGCTTAGCGCAGTGTTCAAGCCCTCGCTTGCAGGCAGCATCCTAGGTTCCCAACTGTTAACTAGTGTTGAAGTTAGTGGGCTACTAGTATGTTTCCGAACAATTTCTACCTTGAAACAAAGAATCAATCATCTAGGCAACTGTAAGAACTAAGACGTGGGGGCTGGTTTGGAGCCTTGTTGGCCTGACTCCATATACCCGCCGACCGACCGCCTTTGGTAACCCAGAACCTCTTTGACCCTCACCACCCACCATCGACTTATTACATCCTTGTGACTTTCAAACCGTCAACATCTATCTTCATATCAACTCTGTCAAAGGACTTGATTAATTGAAATAATTTATTAACACCTTTCTCCAGTAACGTCCCCACCACTGGACCACCCCGCACTATTCAAAAAGCTAACTTCATCTGAATGTTAGATTCCATCTTCAACGTCATTAACCATGAGTGCTATCACCCTTACCAGCTCTGATGGAGTCGATATCTCCGTTGGTAAGCAGGATCTCCACGTATGATGCCATCGCGGCGCTGACAGTTTGCTGAACAGAGCGCACAACTGCTGAGCGCTCCGTCTTGATCAAGAACATGCTTGAGGATCTTGGCGATTCTGGAGAGGCTATCCCCATTCCTAATGTGAATATCTGCTCAAAAAGAAACAACCTACAGAACTTGACGCTTATAAATCTTCGTCCAGGTTAACGAGGCCGTCCTCAAGAAGGTCATCGAGTGGTGTGAACACCACAAGAACGACCCCCCAAGCGCCAGCGATGACGATGACAACCGTCGCAAGACTACCGATATTGATGAGTGGGATCAGAAGTTCATGCAAGTGGACCAGGAGATGCTTTTCGAGATCATCCTCGTATGTTTCATGTCTAGACTTGCTCTTCGGCACATATACTGATTCTACTCCTAGGCTGCCAACTACTTGGATATCAAGGCCCTCCTTGACGTCGGCTGCAAGACAGTCGCCAACATGATCAAGGGCAAGTCCCCGGAGGAGATCCGTAAGACCTTCAACATCCAGAATGACTTCACTCCCGAGGAGGAAGATCAGATCCGCCGTGAGAACGAGTGGGCCGAGGAGTAAGTTGCCACCACGGTACCCTTGGATATAATAATGCTAATATTTTCTACTTTATAAGTCGTTAAATGATGATTTTTTTTTTTGTCTGTTGTCCTTTCTAAAACAGAAAATGATATCCTCTCGGCTGCTAATGACAATGTGCAGCGTAGCCCTTATGTCTAGTAGGGTGATTACTTTTTGGGGCGTTTATTTTTGCAATTTGCTGCCAATATTATTATGATACGGGAAAAATCACTAGCTTTGCTAATGGCATTCGGGATAGAATCCTCCTAAACCCAGTAGCATTAGATAGCGGGGTCATGAACCGACTTTCGCTCATATTTTTACTATGACGACAATCGCGAAGTTGTAAAAAGCATCTAGCATATAAAACGCAGATACAAGGCTGTACTACAAAGCGGGATACAAATAGTAACGCGATCAGGTACATACATGGATATGTTCCCCATGCAAGGCCCTGATCAAATCTACAGCCATCTAGGCTATCCCAGATGTAGGCAAAAGGACATTCAATTCGATTCAATCAGATTTTGTATCAAAAAAGAAAATCCTCCGCCACGCCAGTCCTACAAGCCCGCCCCCAGCAAGAAGACGATCAGCCCACACCAACAAACCCTTTGCAAACATAACCCGGGCCTGCTATCCATATCGATAAATTAGGCGTGTTGGAAATCCATCATATCCCCACTCGGAACCGTGGAGAAAGAAATGACCCATTGGAAGATTAAGAAAAAAAAAAAAGATAGACACAACCCAAAGCAAGACCCGGATCAAGATTGAATTTTTGAATTTTTGTTTGCAATTGCACTCAAGAGTAGTTCCACATCCACTAGCGCTCTCAAGTTCATGGTGAAGGCATGTTGTTCGAAATTCGGTTGTGGGCGTCACATCATGAAGAGGGTTTCGAAATAATCAAAAACCCTTGAACCACCCCCGCACAGACACACTTCGGTTGCCAATTGACATCGCGAGCTGAACTGGGGCTTCGGAGAATAGCCAGACGGAGGGTTGCGGATACTGAGGGTCCGCTTAGACCTTCAGGGTTGACTTACGCCAGTGGCGACGCTTGGCGTTGTATCTGTTTTAGATTGTAATCAGCCATATGTTCGATCCGGAATGATTTCTGTGTCTCTTCCTCCATCCGTGGTTTCGTGAGGTCGGCGGGTGGATGGTTATGTGTATTTCCCGTTCCTCTCTCGCGCTTCCGTATCACTATTCCCACAAATGGCGTACTCGGATATAATGTATTTTGGGATCTCGAAACAACGGTGCGATTTACCTGATGGTGTTGTTGGTGCGCAGACGGATCCACTGGGGGATGGGGCGGTTCTGACGCTGAGCTTTGGCAAGCTTTTGCTTGGTGCGGAAGGTCTTGTTGCTCTGTGTGGAAAATGACGGGTTAAAATTTTGTTTCTCAATTTTTCAGAGGTCTGACTGGGGAAAGGGACGGCGGCGATGGCGAAAGTATTTTTCGAGTATGGCGCGAACAGGGTGGTTAACATACCGGCATCTTGAAGGGTTGATCGCGACGGCGAGCTTGTTGGATGGACGGATGAAGTGGTCGACCTTCGGATGTGGATGGTTTGTGTGCGGCAGGGCTTGGCTTCGCTTCGGTTGGGTCAGGTGATGTGGGACTGGTGCCTGAGGTTGTAAGGCATAAATAAATTACGAATCGGGAAACGATCCGCAAAGTGGGTCGGACTCTATAAGTGTTGCGTATGTAGTCTGTTTTACGATATGCCTTCATGGATATATCCTGCCCTATTGTCAGCTTAGTAGTTACATTAGCTAGGTATTAGAGACGTTATAGACAATATAGGTTCTATACGGCCTTATGACCTGAAATGCAATAGATTATAGTTAAATCCTCAGCCAAATACAGAATTAGAGCAATACAACAGTCATAACAAGAAACATATTCATGCAAGATCTCATTAGGCCAATGCCGCAGTAGTCAGCCTATATGCAATGGAATCAAGTTGCCGTTCCTCTTCGGGGAATCGGGGGATAACAGACAAAACTGCTTCATTGAAGTCAATAAAGAACTGCTGAGCCAATAACGCAGCACTTTCAAACGCAGGGGGATATGCACCGGCATGCGCCCAGTCTATCAACCACACGTCTCCATTGTCGTCTAGAATGAAGTTTCGAGGACTCATGTCTTAGTGAGTGAGAACAAAGGTGCTAAATCGAAATGGCGAGATATCCTTGGGGCATTGCTTCACATGCTTACAGATATCAAGTTTGTGGTTGAACCAGTTTTGAAGTTCAGCACAGTCCTTGAATGGGCCAGCGCTATAATCTGTGAAGAATCGGCCACGAAATGGCCCGCCACCCAGGGGACCAGGTTGCGAGATTACCACCGACTGCATCTCCTTGATCATGTCCGCTATCTGCATAGCGATTAGCCTTTGATTGTCGGAGGATAGGTCGGTCCAACATTTATCAAGAGGTTGGCCTCGGATAAAATCCATCACAATGTATTCCTTAGTGCCAAAGTACTTTGTCTCGTCTTCGACTTGAAATGAGCGATGGATTCGTGGAGCTCGAATGTTCGTTTTAGAGGCAATGAGCTTGAGCATCTCTGCTTCGCACGGTAAGATACTACCGCCACCTTTCATCACCAAATGCTGCGAGAGTCGCACAACTTTTGTGCCGCCAAGCTCGTGCAGCGCAGGAGCAGACTTAAGAAGGCTTACCAGGGTCTCGTCCGTGACGGAGGCAAGGCCCTTTCCGTTTAGCGAGAAGTCTCCATCCGAATCACGGCTGTGCGGCTGTAGGTCGGTCTGCCAGTAAATAGCACTAAAGCAGTGAGCATCACATACATCAGAAAGTGGAGTCCACATTGTTGGCACCGTTCTCATGTATGGAGGGACTGGGGCAATGACTGTCGAATCTCCCTGCCCGGGTGGTTGGGGAAACCTGATTCTTTTAGATATGCACCCAATACTGCCTTGTAAGTGGTGAATGGAGGATGACTCTTTGAGGACTTAGGCGTTCAAACGTAGCTGGGTAGCCAATCAACGTCGCTAGCTTGACACGCGAATCGTAGTGGGTGCCTAATCTATCGCATCCCTGTACGGAGTACTCCGTAAGGTCATTGAGATCACAACTTCCTGATGTATGCATAATGTGTCCGTGCCATCGGGCATGCCTCAACTTTCAAAATGCCTTCCATTGATCTCGCCTCTTCATTATAACCATGCTAGAAACAAGTCAATAAAACACCCATCCACTTAGACCATGTCAGCAGTTCTTAGTCAGAATACTACTATGCAGTTTTCTCATTCCACTTGGCGCGTTGGCTACGTAGTCGAGTCCAACGAATTATAGAACCGGATGACAGATGTGAAGTTGTCTTGCAAAAAAAAAAGGCAGAGAAAACAGGTATATAATGAATCACGTAGATGATAGCATTTGGCGAATAGTTAGTAAGGATTTTGCTGCCTGTGGTCAACCTGGGGATATATATCTATCCTCCTCACCCTTCTGAGTTGGAATGCATGATTATCTATCATTATATATTTCCCAGTCAGGTCATGAACCTTTTTTTTTCATTCATGACACAAGAATCGTGGCCCGCATAAGCGGCCTTGCGATGTCTTCAGTAGTTTTCTCAGGTATCATTCTATGTGGATATGTTGTCAAATTTATAGGTTGACGCGGAAAAAGGCGTAATTTGTGCAATGGACTTTTCCAAGTATAACCTTTGATGCATGGTTCCTCTCCGCCCTCGTCTTTATAATAATGGGGTTTGCCTGGTGATCCTAGATGTGTGTACCTAGACCACGCCACTTGATATCAGCCTCCAGACTTAGGATAGTCAGCACTGTAGCCACATCACCAGGCTCTTTTCCTTCCGGGCTCTTTCCCTCGTACGTTCTTTCTCTCATAACTTCTCTCATGATTCTCAGATCTCCCCCTCAATTAATCTTTCTGTCAGTTCACAGTTCACTCTCGGTTCATCTTCCCTGCTTTGAAATTCCTTGACAGTTTCAGATTGGACACTGCCTAGCAGCCTGCCGTGAGGGTGAGAATGGCAGAGGAATATCATCATTAACACTGCCCAGGTCCACGGGTGGAGATAATGCGGTTTAGTCATCACGTAGGTGGGCCCCGGGGCCGGGGGCCTCCTGCCCCCTCTCGAAGAGCTTGTTTCTCTTCCATTGTATCATTAGGGACTTGAACCAATGGCAATTTTCATCGTTTGTTATCTTTCTTTCCATCTGATCTCAATCACTTATTGCCAAGCAGAGCATTCCTTTAGACCACCAGCTTCAGGTGGAAAGGAGGCGTGGCGTCGGGACCAGTCTAGTAAGTACTTACTCTGGTTGCAATTACCATAGCGTGGTGCTTCGTAATACCGAAGACATAAAAACTACCGTCATGTGCCAGTGTCCGTTTCCTAGTTTTAGCCAGAATGAACGTCATGATTCCCCTTTATTCCTGCTATAGATTTCGTTTTTATAGCCATGCCTCCTTTGCTGTTATGAGATTTCGTCTTATTTTTATTTATGGTCTCCTGCCCTTAGCTTTTTGTCCGCTATCCCGCTGTCTTGCTGTCTTATTCATCTTGATATTCATACTTCTACTGCAACATTAGTTGATTTATCTTTGCTTTGGAGGTCATTATTGTATGTACTCGGATTCGTGTGCTATTCGTTAAAATGCGTATGTATACTATGGCTTATCTCGATTTCTTGAACACGTACTTTTGTTGAGATAAAGGAGAAGGGAAAATAGTCAAGAGAGATCTAACATTTATGGTGTACTGGGACAGTAAGAAAGTGAACATATTCCCAATCTTGGAAATATATTTCATATAGCTTCAGTACATACTCTGTAGGTTGAAGCCCTACATACTACAACCCTATATATTTTGTACGACGGCTGCCTGTCGCGTGGCAACAAGGTTCCTTGGTAAATGCTTATATTTCAGACTGGGCTATTTACGAATTAGCGAATAGCTATTCGAAGATAACTATTCTAATTATTTTTTGAGCAAAAATAATATTACCCTAAACCTCGAAGGATCTCAAAAGCGTCGGAGATCGGGCGGGAAACTAACCGAAGTCCGTGGTAGGAGTCCAGATCGGGCATTTTACTTTGAAACCCTTTTCGGATTAAAATTCGGTCGAAATGTATGACTCAATTCGTATTACTTTGCGTAATATCTTGTAGCCTTCCAAGGTTCCAAACGTCTAAGATGTACAACATATATACGCATGTGCCAATCATACCGGACCTGCATCAAAAGCTGTTAAAGTCGCGTAAAGGGAGGCGCGTTCAAGGGATGCCCTTACACAAGGAATGTGAAGACAGGAATGTGGAGTTTCACCTGTAAAAGCTGGAACAGGAAAAGCTGGAACAGGAAAAAAAGTGAAAATACCTGCATTTACTACTTTAGTTACTAGTCCTCGTAAGAACGGAGTACCTACGGAGTAAGCCTCTAGGCAGATTAAATGCATAAAGATGTCGGAGTTTGGCGTACCCGACCCCGGAGAAAAAAGAGTATAATAAGAAAGAAAATCCAACAAGAACATTATTTAGACCCCCCTTTGTTCTCCCTTTAATAAGATAATCTTTAATTTTCGTATCCCTTCTTAATATTTTCTTACTTCATTTCTTTCATTCCCTTGTACCCTCCTTGTTTCATCCCATCTCTCTTTTTCTCACTTCCATGGAGTAAAGCTCCAATCCTCAGATTTCAACATGCAGCAGCCCGAGGAGGGTGTGACGGCCGTTGAGAAGGTGGCGGAGGACCCTCAGCTTAACGAGAAACCCGTCGACACGCCCGTCGACAAGCGTGATTCCGATGCAGCTTCTACATCAACCAAACCCGAAACCAAAACTCCAGTGGGGGAAGATGATGATGCGCTCTATGGTCATTTGCCCGAGCATGAAAAGGATATCCTGAAACAACAGCTAGATGCGCCTCTCGTCAATATCTCCTACTTCGGTCTCTACAGATATGCCTCCCACATGGACATACTCATCCTTATCGTCAGCGCCCTTTGCGCCATCGCTGGCGGTGCTGCTTTGCCCCTCTTCACCATTCTCTTTGGCTCCTTGGCTACAGCTTTCCAAAAGATTATGCTCCGAATGATCCCCTACGATGAATTCTACGACCAGTTGACCAAAAACGTCTTGTACTTTATCTATCTCGGCATCGGAGAGTTTGTCACCATCTACGTCAGCACCGTGGGTTTCATCTACACAGGAGAACATGTCACCCAGAAGATTCGAGAGCACTACCTCGAAGCTATTCTACGTCAGAACATCGCCTACTTCGACAAGCTTGGTGCAGGTGAAGTGACCACCCGTATCACGGCCGACACCAACCTTATTCAGGATGGTGTCTCCGAAAAGGTCGGCTTAACCTTGACTGCTGTCGCCACCTTCGTCACTGCCTTCGTGGTTGCATACATCAAGTATGCCCCATTGGCTGGCATCTGTACTTCAACTATGGTCGCGCTGATCTTGATCATGGGTGGAGGTTCCAGACTGATCATCAAGTTTGGAAAGCTTTCCCTCGAAAGCGCCGGTGCCGGTGGAACAGTGGCAGAGGAAGTCATCAGCTCGATCCGCAATGCGACCGCATTTGGTACTCAGGACAAGCTTGCGGACCAGTACGAGTCTCACCTGGTTCGCGCAGAGCGCTGGGGCATGCGTCTGCAAATGAGTCTCGCCGTGATGGTCGGTGTTATGTTCGGACTCATGTTCATGAACTACGGCCTCGGATTCTGGATGGGTTCCCAATTTCTCGTGCAGGGTAAGGTTGATGTTGGTCACGTTTTGACCATTTTGATGGCTATTCTTATCGGATCTTTCTCCCTGGGCAATGTCAGCCCCAACGCCTCTGCCTTTACCAATGCCGTAGCTGCCGCTACCAAGATCTTTGCGACCATCGACCGTGAATCCCCGCTAGACCCCACCTCCGATGAAGGCATCATTCTTGACCACGTCGAGGGTCATATCGAGTTCCGCAATGTGAAGCACATTTATCCCTCCCGTCCTGAAGTAACAATCATGAAGGACGTTTCCCTCAACATCCCTGCTGGTAAGGCTACCGCGTTGGTCGGCCCTTCAGGCTCTGGAAAGAGTACTGTCGTCGGTCTCGTCGAGCGGTTCTATCTTCCAGTTGGTGGCCAGGTGTTCTTAGATGGCCATGATATCCAGACTCTCAACCTGCGATGGCTACGTCAGCAGATCTCGCTTGTCAGCCAGGAACCTGTTCTGTTTGGCACAACCATCTACCAGAACATCCGCCACGGTCTGATTGGAACACGCTTTGAGCATGAGTCTGAAGAAAAAATAAAGGAACTGATTGAGAATGCGGCCAAGATGGCCAATGCTCACGAGTTTATTACCGCTCTTCCCGAAGGTTATGAAACCAACGTCGGCCAACGTGGATTCCTGTTGTCTGGAGGACAAAAGCAGCGTATCGCCATCGCTCGTGCTATGGTCAGCGACCCCAAAATCTTGCTTCTGGATGAAGCCACTTCCGCCCTGGATACCAAGTCTGAGGGTGTCGTTCAAGCAGCGCTTGATCGCGCTGCTGAGGGCCGCACCACCATTGTCATTGCCCATCGTCTGTCCACCATCAAGTCTGCGCATAACATTGTTGTCTTTGTCAATGGATCCATTGTTGAGCAGGGTTCTCACGACCAACTGACTGAACATGACGGCCCTTACTACAAGCTTGTCGAGGCCCAGCGCATCAATGCGGAGAAGGACGCAGACGCCTTGGACGTGGACGAGGATGAGGATAGCATCGAGCACATGACCAAGTCTCACATCGCACGTGTCAAGTCAATTGCTAGTGGCTCAACTGGTGCGAAGGATGAGGGCGAAACATTCCAGGAAGCCATGCATCGCCAGGAGTCCCGCAAGTCTGTGTCCAGTGTTATCCTCGCGCAGAAGATTGCTGAAGGTGGCAGCAAGTACTCACTTTTTACTCTGATCAAGTTCATCGCCTCGTTCAACAAGGAAGAGCGATTGTTCATGGGCATTGGTCTTTGCTTCTCGATTCTCGCCGGTTGTGGTCAACCCACTCAAGCTTTCTTGTATGCCAAAGCTATCAGCTCGCTTTCCTTGCCCAGAGACCAGTTTGCCAAGCTGAGGTCGGATGCCAACTTTTGGTCACTGATGTTCTTTATTGTTGGTATCGTTCAAATCATCACCTTCTCGGTCCACGGTATCGCTTTCGCGTTTAGCTCCGAAAGACTGATCCGCAAGGCCCGGAGTAAGGCTTTCCGAGTTATGCTCCGACAGGATATCAACTTCTTCGATCGTGAGGAGAATAGCACCGGCGCTTTGACTTCTTTCCTCTCGACTGAAACCAAACACCTGTCTGGTATCAGTGGTCAAGTTCTTGGAACAATTCTCATGACTTCCACAACTCTTATCGCTTCAATTGTGATCTCGCTTGCTTTCGGATGGAAGCTTGCCCTCGTTTGTATCTCTGTCGTCCCCATTCTTCTTGGCTGTGGATTCTACCGCTTCTACATGCTTGCCGAGTTCCAGGCACGTTCCAAGGCAGCATATGAGGGATCAGCCAGCTACGCCTGCGAGGCTACATCTGCTATTCGCACTGTGGCTTCGCTTACCCGTGAGACCGATGTTTGGGACTTCTATCACGATCAACTCAACCGCCAAGCTCGCACAAGCTTGATCTCAGTCATCAAGTCGTCGTCCTTGTATGCAGCTTCCCAGGCCTTGGTCTTCTTCTGTGTTGCCCTTGGCTTCTGGTATGGTGGAACCCTACTCGGCCATCACGAATATGATGTGTTCCGCTTCTTTGTCTGCTTCAGTGAAATTTTGTTCGGTGCCCAGTCTGCCGGCACAGTGTTCTCCTTCTCCCCAGACATGGGCAAGGCTAAGAACGCCGCCGCCGAGTTCCTTAAGCTGTTCGAGCGCCGGCCTACAATTGACACATGGTCCAAAGAGGGCGAGGATTTGAACCACTGCGAAGGAACCATTGAGTTCAAGGATGTTCACTTCCGCTACCCTACCCGTCCCGAGCAGCCCGTGCTCCGTGGGCTGAACCTCACCGTCAAGCCTGGCCAGTACATTGCTCTTGTCGGACCTAGCGGATGCGGCAAGAGTACCACCATTGCCCTTCTCGAGCGTTTCTACGATGCCCTTTCCGGTGGTGTCTACGTGGATGACAAGAACATCGCCGACCTCAATGTCAATTCCTACCGTAGCCACCTGGCGCTGGTCAGCCAGGAGCCCACTCTCTACCAGGGTACCATCAAGGAGAACATCCTGCTCGGCAGCCCTAACGATGACCCCACCGAAGAGGTGCTGGTTCAGGTCTGCAAGGACGCCAACATTTACGACTTCATTATGTCTCTCCCCGAAGGCTTTAACACCGTCGTCGGCAGCAAGGGAGGTATGTTGTCTGGTGGTCAAAAGCAACGTGTTGCCATCGCCCGTGCTCTTCTTCGCAACCCTAAGATCTTGCTTCTGGACGAGGCCACCTCGGCTCTCGACTCCGAGTCTGAGAAGGTCGTCCAAGCTGCTCTGGACGCTGCCGCGCGCGGTCGTACCACCATCGCCGTTGCTCACCGTCTTAGTACCATTCAGAAGGCCGACATCATCTATGTCTTTGACCAAGGCAGAATTGTCGAGAGTGGTACTCACACTGAGCTCTTGCGCAACAAGGGTCGCTACTTCGAGCTGGTCAACCTCCAGTCCCTTGGCCGTGCCGGCTAGTTCTTTTCATGTACCATACTACCCTCATTCATCATCCCATCTCACCTCCCTACCATTTCTCCCCATCTATCTCATCTCAGGTGTTTTTAAATTTTTTTTTCAACCCCCCTCACCCCCATTCTTGTCATAGATTTTTTGTTGCCAGCGGCGAAGACCCGGAAAGCCGGGGTACACTGTTTTCCCGTGATCAGAGAAAAACATAAAAAAACATCCATTAGGGGTGTAGGAATAAATGAATGAATACAATGAATCTCAATTCAGTGCCATCCGATTCCACTCCGAACTCCGTCCACTCCATCCAACCCTTAGAATAATTTCAAGTCCTTTCAGCCCGCAGGCCCCTTGCAGCCGTAGCCCTTCAATCCTCTTCCGCAACCCCAAACTCCTTCTCCACATCCACCTGCCTCACCCCCCTCGCCTCAGCAAGGATCCCCATCAATCCCTGCCCAACATCCTTGATATCATTGTATTCATGCAAGAGCTTGACATATCGGTTGCACGTGGCATCAGGATTGTCACTGAAATAGACTGTGTTAGAGATACAAATGCAACTTCCATATTCTTTTAGTGTATCCTTGTGTAGCCTGTATGCAATTGGGAACTGGAGTGTTTACATGAGCAGATCATGCAATGCAGCTAGGTCCTTTTCAAGTTGCGCATGCTTGGCCTCTAGATTTGCAATCGAAGCGCGAAGAGCCGCCTGTTGCGTGTTAGTGCTACACGGGTGTGTGCAGGGTGGGGGATACTTGGGACGTACTAATCTTTGCTGGTCTCTGTAAGACTTTGGTTCTTCTTTGGCTTGATCCATGTTTGCAATTCAGTGTATGTGTGTTGTGATACGAAAGATGAGGGAGTGTTGGAAGTTCTAATCTACCCCAGAATTATATAGTCCTGACCAATCACAGTCTCGCTGAATAATCCAGTCCAAGGGTTTCTGTCCCTAATCTCAAGGTAACTGAAATTTTTAATTATCCATTGTTGATAGTAATTATATGAATAAATTAGCAACTAAATTACTTACATATGTAATATATGTAACTATTGGAGTATACTTATATTGTAGAGATAAAAAGAAGACAGTGCCCTGACTCCACATCCCGCGTAATCGGATCCTCCGGATTTGGTTACCTGTTATCCGCATCTGTTCTCTTCTCCCTTTCAACTCCCAACTCCAACATGGCATTTCTTCGTCAGTCCATATGGACTTTATTTGTGTTGGCTGCCTTGGCTCTAGCCCATGGCGGCCATGATGCTGTTCCTGAGGGCGAATCTATCTCCAAAGATCCTATCGTACGTGGTACTACGCCTACTCGTCTGACAAAAAGTTAACGATTCCAGGACTCGACACTATGGACTCATATGATTCTCATGGGTTTGGCATTTGGTATAATTTTCCCAACGGGAATGGTTCTTGGAGTATGTACCCCTTGACTTGTCTCTTCCCCGCCATCACATCCCTAACAAAAAGCAAATAGATAACCCGCTCGCGCTGGCATGTCCCCGTTCAAACCGTCGGCACCGTAGTCGCGGTGTTAGCCTACTTCCTCGGCCACGCCCACAAAGGCCGTCAATTTGATAAGAATCTGCACGCCTCCGTCGCAAACTGGCTCATGTTCTTGCTGGTCGCGCAAGTCGTCCTCGGAGTGTATCTTAAGCTCCACCTAGAAAAGGCGGGCCAGGCCCGTATCAGATGGATCTTCGTGCTGGCACACGGTATCATCGGCAAGGTCATGCCCGTTCTCAGCTGGGCGCAGATGCTATTTGGCGGCATTGCCTCGCTCGGCTTCTGTCGCGATGATCATCTCGGCCAGTGCCTGGCCCATTTCATCATGGGCTCCGCTTTCATCGGATATGGTATCTGCCTGACCATCCTCTTGCTTGTCGGCCAGTATTGGTTGCGTCGTACAGGCCGCAGTCAGGAGTTCTTCGATTCGCTCATCATCGCTGCTTGGGGCTGTGTTAATACTTTCACCGAGCACCGATGGGGTACCCCTTGGGTTCACAATGACCTCCAGCATACCACTATGGGAATTGTATGGTGGTGTGCCGGTCTGCTGGGTATGTGGCTCAGTCGTACGCGCAGCGGCCGTCCTAAGCGTAATATCATTCCCGCCCTTGTCATCTTGATGACTGGTTATGCCATGTCCGCTCATCCCCAGACGTTGATGATCAGTACTATGGTCCACTCTCTCTTCGGGTATACCCTGATGGCCGCGGGTCTGACTCGAATCATTGAGATCTCGTTCGTGCTAAAGGATAAGCCTGCTCTCTCCGAGCCGAACAGCTTCCAATACCTGACTCCCTTCGTATGTCTCCTGGTCCATGTGGTATAGAATAATACTGACTTGTTTTGCAGTTGCTCTATGCCTCCGGCTTCCTCTTCATGGGCGCCACTGAAGAGCAGATGCTCCTGTTGCACAACGCAGGCATCACCCACGTGGCCTACGTCTTAATTCTCTACAGCATTGCTTTCCTCCTCTTCCTCTGTAAGTTGACTCCCCCACTTTTCTTTTCTAGAACATCTACTCATTCTTCTCCAGTCGTCAACATCCTCCTCCACATTTACGCCGTACACGCCTGGCCCGACTCCGAGTCCACCAACCAGGACGGCCCCATGTACTCCACTCTCAACGGGACCGCGAATGGCCGTGCGCGCTCAAACTCACAGCAGATCCAAGATGCCGAGGCATTCGAACTCCATGGCTTGATTTCTGATGACGAGGAGGGTCCTTCTATGGGACCGCGGAAGAACAGTGATGAGGAACTTGGAAAAGAGGGCCGTCACTGAGGCCTTGCGTTCGTTGATTCCTTACAAGTATATCGTGCATTTTTTGATATTGTGCCGGCGTCTTGGTTGGGCTGGGTTCGGTTCAAATAGCATTTCGGGTTCTAATTAGACCTTGAGTTCGAGTAATAATATACGTGAACAAAAGTGTATATAATTTTTCATGCAAGTCAAGTATCAATTGTTCGTGTTCTATCGTACATAATGAGACCCAGATCTAAGTCCATGGTTCCTAGAATCTGAAAAAAAGAAAAGAGATTCGTAAAAAAGAGTCCAAGTCCAATCCCCCACATATCCTTTAGTCCAACCCAGCTACAGGAACCGTAATCGGGTTCCTGACGGGTGGCACAGCAGCCATCTTCACACCATCATCCGGGAAGAAAGGATGAAGCGAATAAATCGGTCCAACGCTCTTGTCCCCATCAAATAGCAACATATTCTGCAACGGCTGCTCCCTCGCCGAGAGAACATTAATAGCATCCTGCGCCAACGCAGCTCCCAAAACCGCCGCAACGGGACTCAGCTCGCTGCCCAAGTTCTGCAGGAACGTCCGCAGGAACACGGAGTCTAGGGTAAGTGGCTCCAGCTTCAGTTCCTGGTGTCTGTCTCGCGATAGCTTGGTGAATAGTTCCAGGTCTTCGTGCGTAAAGGTCGGACGGTGGCCGAGGAGTTTTTCGAATTCCCATAGTGCGCGCAGACAGCTGAGTAGGGGGGTTACTTGCCTGCGACGGCGTGGAAGTCGTGTGTATTCTTCCGGTAGTGGGGATGTGTTTGCGAGGATTAGTGGTGAGTACACCTCGCGCTTGGTGACCAGCTCGATGACCTTGTTTGGTTCTTTCTTGTTGGCATCGGTTTGCTCTTCTTTAGTGGTTATGTTGATGATGCTGCGGGTGGGTGTTTCTTGGGTTGCGGGTGCTACGTTGGATTTGCTGCGCTCGATCACGAAGTCGTGGCTGATTAAATCGGCGAAGACGTAGCCGTAGAAGCCGTGGAGACCGGCGGCGTAGAAGGGTCTGTTGGCTAGTCGGCAGGCGGCGTTCACGGTGGTATTGGTTACGAAGTCTAGCTCCGTAGCGATTGTGATATCGAATTGCGCGAAGAAGTCGGGTTGTTTGGTTTTGACATCGGAGGTGTCGATGTTGAGCTTGACTCGAGTGTTCATTTTGTGGATTTGGGGTCCTGCGACTTCCGCACGCTAGAGTGGGTTAGAGGATGGCGGTGGGTATTCTTCTCTGGCTATAGCTTACATTCTTTCCAATCACATTCTGTTCACTTTGTGCTTGAGCGATGAAGAACTGCGCGCCCAGGTCTTCCTCTGTGACGACCTGGTGGTCGATTATGGTGAGTGAGCCAATGCCTGCCAAGACGAGGTTCTTGGCCACTTCGTTTGCGAGAGCTTTGGCGGTAATGAGGAGGATGTTGGCTGATCGGATTCTAGCTTTTGTTAGGACATGTAGTGTTCTGCAAGCTAGATTACTCACTTTTCTTGTGCGTGCACTCCCCACAGCCGGATCTGTCGGTCATACAGCGCAATTTCATCTGGCAAAGTTAGGAGGTGTTGGATCAGATTCTAATAATTGGCCATACCAGCACTGATTGACTGTCCATTCTCTTGTTGCTCTGCCATAGTGTCGAGTGGTTAAGATAAGAGTACAATCTTGCCCAGACCAGGTATGAGCTTGGCGATTTGAAGCCCTATAGTAGTGTTTTGGAGTATTCGGGAAATTTGATGTCAAGTGAAAAGTATGTATTGAAGTGAATTGACGAGATGTGCAAGGGGAGTGAGGAAGCTAAACTTGAGAGTTCAGAAGTGCCGGTTTAGATGTCATGTGACCCGGGAGCTACTATGTGGGGCCGTGGGGACAAAGAAGTATACAATTTTATGTGAAAGATCTTGACAAGACAAAGAATATACATAGAATATCTTAGTCAAATAGGAATCTGGTCAAATTAGCGGATAATACAAAGGGAATAAAACCTTGAAACAGTTGGGATTCATGGGTATATGTAATTTTACGATTTATAGACTAGTATAGAGGCTATAGATCAACATTCAAGTCAACGTTTAGAAATTAGCTGAATACAGCACCCAATAGCAAATGATACAGTGATATATCTGTGTATGCTGTAGCTTCTTTTAATATATATCTAGCACAATACTGTAGATCATTTCTACATAACTTCCGTTCCTCCTGTTGCCCATATGAGTCTTCAGCAGCATGTTGAGGTTGATTGTTGCCACTATCTTTACCAGATGAGATTTGGCATTCTTTATTGCATAAATTCCAATAAATGTTTCAAAGCTTCTCTATAGACTTTCATGGCTCTGTCACTTTATCATGAAATATATGGTCAAAAACGGCGCTAAGTGACATAATTAGCTATCAGCCCATGCCCAATGAAGAAATTCACACAAGAAACAAATTGCGAAATGAAAGAGATGATCAACGAAATTTGTGAAATCTTTAAAGTCCATGAACACAATGAAGTTTCAACTCTCAACCTTTCAACCTTCCACCTGCACTTTCCCATCGATGATCTAATCGACCATCACGTGTTATCAACCTTGGGCAACTTACAGGTTGCCAACTCTCTCAAGAACATCTCCTTTTATCGCTGTGTTAATCTTTTGGGGTCTCACCCTTTTTTTATTTCTATTGGGTGTGCTGACAGGATTGTCTACCCCTATCCCCTAAACCGACATAGGTAACTCCACCTCTTAAACGGTACGAACGAGCCCATATAATGGTATGTCTCTCATGGTTCCCACGCGTCTGACTGATGTCTTACAACTTCCTTTTAGTCGGGGAATTACGATTATCCTCGCGCTTCTTCCTCTTCTTCCCGCCGTATATCCCGTATCGCCAGGCCTGACGAGCGCCCTGAGGTCCTCCGTCTCCAGCATCTCCGCAATTTCGTATCCGAACGGAATCGCTCCGGTGCCCACAACGCCTACAACACCACCCTTGCCTTGGAAACATTAAATCGAGAAGTTGCTGAGCATTCACTGGACCGAGCTCGCGATCGTCCCAACTTTGAGCAAGCCCGGGCGGACATCGATCGTCAAATCCAACAATTACAGTCCGAAACCGCTGGCCCCGCAGAACGAATTCGGAGCATTTGGCTTGACCAGATTCGCTCAGAGGGGGCTCGAACTTCGCTCTCGCCAGAGTCACATTCTCTTCGCCATCGTTTACCTTGGCAAACACTCAGTCTAGACGGATCGTTATCCAGATCACCGTCCCTCATGCCACCATCCGGCCAGTCGGGCCGCGATAGCCAAGGACGGATGAAGCGTCGGAAACTAGACACCGACGATAATCGCGAGGAATTTCGAGGCTTTAACTACGGTCAATATGGACAAGTAGTACCAGGGATGCTACAAATGGAAATCGCTAGCTGCGATGGCGGAAGCTACGATCCGGATAGCGGGTGCTCGCGTCCAGAGAACGTTTTGGACAACAACACAAGTGTATACTCTACCAAAGAGGCCCGCTGCAACCTGGTTCTCTGCCATCGGGGCGAAGCCCCATTCTGCCTGAAGAAAATCGTTATCAGAGCCCCTCAATGCGGGTTCGATGCTCCGTATGTCCACCAGGCGTATCTGCATGTTGAACTAATAGCTAATTGTGACTAATCAAACCAGGATACAAGAAGGCATGGTCTTCGTCGCCATGACATCCGATGAACTGCTCGCCCGCACCGCCCAATACCAAATCCAATACTCCAGTGGCCGATACCGTCGTCGTGGCCGCCGCAGTGGCCTGCAGCCATCCCAGGAATACCTGACTGGGATCCGATCACCACTCCAAACCCTTGAACGCACAGTCCTCATGAGCCCACATTCAGCCGCAGTTCCGCATGCCACAGAAGACCCGCAAGCGCAGTTCCGCATCACCACCGAGTACGACGAAAATAACGAAGAATCCGGAGACGACGAAGACTGGCGCTCTACATTGCTCGAAAGAACCCAGGGGGAACAGAGGGAAGATCCTTTATCGGATACCGACGAGAGTCCAAGCGACGAGGAAGATTCTTCAAGCAGACATCAGCGTCGCCCACAAGTTGAATATGGACGGCTGAATACCCTCAGCCGTGTCACCGAGCAGAGACTGCGCCGTGGTCCGAGTCTCGTGCATCCAAATCCGCCAGTGGAGCCTGCTCAGCCAGTTGCCGAAGTTTTGAAGCCACATGCGCGCTTCTTTATCGAGCGAGAGAAGAGCATGGTTACCATCAAATTTGATCCGCCTCCGTATGTATCGTTGATATTGGATGCGAGAACTGAATACTGACGTTTCAAGGTCCGGTCGTTTTATTCTCATTAAGCTGTGGAGCCCGCGGGCCCATGGTAATATTGATATCGAAAGCATCATCGCACATGGGTATGCAGGTCCGCGGTTCTTCCCAAGTATCGCTGCTCGCTAGCGGTGGAAATAAGGAGTTTCGAGGCGCTTTTTCTTTTCGGACCAGAGGGATAGAATCTTTCTTTTTTTTTTCTTTTATCTATAGGTTTAGCCTGACTTTCTTACTGGTGCTAGTAAGATGACGTTATGACAATTATGATATACTTTCCGTTCATTTGCCTGAGGTATACCATGAGATCCATATAGACCAGACGAACCAAGTCTTTTCATGACATTCTAAAGTATATTAATGCCTTTCTTGGTAGATAAATGGACCATCTTTTCAGATCTCACTACAAATGTTAGAATGTGGAGGAGGTCATATTTGAAGATGCGGACAAAGCCCTAATTATTCAGATATCAATACCTAGAATACGCTAGATGCTGCATGTCATCCAGATAGTCCTTGATATTTACTATCCCGAATCTGGGTACGGAGTAGCTATATAGACATTTCTCTAACAATGGCCCACTTTCTATCACCGACTACGACCATCCACGACAGTGACGACAGCTGGAGCCTATAAAAATCCCTCACCCCACTAGCCTAGGCAACCTTCGAACGTGGCACGCCTACGTAACGCCCTATAAATGGTAACTTACCATTTGAAGAGAGGCTCAGCAGCAATCCGAGACGACGTTAAGTCTCACCATGTCGTCTCGACTGGGCTAGATTCATATCGAATTGATCGACGCCAAGGTAGTTAGTGGGGTTGGTCCCCAGTGTTCCCCCCTCGGCTATGCGCATTGATAGCCTGCAGCTTGATAGTCAAATTGCACCTGTATACTCTGTACTCCGTACGGAGTATTGAAAGGCGAATACAAGTTGTGGATATTCACCAATCCAAGGAAGGCTAGACTTGTGGAAATCCCGGATGATCTCCACGCGTTTTGACACGAAGCCAAACGTTGATCGGCGCATTCGGGATATCAGCCTGGACGAAAATCCGCGCATCACTGCAATAAACAGCGAAGATGTGCTGGGTTTCCGAAGGGCCACATGAAGCCGAGCCATGTATGCTTGGCGCGGTTACCTAGCGATAGAAAATAAAAAAGACATAGAAAAGCCAATAAGAATATAACAATAGATTGTCAGAAAAACAAAAGAACCCTAAACCGGCATCATGCCTGATCTAATAGACGTTGGGGTTTAAGGGAGCCAATGTGAAACATTAGCACTAATGCACGACTCTAGAAATGGTTATCGCGGAAACGGTATCTAAGTATACTCCGGAGTCTTGAACCGGATATAAATGCCTTGTCTCAGTATCAATATACGTGTTTACATCTGTTTTGCGATATCGCAAAACGTGCAGCTGGGCTGAGCTGCACTTGAAAGCCTGATGGCTTCCCTGCATGTGGGGGTTCTAGGGCTGGTTTGAATTTATTGCGAGAACTGCGCTATATCTTCAAATAGCGTAGGGTCTAGCTGGTTCGGGGGTTTAGTGGGACATGAACGGACCATCGTACTTTTGAATAGCTCTAGCCCAGGGGCGGACAATAAACCAGATAGCCCCGCGGTGATTGACAACGTAGGATGAACCTATTGGACATGGAAACAATACCCGGTGGGATATCACATCGGAGATGAGAAAAGTAGGGCATTTCCAAGGCGCAACTGCTTTACCCAGTAACTTCCCGAGGCTCCCCAGTGACGCGGAGAAAGAGACTGTCAGCCGTTAGCCTGTTTGGGTGGCAATTAGTGAGCTAAACGGCTCAGCGCGGGGCTCATTGCGCATATGCAATAGGAAGAAGATGGATGTAGACGTTAGCTGCAGCGCTAAAGCCGGAAATAAAAAGTCTATCCGAGAGCGAAGAGAAATGTAAGGGAGAGAGGGAGAGAGCTCTTCCCCATAGTCAGGTGTTCCCTTCCCGCTTTATTAATCTTTCCTCCTTCTACTTCTTCCCCCCTCATCCTCTCTACTTTTTCTCTTCTATAATTTTACACCTTCCTAGCAGACATGCGTATCACAGTTAACGTCATCCGCCCCGAGCAGGCGGACTCGGACATCATCAACCTAGAAGTGGGCGGCGACATGACAATCAGTCTACTGAAGACCATTGTCGAAAGTGAAACTACTATCCCACCACAAGCCCAACAGCTCGTCTACAACAACCAACTCCTCCAGAACCCCGACCAAACCCTAGACCAAGCCGGCATCACCGAAGGCGACATGCTCGGTGTGCACGTCACCCTCCGAGCTCCCCAACCCCAAGCCACTCGCCCCGCCGCTTCCAGCTCCGTCGCGCCCAGACAAAACACTCAACCCCGCCCTGGCATGCCAGACCCCGAAACTATCCGTCTCCATATCCTGGGTGATCCCCGCGTGCGCGAGGCTGTCCGCAGGCAGAACCCGGAGCTGTCTGAAGCGGCGGATAATGCTCAGCGCTTCCGCGAGGTTCTGATTAGGCAGCAACAGGGTGAGGCGCAGCAGGAGGCGCAAAAGGAAGCTCGTATTGCAATGCTCAATGCCGATCCTTTTAACCCGGAGAACCAGAAGGAAATTGAGGAGATTATTCGACAGAATGCTGTTACGGAAAATCTACATAATGCCATGGAGCATCATCCCGAGTGTATGTTTCTCTTCGAACTACCTACTAGTCTGCTGGGAGAATGAACCAAGCTAACCAAATCTCTTTCTCTAGCCTTCGGTCGCGTGACAATGCTCTACATCCCCGTCGAAGTAAACGGCCACCGTCTAAACGCCTTCGTCGACTCCGGCGCTCAGGTGACTATCATGTCGCCCGAGTGTGCAACATCGTGTAACATAATGCGCCTGGTAGACCGTCGCTACGGCGGCATCGCCAAGGGTGTCGGGACCGCTCCGATCCTGGGCCGGGTTCACTCCGCCCAGATCAAGATCGGCGAGATGTTCCTGCCCTGCTCCTTCACCGTTATGGAAGGTAAGCAGATCGATCTGCTTCTAGGTTTGGACATGCTCCGTCGACACCAGGCCTGCATCGATCTCCAGCGTGGTGCTCTCGTCATTCAGGACCAGGCCGTCCCCTTCCTCGGCGAAGGTGATATTCCCAAGCACTTGACTGAAGAGTTCGAGGCCGAACCTACAGTTAAAGGCGCCGATGGTGCCGAAGTAGGTGCCCGTACTGGTGCAGTCACTCATAAAGCTGAGAACAACCCCAATGCCAATGCCACTGCCACTCCTACCAATAATGCATCCGCCTCCGGGTCCGGCGCGTCACAGTCAAGAATCAATCGCCCTCCGCCGGCTTCTCGATGGCCGCAAGACTCGATTGCTAAGATCATAGAGCTTGGATTTTCGCGAGAGGAAGCCGTTCAGGCTCTAGATATGGCCCATGGAGACCTGGACGGAGCGATCGGGTTTTTGTTTTGATTTACAGCTTTCTGCATTTACATTCGAAGGCGTTTTGGTCGGGGGGGCAACTTGTATTAGCGAGATTTGATCAAAGCACGTAATGATGTGTACGATTATAACGCTGCCTGCATAATAGATTTTGTTACATTTTAGCTGTTTACTCACGCTTGCTCTTGGGCATTAATTTATCGCGTAGTCGGAAGACCATGTCTAGAGCCATGAACCCGCCTACAATGTATTAGTAACGAGGTCACACAGGATCTATGTATACATACCTAATGCCATATAGGGAGCATATAGCATGGTCAGTTGCTGCTTCTCTGCGACCGAGCGGTCTGTCCAACTCCACACAACCACCAACGAGGTGAGCGTGGTGATGAATGCCTGGATACCGAAGACGAGGAGGTGAACTGGGACGAGGGGGTGATCTGGATGGATTGGAAATGTTAGTGATGTCATTTCGGGGAGATGTGCATTTGATATTGGAATGAGAGTGAACTGGACTGGACTGGATACATGTACATAGTAACATGTATACATGCACATCCATATATAGTAACATGTACTTGAAGAAAGTACCTTTAAGCAACCCCCTAACCGCCCATATTGAGAGCGGGAGGTGGTACAGCAGCTCCATCCAGATGAAGACGGTGAACCATGTTGGGGGATTTTCGAAGAATTTGTCACGGTAAGTTGATATGTAGAAGTTGCGGAGTTGATGGGAGAGGTTTGTTTGGAGGATTGTTGGTTGGAGGGGGACTGTGTCGATTACTGTGTTTGTGTTAGCGCATGAAGATGAAGATATGCAGATCATACGTACGGAGGATGATTGGGATATGAGTGATGAAAAATAGGAGATAGGTTAGGTCCTTTTTACGTGTGCAGGACATTTTTGCTGGATCATATGCATAAGATCAGGGTGTGTAGGTGTAGGTGTAGGTGTACGGAGTAGATGTTGATGTTACTACATAAGTTTAGGTGTTGATGTTTAGGGGTAGAGATAATCAGGTGACCAAAGAACAATCTGGAAGTTATAGATGTGATATAGATAGGATGTGATAAACTAAAATATCGTTTATAATTGCTTTTTCTTCTTTTAATATTAGTGTAATTCTTAATAGAAGGTTAACTATAAAAAAAACTATAAAAAAACATAAAATCATCAAACTATCTCACCGCTGCTTCTTAATTTTAAGGTGGCCTGACTTCGGGAGTTTATAGACAAAGGGAAAAATGCGTTGGATAAGGTAGACATGCAGGGGACTTGATAGGTATAGACCGCAAGATCGGGCCTTAATTAGCTCAGGACAGGGTGTTCTTCTTTCTTTTATGTGTTTTCTTACATTTTCTTACATTTTTTCGACATTTTTCTACATTTTCCTTCCCTTAATTTCCCCCTTTCTCCTTAGAGCTTCCTAAATAGTCCTCCGAGGAACGGAAATGCCGAATCATATCTCCGCATGCATAGATCATGGCAGATAATGCAATTGCTATTCGGCCTGCATTATGCCTTATCTTCGAAGTATTCACATTATATAGCGGTGTAAGATGATGAAAGTATCCTATAGAAAGAGAGAGAAAAGTGGGCAAACGGTAGCACGGGGGATTTGCAGATAGACATGGATTTACTTGGAATTGACTTAGTTTACTTCCATTCTCTGACCGCTGTTCACTCGGAGATGAAGGGAAGTGACTAGTGTTTTACCTTGATACAATTATATAAAGACATTCACTTTCCCCCCCTTCCTATACTTCCTATAACTCCACTTCAAATATCTATACGATGCCTTCTACAGCCCCCGTCCGGTCTAAACAACCCAAAAAGGAAGAACCCATCAGTTATGATATCAACATCCCCTACGTGGATGTAGACAAACAATCCAAGATCTCAACCAAATACCCTCAATACCTCCCATCCTGGGATCCCATTTGGTTCGAACCCCTCCAACCCTTCGAATATGAAGATCCAGCCTTGCGCGTCCGCAACAAATCCAAACCAAACCTACTTCCCCCAACCGCCAAAGTTTCCCACATCCAGCCAAGCCTAGGAACAATTGTCGAAAACGTCCAACTCTCCACCCTCACCGCCGCAGGAAGAGATGAACTCGCCCTCCTAATCACAGAGCGAAAGGTCGTCGCCTTCCCAGACCAAGACCTAATCGATGCGGGTCCAGACGCCCAGGAATCCTTCATGCGTCACTTCGGAAAACCAAACTACCAACCCGTCTCAGGATCAATGAAAAACCATCCAGCTTTCCACATCATCCACCGCGACGGCAACAGAGACGAAATCACCCGTTTCCTACAACAGCGCACAACAACCACCCTCTGGCACCAGGACGTCAGTTATGAAATCCAGCCTCCGGGCTATGTCATGCTCGGTCTATTGCAGGGACCGGAGGTGGGCGGTGACACCGTCTTCGCCGCGACAGATTTAGCCTATAAACGTCTTTCACCGGCTGTCACTGCGTTCCTAGATGGATTGAAAGTTACGCATTCGTCAGCGAAGATGATTGGTCATGCTCGGTTGACAGGGGGTTTGGTTAGAAAAGATCCTGTTGATACGGTTCATCCGCTTATCCGCGTGCACCCTGTTACCGGTGAGAAGTGTATGTTTTTGAATGGGGAGTTTATTACAAGGATTCAGGGTCTCAAGGATTCTGAGACAAAATGGGTGTTGGATTTCCTGATGAATCATCTTGTTACCGGTCATGATTTCCAGGTTCGGGTTCGTTGGCAACCTAGGACTATTGTTATGTTTGATAATCGGTCGACTATTCGTGAGTTTCTTCCTTTTTTATTTTTTTTTTCCTTTTTTGAAATTGAGACAATTGCTAATTATATCTAGATTCTGCTATTGTTGACTACTTGGATGATGATTATGGTGCCAAGGCTCGTCATATCTTCCGTTTGATTGCATTGGCTGAAAAGCCCATTCCTGTGTATGAGGATGAAGAGGAAGAGTTCGAATAAACATAGAATATAGGTGTTTCGGGTTTTATAGATTTTATTGGTTAATTTAATTTGATTTATTTGTTTTTTTTTTTTAGAAAAAAAAAAAACCATTGAATTCGTCATTAATCCTCCACGCCCTTAAGAGTACAAAACGTACAAAACCAGAACCCATCCTTTGAAATATGTCAAATAAAATCTTACGTGCAATGCGCCACATTACCGTAGAATGTCATCGATCCGTGACCGCAAGTCATGAGCAACCTCCAACTGCTCCCCACTAATGACACCGCTCTGTTGCAGGATCAGCAACATCTCAGAAACCCGCTCGGCAACGATATCCGAGCCGAAAACCATGCCGCCCAGGCGCACGGTCTCATGGAACCAGCCACTCAGCAGGTACAATAGGTCGTGTGCGATAAACCGGCGGTTTGATCCGTGGAAGGGCGCCTCGTCGGTGTAGTACATCGTCTCCAACACTGCATACAGGGATTCATGCGCCACGCCAAGATCAATAAACAGATCCACCACCCAGGTCGCCGGGCCGACATTGCGCTGGAACTCCAGTGCATACCGCTCCAGCATGGGGACGAGTTCACGAATGGGGAAAATTGTCTCGGACATCCGCAAACGACTACCGAGGCTGCGGACCTTGTCGATCACCGCTTCGTAAGGTTGCGGTGAGCCGTGTTGAACAGTGGCGTCATGGACCCCCTGGATCAGGTGTTGCCAGGTTGACTTGACATCCGCCGCATTGCGATGATCAGCTTGGTAGAAGATTTGGAGACAGATGTCATGGTAGCTGGCAGAGTCGGCATATTTATTGAATAGCTAGAAATATGTTAGTATTGTATTTTTGGAAGGGGGGGAAATTCAGAATGTGGGGACTTACTGTACTAATGTCCATCACTGGTCCATCGACTTCGCGCAAGATCTCGGGTTTCCGCTCAGGGAGAATCCGGTCGTCATCCTTGAGTCTCTGAAGTAGATCATCCTGAATATTGGCCACATCAATGAGATTCGAAATCTCCTGCAGCAGTCGCTGCCTTGACTGACGCCCAACATCCGGTGTGTAAATCGAAGCGTTGGCGCGGGCTTGACCAAGGTACTCAATACGACGACTCAGGGGCAACACGAAAGCACTATTGGCCAGATGGAACTGAACCTGTGCAGTTTCGAAGAATCGTTGGGACTGGGCATAGAATCGCCACAACAGATCAGCATGGCCCAGATCATCGTTCGACTTGCGCTGGAGGTAGGTGACCACAAATGGCGATTGGGTCTGCAGCAAGCGATCGTTCCAGCCCTGCTCGAGGTACCAGTCGTACAAACTCGTCAGGAATACCTCATCGGTGGAATCGGAAATCACGCCATAGGCCTCGTTCTGGCGTTTGGCAATAGTGGTCAGCTGTCCGTCAATCAGACCGGGATCAGATGCAGCCAATTTGTCAACCGCAAGCACGACCTTGAAGATGAGATCGTAACACTGCTTGCGGAAATAAAAGTATTCCTTCCGGGGGTCCTGGGTAGTGGTAAACGTCAGCTGGCGCTGGGATCCATTGGGAATAGAGGGAATAAGCACCTGTTCGGGACGCTGATCCATGATCCAGGAATAGGCAAGGTTTGACTTATCGGAACGAGCAGCAACATTGAGGGCAAGTTGAATAGCACCTAAAAGAGATTAGAGAAAACCAGTCAGCATGAGATAACAAAACCACCAAGGATCATGCCACAAGCATACCTGCAAAGAACTGGTTGACAATGAAATTGTCCACAGCCGAAACCAGATAATCCATAGGTAGACATTCTGCCACCTGCTGGAAGAGATGGAGACTCTCGTTGAGCAAGTTGCGGCCCAGTTCTGTATTAGCACCGGCCTCAGTCGCACGCTTCAGCATTTCTTGCGCCTTGAAAATCACTACATCCTCTGTACTGCAGAAGCTGCCACATCGCCGTCGAAGTGCATCAGCCACGGTCTCGACATTGGAACCCTTGGCGATGTTCCGGTTGACAATTCCCTTCACGAGTTCCTTGGCAATGTCGTGTCCTTTGCTGGAGCTAAATAATTCCTCATAGGTAAGGCTGAGGAATTTTGCTTTCGACTCAGCTGGCAAAGTCGCCACAATCTCATCCACCCGCTCATCAAATAGAACAAGTATAAATGAAATACCTTCAATGGTGTGTGACACCAACTGAACCAGCGAGTGTAATGCGCGGTGCTCGGCTTGCAGCGCCACTTCTTCTTGTTTGCTGTTTACCCGGGCAAGGGCATCGGGGCCGTTGAGCCCATCGATAAAGGTCTTGTTCACCTTGAAGAACTCGGCCAGGGAGGAGAGATCATGCTGGACAGTCTGCAGTTTACTAGCACTCACGGATGCAGAAATTGATTGCGCGCCATTGGGCCCTTTGCCAACCTTGGCAATCTTCTCCTTCCAGATAGATCGCAACAGACGGGCAATGTATAGTGCAATACCCGTGTGTCGAGGAGAGGGCTGCACTGCGTCAAGAACAGATGTTGAGCCATCTGCAATAGCATTTTCATTCAGATGGGCCCGGCCACCTTGGGTGATGAAAGCCTGTCGTGCTGCCGCTAGGATATCCGGATCGGTGATTCGGGTCAGTCTTTGGTCAGGAGAAATCTCCATACCCTGTCCACAAGCCACAGCCAGAGCAGTGGCCAGCATCTCGGGACGCCCATATGTTCTAAGGAAATTCTGGATCTCCCCGCTCAGTCCCTCATGGGGATTGCCGCTGCTGCGGAGCAAAGCCGCAAAGATATCCACGAGACGACGCCGACGAATGATATGCACTCCGCCGTTAGTCAGAATCGCGATCTCAGCAGCGGGGTGATCGAATTGAACGGCCAGCTCATTGGTCACCGGCGAAGGCGCCGAAACCAAACCAATATCCTCTGCCTTGCCTCCCAAGTCAAGGATGATAGCCGACTCAGCGGCTTTACCACTGACCGGGCTTTCCTGATACTGGGCGATCCGACCAGAGTCGGGGGTCGAGATGAAAAGGGTATCGATCTTTTGTTGTGGGTCCTTGGTAGTAAAGCAGAAGAAATAGCCTGGGGAATATCGCTCGGCAAGACGAGTTGGTGAAAGGGTGTTGATCTGACCAGCAGAAGGTGAAACTGTGCCAAGAGGTGAAACAAGTGGGTTGGGAGATGCCACCCCGCTCACGCCGGGAGATATATCGACGGGTGGTGTTTTGACATGCAGTGCCTGCATGCTTGTTGGAGGGCTTGTGTTGGTTGACGCAGGCGCCCAGCTGTTTGAACCAGTGGCGCTAAGGTAGATGCGATATCCTGTCGCTGTCGTTGCAACTAGATGATACCGTGACGCTTCTGTGGCTGGCACTGGACTAATCGACACAATCTTGATTTTGGGGTTCAGGGTTTCGTTTGAGGTGATGATATGCCCGATGTTAGAGTAGATATCCAGAGCGCGTTTGGTGATTGCGAGTGTCAAGGTGCCCTCGGGTCCCATGTGGAATACGCGAATCGTAGACGCAGAGGAGAGTGTGTAGAGCAAGTTTCGGCTGTCGTCAAGCGCCATCTGCACTACATGTTCGGTAGCGCCCTGTGCAAGATTTGTCAAGCTCATCGAAGGCTTGAAAGCCGATAGACGCGAGCTGGTATGGTTGACTCGGCCACAGCGGCCCTGGAACCACCTTTCCTCCTGTTGGTAAGTGACCTCGTGCACGTCGGTGTCAGAGGATCCTCCAAAGAAAATGCGTCCAGTGGATGGCGATGCTGCGAAAACATTTATATCTAAGCCACGGACCGCTACCGACATACCCGTGTGATACAGAGAAACTTGTCGACCTCCGCTGGGGGTGTTCTCGTAGCCCATTCCCAGCAGAATGATGTCCGCAGTCGTCGCAATGACCAGCAAATGGGTGATCGCAGGCAAGAAAACTCCCGGGCGCGGTTTGGTCAACTTGACAGCATTGATGCTGTTAGGCTGTTCCTCGAATCCCACCAATTGCGGGTTGGGATGTGTGAAATCCCAAATGTACAGTGCATTGTCAATCGCGACCCACGCGTGGTTTAACTCGGCAAACAGACCCATGCTGGTCGAAACTTGCGCGCGGTTATATTGGTCGAAAATCTGGTCGGGGATGTCGTACATCTTGACTTTTTGGAATGGTGCCCATGATTGAGACACGGGGATATTGTACTCAGACGAGGAGCCCTCTGTTTTCGGTTAGTCTTGTTAGGACAGTCTTAGCTAGGGAACCTCACGAGATAAATAGCTATCTAGGTCTGGATAACGCGATTCGCTTTGCAAGCTGCTATTGATCGTTCGCGCTCCGCGTTCCTCGGTGCTCACTGTTTGATTTTTGGTTTTTGAGGCTGCTGGGGGGAGCTTTGGCATGGGCGTCTGGGGTTCCGTCTGCAATGGCGACTTGGTGGGAAGAGGCCGCGCTGTAGCTGGCGCCGGGGTCTGAAAGTAAGCTCCAGGAAGGGGTTTCTGCGGCGTCGCCGGAGGGAGATTTGTTGGAAGAGTCGGATACGACATGGCGGCGGATTAAACGAGGGAGAAAGGGACGATTCCCCCGCTAGGAATCACAAAGAAGCTGCAGTGTAGGTCGAATGAGAAAAGGAAAGGAAAAGATATGTGGGGGAATGACGACGAGAAAAGGTCTTGGGAGGAGATTGGATTATTCAAGGTCTTTGCGGAAAAGCGAGAGAGAGTCAACACCTGGGAACGCACAGACCAATTGAGATCTTCCGCCTTCACGTTATTGTTGACTCCCATTCCCATTGATCCCTCAATTGAGCTTATTTCCTATTGTCTAAATTGTCAATCAAAATGTTTCAATCAATCCGTTTTTCTTCGCGCCTACCAGCCCGTCTGGTACGGTGGAATTCTACCGGCCCGGTCCTGCCACCCTTGATGGCTACTTTGCGGACTGATCTGAAAACTGCCATGAGAGCCAAGGACACCACAAGGTAGAGATTCTTTCTACTTATATTTTGGTTCAGCAAGCTTATTATTAGACTAAATGTACTTCGCGCTTTGATATCCGAGACCAACAACGCCGCCAAAACCGCCTCGCCAATTCAGACAGACATTCAACTCTTGTCGCTAATCCGGAAACGTCTGAATGCTTCCAAAGATGCGGCAAAGGAATTTGAAGCCGCTGAGCGCCCAGATCTAAAGGAGAAAGAGGATGCCCAGGTCGTGGTATTGGAGGAATATGCTAGTCAGGTCAAGACTCTCCCCATCGCTGAGATCAAGGAAGTGGTCATCAACGAGATCGCTGCTATGATCAATGCCAACACGAAGCCCAACCAAGGAATGGTCCTCAAGGCTCTCTTTGCTGCAGGAGGCCCTCTGGATGGCAAGCCAGTGGACCGGAAAGAAGTTGCTACAGAGGTGAAGAACGCGCTCTCTTGAGCTTACATTTACCAGATTGTATATTAGTGTCACAATAGCCTGAGTCAAGGGCATTCAAATCTCATTCATAATTCACAGAAAGAACGAATCCCAAACTCCCCATCAACGCCAGCCTGAAAGGTTCATGAGCAGAAGAAAGCTACTCCTCCAAGAGATGTCATCAGAACACCCAACCACCACCATCGGTCTGGGTTTATCAGCTGTTCTCTAACGGTCAGCTGAAATCCTGATGTTGAGGATAGCTCTCGCTTTCGCTTATTCCCTGTTGGCGTGGGGTTCAATGTTGTGGTAGGGAGCATCTTTGGTGGCTGGTAGGCGAGGAACATGGGATTGACGAGTGAACCATCAGCCCTGGTCAAATCGAGGCGTTTAATGCGATTGAACTTGTCAATGTCCACTTTGGCTTCCTGTGTGCTGGTCAGAATAAGCCAGAGAGAAAAACGGAAGAGACGTACCTTGAACTCTTCAGTGGTGTTATATCGTGTGTAGCGGCCTGACTGCTTCCGGCAGGGATCCGACAGTAGCTGACGACCATCTACAGCAATTGGAGTCAATATCAGAGTACCGTTGCCGAACACAGTATAAGACCCATGTTGCCATTGCATTATTCCTCCCGGGCACGATGGGTCGGTGGCTGTCCAATATTAATACAGCGTCAAAATCTATATCCATAGAGTACTAACGATTTGAAATTGCCCGATAATATGCGGATTCATAATTCCCATCATCATCAAACGAATATGAAATTCCCGTTAGATTCGGCTCGATCAGCTGGTCGTTGAGTGGATCATAGAATCCCTATGCGCGTTAGTCTCGAGTTGTATACTATAGTATAGCTCCACATACTGGACCAGTGAGAACATCACGAGATTTGGTGGTCCATGTTCCAAACAAATCGTTCGCGTTTGCCAAAGTGGCTGTAACTAAAAGATAAATGAACAACATCTTTGAGGAAGGGAAAATCGACAGAAAGGGAGTATTTGAAGGACGCCCTTTATTAGGGTGGAGACAGCATTCAGCAAGGCCCTGGAATGGAAACATTGAAGGGTTGATCGACTACATGTTACGAAGCCTATCTGTTAGTCTATACTCCCTAATTTGGTTTGCACTTTTTCTCTATTGTAGTTAGTGTTTATCATGGCTTTTGAGATGATCCATTTGAAAACTATCAAACCTCGGTTCTCTTTCTTGGATATTCTTTTTGAATATTTTGATGCCTATGTAGTTATATACATGGATACCTTATTCGTACTGTTATAGAGAAATAATAATATCATAATTAGTTATAGAAGTACATGTTAGAAATGAGAGTACTAGTACAAACTGATATTATGACTCTTCAAGAATATATACCAAGGCGGTAAAAAACATAACCCGGAGGGCCTCTCGACATACCACCACACCCCGCGGACTACTTTCGTATTTTTGACTTTATAATTTACAACTATCCCAGAATGGCGTTCCAGGTTGCAAAGCGTGAGCTTCGCAAGAGGATGCGCTCAACTCTGGAGAGTCTGTCCGCAACCTCAATAAGTCAACAATGTCAGATTGAAGGCCCATGAGATCTAAGGTTGCACGTGCTAACCTGTCCCAGCCAGCACGGCAACGGCCAAATTCTTGTCACTACCTGAGTACCAAAACGCCAGAAGCATCGCCGTATACCTTTCTATGCCAAGCGGGGAGCTCTCAACAACTGGAATTGTAAAGGATGCTCTACAGCGCGGAAAGAATGTCTACATCCCGTACATTCACACCCAGGACAAAACATCTATTATGGACATGTTCGCCCTCGGATCTATGTCCGAATTTGAGTCATTACAGCCGGACAAATGGGGAATTCCATCTCTCCTAGCTACGCAAATTGAAGGCCGCCCGAACGGATTGATACAGGGCTTGGATCTTATTGTCATGCCGGGTGTAGCATTTGACCACGGGTTCCGACGACTTGGTCATGGAAAAGGGTATTATGATCATTTTCTAACGCGATACTCAAAAGCGACCCGCAAAATGCCATTCCTTGGTAAGAGTCCCAGAAACAATCCGTTTATCCCCGACTGAACTCCATGGTAGTTGCCCTTTCCCTTCAAGACCAGTTACTCGCTGAGGAGATTCCCGTGGTGGAGCACGACTGGCTCATAGATGCGATTGTGGTTGGTGATGGCCAATACTTGGACCGCAGGGTGTAGCGCAAATTGAAATAGAAAAGGAATAGCGAAAATTCAAACAGCTTGGATTAGAGAAACATTGTCTCCCTTAAGAAGGACCTGGCCTGTTGTGCATTAGTTAGCTGTAGTCTCATGGGCCTAGTTCGATTTCATCGTACCCAGCGGCCGGCGCTTCTCCTCATCTGTCTTGGTTGCGAGACGCACTTCGACGGCATCATCAATGACCAGGTTCATGAATTCATCGAAACCCTAGTATAGGTTAGCACAGGTGACAACCGAAACGGGATTCCGTAAAGAACATTGAAGCACATACGCGGATCTTCCCCTCGATCCGAAAGGCGAGCTGTTCATACAGCCAGATTGAAACAGTGCTGCGCTTCTGCAGGAGACTGAAAATAAAGTGAATCGGAGCCAACAATGTCTTGCGGCCTGCCATGATGTGCGGTTATGTGGAAAGTGATAGCTGTCGGGAGACGAGGCGAAGAAAGCTCTGGCGGGCCTGGCGGTCGTCCCGTGATTTGATTACCGTAATACGGTTATCTTGTCACGGCCACCCCATCCCACCTTCAACTTGTTCCCCCCTCTTCAAAAACATTCGCCTCGTCAGATGCTGATACATTTTTAATACATTGCTGAGCCTTGATTAATCTGTTTAGTTCAACATGGCCAGCAAGGAAGCCGGGCAGGCATTCGCCCCGGTCCTGGCGGCCGTCGCGACAATGCAAGGAAATGTGTCGAGGACCGAGAAGACTCAGGCCCATGAATTCCTTGAAAAGTTCCAGAAATCGGTACGATTCTTTTGACTAGAATTGAGCGGGATGGTTCGCTAATCTTCATTGTGTGTATAGATTGAGGCCTGGACTACAACCCACGCTTTATTACAGTCCCCCGATGTGCCAGTCGAAGCCAAACTATTCGCCGCGACCACACTGAAAGGAAAGGTAGGAGGTGTTTTTGCCTGAAGATACTTGCCGTTCTAATTGCGCAGATAATATTCGATCTCGATCAACTTCCTCCGGACTCAGTATTGGCCCTGCGAGACTCAGTTCTGAACCTGTTGGTTGCATTTGCGCCTGGCCCCCGCCCTATTCAGACTCAGCTATGTGTGTGCCTGGCCAGCTTGGCGATTCAGATGGTCACATGGAAGGATGTATTGGCGACCGTCGGAGCAGCGCTAGGAAGCAGTGCAGGAGATTGTGTGCTAGAGTTCCTGAAGATCTTGCCCGAGGAAGTCACTGAGGGGCGCAAAATCAATCTCAGTGTATGTTTCTGTGTTTCCGTTCACAAAAGCCTAAGCTGACATTCACCAAAGGAAGACGAATTGTTTGCGAGAACCAAGGAGCTGCTAGAAGACAATGCGGAGCAGGTCATGCAGCTGATGATCCAATACGCTCAGTCGTCGCGTATGTATCCGACGACCCCGTTCCATTCTCGAATTATTTAGAGTTCACAACTGACCGCAAATAGCTGCTGCTGCAACTAACCCCCGTCTCCTCGACTGCATTACTTCTTGGCTTCGTGAAATACCCGCCGCCAAGGTTGTTGAGTCACCTCTCATGGACGTCATCTTCAAAGCGCTGGACAACGACAGATCTTTTGACGCCGGTGTCGACTGCGTTTGCACGCTTTACCGCGATACAAAGGACGTGGACGAGTCGTTGCCTGTCATTCAAGCCCTTTATCCCCGATTGATGGCACTTCGCCCAAAAATTGCCGAGACAGCCGAGGCTGAAGATTTGGAGGCCTTCAAGGGTGTCACACGAATGTTTGCGGAGGCAGGTGAAGCGTGGGTTGTTCTTGTTGCGCGTCTGCCGGGCGAGTTCCAGGGACTCGTTGAGGCGCTCCTTGAATGTTGCGCGCGGGACTGGGAGCGCGATGCAGTGTCTCTGACTTTCATTTTCTGGTATGAACTGAAGCAATACATTACCCTGGACCGGTACACCGACGCTCGAGTTGCCTTCCAGCCTATCTTTGCCCAATTGGTCGACATCATGGTGAAGCACCTCGAGTTTCCCAGTCCTGAAGATGGTGAGACCGAGGATCTGTTTTCTGGAGACCGCGAGCAAGAGGAAAAATTCCGCCAATTCCGCCATGCAATGGGCGATGTCCTCAAGGACTGCTGTGCCGTTGTGGGTGTGAATGACTGTCTTGGTAAAATCTACCAACTGATTCAGGAATGGGTTGCGAAGTATGCATCGCAGGCAACCAACGAGCATGTTCCTCATTGGCAGGAACTGGAGGCCCCTCTGTTCGGTCTCCGCGCAATGGGCCGCATGGTGGACCCCTTGGAAAGCACCATTCTTGGACAATTGATTCCTCTGATCGTTCAGATTCCTGACCAGGAGAAAGTGCGGTTCCAGGCCATCATGGCGCTAGCACGCTACACGGAATGGACAGCTAACCATCCCGAAACATTGGAGGCCCAACTTAACTATGTGATTTCCGGTTTCCACCATTCCTCTCAAGAGGTTGTGCAGGCGTCTGCTCTTGCCTTCAAGTTTTTGGGAACAGACTGCCAAAAGTTGCTGGGTGGGCATATCGAGCAACTCCATGCCTTCTTTGAGTCAGTTCTTGACAAGCTGAAGCCCACCAGCCAGGAGGAAGTCACTGAAGGTGTTGCCGCAGTGGTTTCTGTGCAGCCCCATGATAAGATCTACGATTCATACAAAATGTTCTGCGACCCGATTATGGCTCGCATTATGAACCTTGCAAATAACGCGCAGACTGAAGAAGGCCAGCGAGCCGTGGCCGATCATCTACAACTGATCACTATTTTTGTGCAAGTGGTGACTCCGATTCTTGCACCAGGAGAAGAAAACCCTGCCGTTAAATACTGCAGTGAGGTTCTTCCCATTATGGCCACCATTGTTATGAACTTTACGTCTTCTACGCCTATTCTCGAGCGAGTCTGCCGATGCTGGCGATACATGATCATCTCTTATCGCACTGGAATGATCCCTCTTTTGCCGACTCTGGCCCAGAGTATCGCGAACGGATTCCAGGCCTCGCGCGAGGGCTGCTTCCTCTGGGCTACGGATGCGGTGGTGCGTGAGTTCTCCGATGGTGCGGAGTACGTGGACCAGGCCACCAGCGATGCCGTTTTCCAGTTCTTTGAGCAGCAGGCCATTGCTTTCCTGCGGATCTTGAATGACCTTCCCCCACAAAATCTGCCAGATGTGATTGAAGACTTCTTCCGTCTCTCCTCGAACGCTGTTCGATACTATCCCAAGAAGTACATCACCTCGTCCCTTGCCGTCCCCATCTTCTCCGCCGCTCTCAGTGCTCTCACTCTTCAACAACTCGACCCTCTCATCGCCACACTTCATTATTACCGGGATCTCTTCAGCTTTGCATTTGATAAGCCTATGGTCTCCCAGTTCACCAGCCCAGAAGGCCAGCCTTACGTTACCCCGCCTGAGGTTCGCGAGGCTGTTAAGGCATTGATTATCTCCCAAGGCCAGCCTTTGGCACAGCGTGTGTTGACGGGCATGATGTTCACTTTCCCAGGTGACTGCTTCGCTGATGCGTCGGGAGTACTGATGACTATGTTTGAACTTCTCCCCCAGGAAACCGGGGGATGGCTGCAAGCCACATTGCAGATGCTGCCAGCTGGCACTATGAAGCACGGCGAAGCTGAGCGACTGCTGAAGAATGTCTCTGACAAAGTACAGTCAGGAGACACCCGCAAAATCCGTGTTCTCCTCCAAGGTTAGTTTCCCCCTTATTATTTATTGCTTTCATCTAACCCCACTCAGATTTCACCAACTCTTATCGCCGCCGCAATGTAGCTCCACGTGATGGCCTTGGCCGCCTGGAAGCTACTCGATTCCGCTTCAGCGGATGAGAGTGGAAATTCTTGGAAATTCTTCAGTGCTGATCAGCACTTAAAAAACAAAGACAAATCCACGGAAACATTGCACAAAACCAGGCGTCAGCCATGTGGTACGATACATGATGGGATGGCATGAACTCGGTGTGATGATTAATGACCTGCTGGTACGCCGGCACTGACCAGAACCTTTCTGGTTTTGACATTGCTGCCCTTCAGGTGTTGTACAAGCTCGACCTGTATCTAGGTATTCAATAGTCACGACTCATTTCAGCATTGAGATGCGTCTTTGGCGCACTTTCTTCATTTGGTTACGAGTAATGAATCTATTGATAAACCAGATATTAGCCACTGTTTATTAGTATATATATATATATCACTCTAGAGTATACAATTAGAAAAGAATACAATTTCCTTATACTATGCAATGCTAGACGATGCGATACAATGTTATATGTTGTACACGAGACTACACGAAACTACGCGGAAGGTCATCTCCGCCACAAACCTTGGAACCCCACCGAGATCTCCGCATTTCCCCCCCAACAATCGCGACTCTCCTTTACCTTTCTTTGACTCATTTTCTACTTTCTATTGGACTTGTCAACATATCCTTCCGATCGTGCCATGGCATGAAAGATGGAGATCGACGGTCAGCCCTCAAAGAAACGGCGACGCAGTCGCAAAGTTCTCTCCGATCGCAAGTTTGAATGCACATTTGAAGGCTGTGGGAAGAGCTATTCTCGCGCAGAACACCTGAGTCGCCATGCTCTCAATCATGCCCCGAAACAGATCTATCGCTGCGACTTTCCCAACTGTTACCGATCCTTCGTGCGACAAGACCTCTGTACTCGCCATCGTGAACGTCACACTACCAGCGGTTCCCAGCTTCAGAAACGAGATCATTTCACCGAAAAGGATACAAAAGCTTCTCCGCCTTCCTCGCCTGCTATCACCGCGGAGTACTTTGTTGGGTCGGAGGAGCCCAAACCTCCGGTGACAACATACCCTCTCACCACCGGAATGGATAGCAATGGCATACCGGTGGATCAATACTCAGATTTCCAGACGGTGCTGGACCAGCCTGATAACCTTATCGACCTCGACTCCATGTCATATCCGATATTTGGCGGGGAAACCTACAACCGATCACCATTCGCCATGGCAGACGATTTTGCAGCGTGGTTATTCAACGAGCCACTCACACCGTTGGGCTATGGAATGGTACCACTTGTTCAGAATCAGTTCTATATGAACGAGCCTCCATATAGCGACAATAACTTTTGCTCGGTGATTCCACAGCATCCGATGAGCGTGACGAGTATTCTGGACCCAGGAACACCACCGGCTATTATATCTGAAGGAAAGCGCCAAGAGCTGCTGCACTTGATGTCAACTCGATTCAATGAGTCGGCATATGCGATGGGTGCTAAGCGTAAAGATGCGCTGATGGACGGAGATTTAAATAATGACCGACATGTCTTGAGCTTGCGCATGATGCAGACGTACATTGGGTCCTATTGGTATCACTTCCATGCACAACTTCCAATCTTGCATCAGCCGACTTTTAGCGCTGATCGTACCCCGAATCTATTACTACTAGCGATCATGGCGATTGGCGCCGCAACATTGGATAAGATCCATGGCCAGGCTGCTACAGAAACAGCAGCTGAATTGGCTAGCTTCATAGCCTGGCATCTGCGTTGGGAAATATTCATGGATACGGACTTTCGGCCGCCAGCCAGGCTTTGGGTGTTTCAAGCTCTGTTACTTCTTGAAGTCTATGAGAAGCTCTTTTCTACACGCGCATTACACGAACGCGCACACATCCACCATGACACGACACTCACGCTTATGCGCCGAGGTAGTTCTCTTATCGGTCATTCTTCATTTGCCACTCCGGAAAACAAAGAAGAAGACGAGTCATGGGCCACCTGGATCAAAGCCGAAGCGACTCGGCGCGTGGCATTCGCCGCGTTTGTGTTGGACTCAACGCATGCCACCATGTTTGGTCACTCGGCCAAAATGGTGGCGCACGAATTGCGGCTGCCATTGCCCTGTGACGAGGCGCTGTGGGCTGCAACAAGCGCCGCCGAGGTTGCTCGCGTGCAATCCAGTCTGCAGTCGCACGGTGTGCGGCCAATTATGTTCCTTGACGGCCTTAAGCGCACACTCAATGGCCAGCCCGTCCGGACCAACGCGTTCGGGCGAATTATTATCATGTCGGGCTTGCTGAGCGTCTGCTGGCACCTCAACCAGCGAGACCTGCAGATTAGCTCGCTTGGTGTGGGTCAGACCCTCGGCGGGCGAGATAAGTGGCGGACAGCACTTCTCCGGGCATTTGATAACTGGCGTCGCGACTTTGATGAAGCTTTGGGTCCGTCGACCACATCCGAGTCGCGCAACGTCCTACACGGGTTGGCCCATATGGGCTCCCACGTCGATATAGCCGATCTACAGATCTTTGCAGGCGCTGGCCGGTTAATGGGCCGGTCTATCACAGCGCGTGACTACAGTGCTGCACGAGAAAAGACTGAGAAATGGGCGACCAAGGCTTCGGCGCGGGATGCCACGTTCTACGCCCTCAAGTTTCTATGTGCATGTTTCTTAGATCCGACTACACAGCCTGGGGAGTATGCTGCACGCGATGACTACCTGTTAAACCGGCCGTGGGTCATGTACTTCGCAGCGCTGGTTGTATGGACCTATGGGTTTGCGTTGGATGGACCCTTGCGTCCTCCCCCTATTCTCCTGACAGTGGCCGACCGGGAGCGCGACATGCAAGGGTTTTTGCATCGCATGGGTGAAATCCAAGAACCCAACGAATTGGAGGCTATGCGCGGGCGCAATGGATGTCTCGGACTGTTAATGATTCTCCGAGACTCCTTTGCCAAACCGCGGTGGGAGTTGTTGGGAGAAGCGGCGCGGCTGCTGGACAGCTGTATCGTAAAGCTACAATCGTAGCATGTATGATGTGTTTATATATACCAATGATTATGTTTCTATTATTATATGCTCTGACTGAAGTATGCACTAAGTACTCCGTATAAGCCCCTAAATACGCACTGTAGCGTTGCCCTAACAACCATCGCCGATCCCACACCAAGTTCCCCCCCGACCTTCATCTCATCTGCATTTTTGTTTCCAATCTCCAATCTCCAATCTTCAAACTATCCAACCAAAATGGTGAGTTCCCGAATTCCTCACTGTTGACAGACTTCCTATTCAAGCGGTTCAACCGTCCCCCCCTTTCCGCCTATGTAACCACGGAACCCCCCGATTCGCCCCCCTCACCTTCAACTGTGTCATCAAAGCACTCTTCATCTTCATCATGGCTAATAACGATCAGGCCTCTACAAACTACAAGGAAGCGTTCTCGCTCTTCGATCGCCGTGGTACCGGCCGTGTCGCTGGTGACCTCCTCGGTGACTTGCTCCGCGCTTGCGGTCAGAACCCCACGCTGGCCGAGATCAGTGACTTGGAGAAGTCCGTCGGTGGTGACTGTATGTTTTGATTCTCCGTATTCATCCATGGACTTCCTGGCTAATCCTAGCTCTGTCTAGTTGACTTCGACTCCTTCCTGAAAGTCCTCAACCGCCCCGGTGGTTTCCGTGAACCCGGCGAGCCGGAGGAGTACTGTCGTGGATTCCAGGTTTTCGATAAGGATATGACAGGGTTTATTGGTGTCGGACAGCTACGCTACAGTATGTTTTGTCAGCGAATGCGATCGGAAAGGATATTGCTAACGACACTTGCAGTTCTCACGAATCTTGGCGAGAAGATGTCTGATGATGAAGTCGATGAGCTGCTTAAGGCTGTTGACACTAGTTCCGGCGAAATTAACTACACGGGTATGTCCATCTCTGAGAGCCTGGAGTGGACTATATGAATTACATCTGCTAACTCTCTAGATCTTGTCCGTACTATCCTCGCCAACTGATACCCCGATATGATTAACGTTTGATATGGAAATGGCTACGGCTTGAGGGAATGAAATTCGGCGCGTTGGAACCTTCGTCTTGTATGTTTTTATTATCAAATACACTGTATTATTCTGCTCCGGGGTATCGCCTAGAATGTATAGATCTACATCTGTATCGTAGATTGTACATCTATAACATACTATGTAGTTCATAACACATCTAAACAGCCCATTCCCTCCACTCCTTCTCCCCAACCCCCTCACCCCCCAATTTCTCCGTCTCCACAACAGCCCCAGGAAGAAGATAAACAGCCGGAGGCCGCTCCTCATCTTCCTTCCCCACCCGATCCCCAGATCCCCAATGCACCCTATCCAAATAATACCCCACAACAACCTTGCACCGCCCACACCTCAAAAGAAGCCTCTTCTCAATCCCGTCTTCACGGCGGATCAATGTCGCCCGTCGGTCTGGGATTGTAGTAGCCAGTAGGAGAGTCGTGTGGTTAGAGACATGTCGTTTGCGCGATGACGTCTCTGTTGTCTTGGCTTCTTCTTCGAGTTCGGCTTCTATATCCCCGTCTGTTGAGTTCTTGCGCTCGAGTGGTAGGATCAGAGCTTTGTCTTTGCCTTCGCCGCTGCGGCGGGGGAGTGTGTCTATGTTGCGCGTTGTTGCTAGTAGGAGGTGGTTGCAGAAGCGGCAGTGTTGGGTTTGAATTGGGAGGCGTTCTGTCATTTTGCCAGGGTGTTGTGTTGTTCTATTGACTTGCGCTTTTGAGTAGACTGGGGAAGATAGAGCTGGCGCAGACAGATTGGTTGTTATGTCGGTGTGAGTCGAAAGCTGGGGTTTGGGTCAGTCTTTTTGCGCGGGTTTAAGTTGGAATTATATTTCTCCTGGAGGTAGTTTAGTAGTAATTACTCACGGGTAATTGAATGGATGTGTTTAATTCTAGACTCTGTTTTGTCTTGTATGCCAATGTCCTAAATGAGGTAGTCAAGAAAAAGAGAGCTGTTGGCGAGAATTGCAGAATGGCAAGGCGGTGTGCTTATCAGTATATCACATGTATACAGCTGCAAGTTTCAATGGTTAGCTACAATATGGCTAGTTCAATATAAGAAGAGTCATTGACATGCTGCTCGGCGTTCATGAGTACAAATATAAATTTGTATAACTCTGATATAATTTAATAAAGTATAGTGTGAACCCGGGCATAAGCTCCGATAGCTGTAAATGCTGCGCACCGCTTTACGCCAGTCCCAGGTCTTTATAGAATGCATCAGTCTGAGGCTCACGGCCCAAGAACTCAGTCAGAGTCTTCATCTCATCCTGGCTACCACCCTTCTCTAGAACCTGGTAGCGGTAGCGACGGCCAGCAGCCTTGTTCATGGGATCGTCCTTGAAGACGGTGTAGAACATGTCGGTGGAGTAAACCTGGGAGCTGTAGAGGAAGATCATGAGTATATGAACAACGTTGAAACCAACTGGATAAAATTATAAACTTACCTCAGGTATCCGTAGTATCCGGCGTCGTAACCTCCGATCAAATGTCCGAAGGTCGCCTCGCCGTGGCCCCACTCGCTGCCAGCGCCCAGAGCTTCGGGTCCGTCCATCTGGGTAATCTCCTGGCGGAGACGGTTGTATGTCGCAGACAGAGGAAGAGCCTCGATATCGGCGTGGGTCTTGGGCTCGTGCACGGTCATGTCGAAAATGCCGAAGTGCAGCTGGCGCAGGTTGAACAGGGAGTCGTTGACGTGCTTGGTGCGGATCAGGTTCTCAATCACGTCGTCTGGGATGCGCTCTGATGGCTGGGTTTTGGCCTTCTCGCCATCCTGGGCCTCCTGCCAGCTAGCAAGGTACTCAGGGGAGAGGGTTGAGTAGTGTCGGCTGAGAGAGCGCAGCTGCGAAGGTGTCCAGCACCAGTTCTCCAGCATCTGGCTGGGTGCCTCGACAAAGTCGCGCACTGTGCTGGTACCGTGGAAGCGGGAGTAGATGGTGCGGGACACAAGGTCGTGGATGCCGTGGCCGAGTTCGTGGAAGAGGGTCACGACCTCGTCGTGCTTCAGCAGACTGGGCTTCTTAGGCTGGGGCTTGGTGAAGTTGCACACCAAGGCAGTGGCGGGGAATCGGCGGTTACCGTCCTTACCAATGAAGCCCGGCTGCAGATTGAAGTTGGCTGCATGGCCATACTTGCCCTCGCGAGGGAACAAATCCAGGTACAGGTATCCAACGAACCCACTGCCCTCGCCCTCATCGTTCCACACAGAGTACACTTGAACATCCTCGTGCCAGACAATGTCATTGCCCTGGCCAGTAGGGGCAATGGCTGCCCGGTCCTCGCCAACGATCTCAACGAACTCCAGACCGAACAACTCCTCGAAGATCTTCAGCATACCCTCAATGGTCGTCTGCAAGGGGAACCACTCAGCAATAAGTTGTTGGTCCAGCGAGTAGTCCTTCTCCAGCATGAGACGGTCATAGAAGCGGTGGTCCCACAGGTAGTAGCGACCATCGGCCTTGGGGTCGGTGGCGTTCTTCAGATCCAGCAACTTCTGTGTCTCCTTCTTACCGCCCGCGGTCAGTCTATCCCGAAGATCACCCAAGAACTTGTTAACGGTCTCGGGGGTCTTGGCCATCTTGTCTTCGATACGGAAGGCAGCGTGGTTGGGGTAGCCGATCAGACGGGCTGCCTCATCACGGAGTATAATTGTTTCCCGGAAAAGCGGCACGTTCTGGTTGCACTTGTTCTCGTTGGCAATCATGACCTGTCGGCGGATCTCGGGGTCAATGGCGTATTTCATGGTAGGGAAGAGGTCGGGGTACTTGAACGACAGCCAAAGCTTGCCGGCGTTCTCGCCCTCGCCCTTCTTTAGGCCATCTAGGACGTCCTTAGGCACACCAGCCAGCTGCTCAGGAGTAAACCAAATGCCGCCATTCTCCTCGTTCAGGTTCTTCTGGAATTCAATGCTCAGCTGGCTCAGCCTCTTCTTGATTTCCTTGAAACGGAGCCGCTGAGGGCCGGCGGGCAGGCCAAGTCCATTGCGGACAAAGTCCTTGTGTTCTTTCTCCAACAGACGGCGTGACTCTGGATCGAGGGACTCGTTGCGGCGCAGTACGGCATCAAACAAAGTAAAGACATCCTCACGCATAACTGCCTCGATAAAGAACTCGTCCATCAGCTCTTCGGCCTTGGAAGAAGCATCCCGGAGCTTCGAGTCGGTTGACACAGCCTGGTAGAATCCTAGGATGTGTGACTCTAGTCCCATCTCGTTGTCATCTTGGGCAAGGGGGCGGACAACATTGTCAAAGGTTGCGGCTTCGGGCTTGATCTCCGCCACCACCTTGTCCTGAATGGCACGCGAGCTCTTGATCAAGCGCTCGGCGTCAGCCACCACTGATTGCGGAGTGGCTGTAAAGATAGGCGGGGCCTGGGGTGGCTTCCGGAGGTGAGCGGGGGCCATGCTGGAGGTCGTCAAGGATCGTATTGATACGTTGGTACGTAAGTGGCCCAGCGCAGATGAGAGGCGGGCGGGTATACGGAGGAAGGGCGCCACGATGAGGATGGCTAAGAGAGCGGCGACGAGGTGAACACGAGAAGTTAAAGTAATGATGGGCGGTATTCGACGTTTGAAGGGGAAAGAAGGGACACTTGGAGATATGAACTTGTCAGGTGATCCGAAGCTCATGATTGCGGGGACAGATATCTACACTGTCTTGGCAGTTGGTTTTACAACGTAGTGAATAGAAAGATCCAACATAGATAACCCCTATTAGTAGGCTTGTAGAATTGTTTTACTCTGTATAGATGGCTAGAAAACATTTTTTTTGCAGGGTTAGATGATCTATCATATCTTATGACCTATAGATCATTTCTAACAGCTGGCCATATTCCGGTATAAGTTGGGAGAAACCACATTTTCCTAACCATGTTGCATATAGAGCCAAGGATTAAACTGTTTCAAGTTATATAGTACAAGCGCTTAAGTACTCTGTACTCGTACATGTTTATACAATGGCATTGATATTGGCATGTGAAAGGCCAAGCGCCCCCACTCTGCATTTTCTTCACCTCCATCCTACAGCTTCTCTACACCGTACCTACTCGACATTACGAAGGTTCGAAGTTCAAAGTATATCCATATAAGGATGAGATTCGTTTCTAATTCATGATTATCTATGAAAGTGCGTCACAGGTCGCTTTTGATGAAACAGAAAGAAAACAGAAATGAAACGCCAACACCGACCAACCAACAAATGCAAAACATGTCATAAAAGTTCAGTTTAAGCTGCATCTGCAGTTGGGATCGGCTCGGGCATCTTGGTGACCTGCTGACCGGCCCGGATAATCCGCTGGCCTGTCTCATCACGCACGTACTCGGAGTTCTCCTTCTGGGCGCGCTTCCAGATCTCAACCTCACCACCGCCGCGGATGACTCCAACACGCATGGTGGAAAGCAAGTTGTGAGCACCGTTGGAGTGGTAGTAAACACCACCGTTGAACATAGCGGTCGCATCCTTGCCAAGACCGGACTTGATCATCGCCTTGCCACCGGGGTGGTCCTTGATGAAGTCGGTCACATCGTGAACAACACCGGCAATGGAGATTAGGCCCCGGCCATTCTTGGTCTGCTCAACATAGTCATCCCACTCCATAACGGGGAGCTGGTCCAGGGGAGTACCCCAGTCGAGCTTGGCGCGCTTCTGGTCAATCTTCTTCTGCAGCTGCTGGACGCGGCCCTTCTCGATCTCGTTGGAGCGGAACTGCTTCAAGTCGTAGGCGAGACCGAGCTGCTTGCAGGTCCAGATGGTCCACTTGGTGGGGTCGTACTGGTGCCACTCAATGGCGTTACGGTAATCCGAGGGGAACTCGTGGTGGAAGTTGTGGTATCCCTCGCCGAGAGTGACCAGGGCGGTGATGATGTGATCACGGGGAGAGTTGCGGTCGTCGAATGGCTGGTCACCGAGCCAGTGGGCCAGGGAGTTGACACAGAAGGTAGCTTGTTGAACGAAGAAGATACGCAGAATACCGGCGTACACGAATCCACCATACCAGTCACCCCAGCCAAGACCGGCGACGAGCATAGGGAAGATGAGACCCATGCCGAGGACGACCTTAATATAGTTGCGGTGCTGCCAGACAACAACGGGATCTTCGTTCAGATCGGTGATGTCGGTACGGCCAATACGCTTGGGGTTCTGCTTCATGACCATCCATCCCAGGTGAGAGTACAGCAAACCCTTACGGACGGAGTAAGGATCCTTGTCAGTGTCGGTGTAACGGTGGTGAGCACGGTGGTCACGAGCCCACCAGCGGATGGAGCCTTCAACAGCACCGCCACCGACCAGAGCGAGCCAGATACGCATAGGCAAAGTGGCGGAATAGGAGCAGTGAGCCCAGAGACGATGGTATCCTGGATAATTGAGTCAGCTCATGTTCTTCAGTGTCCAGTTCAATTCTGAACTACTTACCAGCTGTGATTCCCAGTCCAGTGAAGAAGTAGTAGATGACTGCCCAGATGGCGGTCTTCAACTGCAGAGGCACCCAGAAAGCCTGGATACAGCCGGAGATGGGAACGCCGATGATGAAAGCGACATTCAGCCAGTTGACATGCTTGTACCAGTTGTGGCGAGTCATCTGGGTATCAGCAATGTGCACCTTCTTGGTGTCAGCCGCCCGAGGGCGTGAAGCATCCGGTTTGGACGACATGATGGGATGTGGTGAAAGGTTGGAATTCACTGCAGGAGGACCAAAGGGTTTTTTATACTTGGGGCCCACTTGGGACCAACGTTGGGGAGCCGGGGCACTGATCGCCAACGTTGATGGGGTAAATGGAGCTAAAAGACGAATCAAATAAAAGCGAAGATTGAGCGTCACAAGATCCCGAGGCAAACAAGAAGAGAAGCAGAGAAGAATTGGCCTTATAAGCTTGTGCAAGTAGATTTTTGCCCTGCCCTTTGATCGGGAGTGGCGTGCCTCATCGCTTTCTGGCGAATGTTGGGTCCAGCCAGCCCCAACGCTTTCGTGCCTCAGGCAGTTATTGACCAATCAGCGCTTGATGGCAAATATGCTTAGGTCATCCCCAATCCCACGCAGGCCCTGGAGGGTTCTACGGATGGAGGTTAGTTCCATCTGAGGCAGGTATTTTGAACCTCGGGATTGCCTCGGGATTTCTAGGGATTCCATTTGATCCAATTATCTTTTGAAACGAAGGCAATTAATATCTCTACTACTGTGACTGGACATAAGTATTTGCATCCCCTTGGCCCCATTTCACCGCCAATACCGTCTTCCTGAACGCGAAGTACAGAACCTTTCTAGAATAGTAGTACACAAGCTGTACGCAAGCCGCTTTTTTGTAAAAATGACAGTATTGTTTTCTTATAAATCTCTCAACCTATTGCTTATGTATCCTTTTACGCCGTATAAATAGAGATAATTATAATACATGGAGTTATTCTGCTGGCAGAATATTTTATAATCTAGGCGGTGTGCCCAGGTGGGACCAGAGGGAGCAAACCGCATATCAGGAGCTTATCGGTATCACTAGGGCTCCAGAGGTCTATAGCTATTTCGTTTAAATCCTAGGAATTCTAAGCCTCGCCCGTTTGTCCTAGCATTGCTGCACAAAGTGAATATATATATATGTCTAGTCACTTATTCTGAATACAATACTCTTCATCAGTCCTCTGCATCCAAGTTAATTAACCAAATACAAAAAGACTGCTTTTGAATATATCAAAGTGAGGTCAGCCTTCATTCACTTGTTGTTCTACATCAACTGACCGTACTCCATATTAGTAATTGTTGAAACAAGCAAGTGGCTACATATAATTCAGGACAGGCGGCTGGCACTCCAGCGCATCACTTATGAGGCCCAAGGTCAGGCCTGTGGAGTCCCACTATTAGGGCTTCGGTTTTTATTGATCAGAGTGACAGGAGTATACAGTATGTACTGCTTGTATTCAAACTGAACTCTGAGCCTTCTAACATACTCTGAGTTCCATAATATCCATCTGTATCCACTTCCCGAAAGTTTGTATAGATCCGTTTCGAGTCCTACGACCCTCACTACATAGTGGGCTGTGATAAAGCCCACCGCAATGCTAATGGTATGGCGTCCGTGGAACGTTCGTCGGTTGCTGCCTGAATTCTTGCTGCCGCTCATGTCCGCACGATGCACATTGTTGAAGACTTTGACGCGGCTCATTCGAGTCTCTGATAGACGTCAGTTGATAATTCCCGACTTGACCATAGTGTCTTGGGAGTACCGACTTACTGAAGAAGCTTCTTCGTGATGAAGTAGCCAACAGTGCCGAACAGACTGAGCTTGAGAAGCGCCATCCCTCTTCTGGGTCCGTATATTCGCCCCGGAAGGTTGGCTCGAGCAAATACTTGTCTGGCATGAAATCGACTGAATCGGCGAGTAGGATAGTCCATGATTTGTTGTTGAATGATTCCTTGAACCCTCGCAGGTGGACGACGAATGTTTATAGGTAAAGCCGAGTCCGGACCTCCGAGGCCGTTCGGAGTCGGCTTTCCTTTTGAATAGCTCGGCCGCGGACTCGGCCTCGGGTGTGCAGTAGCGCCTTTGCGTACATCACCAACGAACAGCATCGGACGTCCGATCTTTTACTCGAAATCGGGCATTGCTAGCGGCAGCATGTATGTCCGACCTCCTTTCATACGCAAAACTTGGTCTCGTGCCAGAGGTATATAACACTGGCCATATTCCTTAGAATCAGACTCGTTATTCCAATCGACGTCACAAGCACAAGTATCTTGTACGCGCCCTATCAAGCACCGCACAGAAAATATGCACGACGACCGCACCGCTGAGCTCGAGAAGGGCAGCCCAACCTCTTCAAGACCATCGAGTCCAGCGGAGCCCAAGCCTCAAGCATCTGGCCCACCAGCAGCACCTGAAGGAGGCATAAAAGCCTACCTATCGTTACTCGGAGGCTCTTTGGGTCTTTTCATCTCATTTGGATGGGTCAATTGCATTGGTCTGTTCCAAGCTGAATATGAGACCAACTAGCTGAAGACCTATAGCAGCTCGGAGGTGTCCTGGATCACTTCATCCGAATGTGAGAGCCTTCTTCCCTAGCCCGCCTTGAAACAACAAGCTCATTTCAATCTAGTTTTCTTCATGCTGTTCATGTCACCGTTGTCTGGATATCTATTCGACAACTATGGACCACGATTGCCGATCTGTATCGGTGGATTGATGCATGTTTTTGGCCTCATGATGACCAGCTTGTCAAGCAAATACTACCAATTCTACTTGGCACAGTCGATTTGCTCAGGAACCGGTACATCGCTCATTTTCACTCCGGCAATGACTTCGGTTTGTGTGAATACCCTTAGAATTTATCGCGCATTTTCTGACAAGTTTCGCAGCCTATGACTTACTTCAAAAAGCGCCGCGCTTTGGCAGGAGGATTGACCGTTGCAGGCTCGAGTCTGGGTGGTGTAATCTTTCCCCTCATGGTCAACAACCTCCTTTCGGAGGTCGGCTTTGCATGGACGATGCGAATATGCGCTTTCTTGATCCTTGGGCTCTGGGCTATTGCCATGCTGACCATCTCCTCCAACTTGCCCCACACCCGCAAGGAGTTCAACCTTACGAACTACCTTCGGCCTTTCACGGAATTCAACTTCTTGATCTTGTTGACGTTCTGCTTTTTCCTTTACTGTGAGCCGCCTATCATTATGTTTCATCGTAACCTAGCTAACCAGGGTTTAGGGGGATTGTTTGTCCCTTTCAACTACCTGGTCCTGTCTGCTATGCATGACGGAATGTCAATGACTATGGCCTACAATCTAATTCCCATCATGAACGGAGCGAGCTTTTTTGGACGTACAATTCCCAATGGCCTTGCCGACAAGTACGGTCGTTTCAACGTGCTTATCATCATGCTAATTTTCACTGGTGTCATCACTTTGGCCTTGTGGTTGCCTGGTCGCAGTAACGCGGCCAACATTGTCTTCGCCGCTTTGTTTGGTATCGGATCTGGCACCACCATTGGCTTGATGCCGCCCCTTGTGATGACTCTCTACCTACCTCAGGAGATCGGGTTTCGAATCGGGTTGGCTCTTGCTATCGCAGGCATTGGTGCCCTTACGAGCCCTCCGATTGCTGGTGCAATTGCAGGGACAGATGGAGGCTCCTTCCGCTTTGCGGCCTTGTTCAGTGGCGTGAACTTCATGGTCGCGACAATCTTTTTGGTGTGGCTGAGGGGTAGAGTTTCTGGTTGGAATGCCCTCACAAAAGCTTAATGCCTAGGCAAGGGCACTGAGCGCAGCAGCCTTCTAAAACTACAACATCTGGCGAAGAGGAGACTGGGGTGGAGGCGGATTAACATAAACCGGCACATGTGTGATATGAACACGATCTTATGGCCTGATGGATTTTCCGCGTGGCGTAAATCGTCCTGTGAACTTGCTCTATCAAATAGTTGGAAGCAAAAAGGCCGAAAAGTCCAGGTACTTGGAGTCCTGACTTCAGTCAGTAGTGCTATGTAAGAGGCGCATATTTGGTAATTTGTACTTACCATTGTGCCAAAATCCAAGCCGTCAAGAATCCCATCATCGATCACGTCTTGAGACAATTCTTGGGGAGTGTTGGCGGCCCTGTAGGACTGTAGTACATCGTAACACTCCTTCAGGCTGTCTTTTGCAGTGTTCAGCACAGCAGACAAAACGGGTTGGCCGCGTTCCATGGCGTGTATCTGGGAAAGAATGCCAGCAAGAAAGATGTAGCGTTTCAACGTAGGATGGCCCAACTTTATGATCTGCAGTAATTGTTCGTTGATGTGTTCCAAAAGTCGAATGATGGGCGCTCGCTGGCCGCGCGCCAGTTCAGCGAGAGGATCAAGGACCAATGCGTGGTTGAGACCAACCAAAGCAGACGATGGACCGGAACCCGTTTCCTCCAGCTGAGACACAACCTCCAAGCCCAAGACTGAAATTACGTCCAGGCTCAAAGGTCCGCGAAATGACCCTGTGCTCATCACCATCAACTTGGACAGATCGTCAAGAGAGTCTGCAGGTAGCCGAAGTCGCTCGGCATAAGTGGCGATGATCATTGCAGACTCCTGACAAACCCTCCGGGAAAAATAGAAGCGGGGATCCTTTTGCGCTTGTAGCATGAAAGGCCGATGCAGAACCAGAATATACCGACGAATTTGCATATCAAGGAAAGCGTGATGCATGCTTAGGAATTGCGACCAATGCGACCGACAATAGCTTGCAAGAGTACGGCAAAATGTCTGAAGTTTCGTGGCTAGCTCAATGGCCATTTCGTATGAGTGCTCTAATCGCTCGTTTTGGACCGCCCTGACAACTTCAAGTCGTAGCAGTAGGGACTGACGCATGAGAATTTGTATCGACGAGTCCGTATAGCTTGTCAACGGTTGTGTAGATGGGGACTGTTTGCTGGCTGAATCTAAATCAGCATCGCTGACATTAAGAGGCGTATGATCGTCAAAGTCGTTTGAAGAAAGAAGCAAAGGGATGGAACAGTCCATGGAACCATGGATTACGAGCTCTAGGACTGTTGTCCAAAGCCTCCTTCGTATCTCGGCTTGAAAAGGAGACAGAGAAAACAGTTGTGGATCTCGGTGCAGGCCCATAGCCATAGCCGCCCGAAGTAGACCACTTTCCGACAGCCAAGGTGAACGGCCGACTAAAGTTATCTGCCGTGAAACCAATAGAAGACAGAAAATTTGAATTCCATCAAGATTGTTAGTAGTTCTCTCTGACGGTCCAACCATCCAATATTGAGCAGCTTGTATCCAAGTACGCCGCGAGCGCTGTAGAACTTTGTCATCGTCGTTGCTGAAGACGCTTCCAATGGCCAACACCAAGCCCAACTTGATTGCAAAGTTTGTAACTACAGGCTGCGGCTGGCTAAAGTATTGTTCGTACTCTGCCCAGAATGTGGGAATATGAAAACAGCGATAGATCAACTCGAAAGTCCGCATGTAGTGATTCACTAGTTGGTCACAGATGGAACGAGCTGGCATTGTACTCAGAAGTTGAGGAACGGGGTCATCCATCTGCGGTGCCTGCTCATTTTTCATCGTGAGTCGCAAGTTGCGTATCTCATTCACCGAATCGGCCAGCTCGGCCTTGGTATCTACGAAGGTCAATTCAACGTCACTGTCTCCAACATGGCTGACTCTGAACTATTGACACGTCAGCCAATTTTCAATCAGTCAATGTGTTCATTGGAAAGGAGCTTCGACGATACCTTCTCGGCAGTGTGCAGCCAGTGGCTTGAAGGAAACAGTTTTACCTTCTTTGGGTTGTGACGAAGTCGAGGGATGACAGACGGAACTGTTAGAGACTTATCGCCCGTGACAGCTGAAGGCACCGGACGAGCTTGGGAGAGCTCAGCAAGCCGCTGTTCGACGTGTTGGAGGCGATCAGACAATGCCAGCAGCGCGAGATGATTGTTGCTGCTGCTGTTGAGGCTGTGCTGCTGGGGATCAACTTCTGGTACAACCGAGTGCTCAAGCTGCTGTACACGTCTCTCTACGCTCCGAATTCGTTCCGATTCATTCGTTCTTCGTTGCCTTTTTGCAGGGTGATCGATGTTGTTGTTTGGGGCAATGCTGGGCGAGCGAGGAACTTGTTGTTGGGCATTATTGCCCTCGCTTCCACGGTCTTCCAGGGCGAGACTGGGTTGCTGCTGATCTCCTTGATATGTGCACGTCACCGAGTTTCTGGAGACTTGACAGGCTGAACATGGCGATTTGAGATCGCAACGTACCTTTCGGCGGCGGCACGGGTCACAGGATTGCACAGATCGGCGGCTCCGACGAGCGAGTGAAGGTGCTGACCGGGTACTGCCAAAGCTCTGGTCCTCAGCCATCTTGACGACAGTTCAAATTGCAGGTATTGAATGCGCGGTCAACGGACATCAATGATCTTGGAAAGGTCGGAGGGAAAGCTCGGGGTCGGCAAGCTGCTGAAGTGTTCCATCTTACTCTCGGACTCGGACTCGGGTTCGGGCTCGGGGCTCGGACATAAAGCCCGCTTACGAAGGGGCATAACGGCCAATGTCGCAACTCCTAGGGGGTGTCTGATATTTTGTATTCATACCCGAATATCAGGTGACCGCATGTATACGGCATACCGATTGCAAGGTTGTTAAATATTGCGGTTTTGTCATATTAGTTGGTTATAGAATTCTATACCCCTGAGGTTACATACCCATACATCGCCGTACAAAACAGATTTGTGTCAATTTCCAATATTTGACACATTGTCCATCTTGCCTCTCCCATCCTCCCAGAATTAAATCGACACTGTCAAACTTTGAACCTCCAAACCTCGGATAGCCCTAGAGCCCTGGAGAGATGATTTGTTTACCAAACTCTTAACAGGAGCATGGTGCCAATGACTAGAAATATATTATTCAGACACCAGAAACTCACTTTTTTTAGTCCGGAACCTGAAATTCTCCACTCGACGGAGTGCGAATCCTCTTACTGGCATCAACCGGCCCTCACTGAAGCGCTGAGATTTTACACGAGAACATCAGATCATTCAGCAAGTCTCCATGAAAAAGTCATAGCGACACAGGCCAGATTGAGGAGTGCAGGCTCGCCTCCAAACCCATCCAAACGCACACCTAACCGTTTTGCTACAAGCAACACCCCCGATCGCCTCGAGAAAGCTTTAAACGAGGCTTGTTTCCACTCTTGGGGCTTTCATATCTATCGATGCACATACCAAAGTGATTCTGACTGGGAAGAGTTTCTTCGTCGCTACCGGTGGCATGTCGCCGACTCTCTTAAGTACGAGAACGGTCTTGACCTCCTTGAGAGTTTTAAGATGACCGTTTTTGAGAATCAGGCACTTTTCGAAGGTGTAGATATAAGCACAGGCACAGCTACGGTTCGGGAACATTTCCAGAAATGGGCAACAATTGCTATTCAGGAAGACCAGAGCGTTTCGCCTGATATGCTTGTTTTCGCCAAAGTTGAAGCAGCGCGCTATAGGTTCTGTCTCTTTGTTAACGAAAAGTCATTACAAGGTGTTCTCCAAGCACCTCTTGAGGACTGCTTCAATGAAAATGCTTTCGTTAATATGCTCAATGGGTGGTGGAAGAAGAGTCACTTGACGATTACGATCCCGAAGATTTAGAAGACGATGAGTTGGAGGTTATACGCCTGGAGCTCAATAGTTACGATCCTATCAAGGAGAAGCACCACTCAATACATATCATCTACCGTCGTTCTAAACCGAAACACGCACGATCAGCGGGACATTTAGGACTGTATGACATGTACATCTTTTGCACTAAGAATCCGGTATGTCTTCTTTTCAAACCAGCTCGCAATTGAATATGTTCCTTTCCCTGGATGGTGCTGTTTTACCCATCTTTCCGCTCGAGATGTCTATCACTATGAAAGGCTATTCAGTCCAACGGAGATAAATCCCGGTCTATCCAGAATTGCCCTTCCCTAAATGGTCGAAAGAACTGGATAGCGTCCATACATACAACTGAGGTCATCGCATACTGTGCAGTGCCAATATTCTAACTGAATAATATCGAAGGTTATATTCAGAAAAGTCCATTTCACAAATTACGCCTTTTTCCGCCTGTTTTTGCCGTCGACTATAGACTGACATATCTAAAGGGAATTGAAAAGATGTCTCGAAAGACCATTTCAAAGACATCACCAGGCCGCTTATGCGGCCGCCTCTTGTTTCCAAGGTTCTGTAGACGGAAAACATACACTTTGGGGTAATATTGCGGCTAATCCCAAAGTGGACTAGTCAAGACCCACCAAACACTGCCTAAGATGGATTTGACATATAGATTACACCCACCTTCCTTTCCTCCTTCAGTCAAGTTCTATATATTTAATATTATACTATATGAATCCTACGACCAGCTGTCAAGAGGAGAAGCGAGCTCAGTTGAGAAGCAGACACAATGAAGCAGTGTCAGATCTATTACAGGCACTCAAGTCTGAGCCAAAGGCTACTTTTTCTAGTGATGATCTCACTGGACTCAGAGTTGTTCTTGCATCATTTAATCCCGAAAACTCAAGTTTCGTCTAAAGCCTGTTTATTGAAACCCATCTCCTCAACAGAGCTCAAAGAATTCTCTCTATCCAGGTTCGATCTTCCCGAGGGCTCTTAGTACTGGTACTGCGACTTTGACGAAATTTACCATAATCCTACGAATGTGAAAATTTCTTCCTCTGCCTAAATCATTGGAAAAAGAACAAAATTAATCTTCCGTTACGTGCGTGTCTACTATACCAAGTTGCAGAAGAAGAGCGGGAGGGACCTCGGCTTTTTTCACGAATTCGATGGATGGAACCAAATCCGGTAAGTGCGAAACGGCTTATCATTAGATTTATTATACTGATATTCCATCTGAATAACTTAGGGCAGGTAATTCATTTCTCGATGGCGGAATGGGACTACTTTATGGCTGTTGCGGTAGGGTTCCACGCTGGGATATTAGCGCCGAACGCGAGTGGAAAGATGACTAAATCGACCCAGAGACAACTTCTCCACACATCATTCTGGTTGTATGCACTGAGTATGATGCTACTAAGGCCGATGAATTACTCTTCGGTGAACTCGGCTCTATCACGCAGGCGATCCGGAACCGTTTGGACCAGAAGGAGTTCGAGAAGACATCTCTCTTCCCGGTATATTATAACAGGTTCTTGACTACTGTGGGTACATGCTAACCTTACGCCCTTATATTGCTAAGTGCTAGCCATCTCATTCTTTGGGCCGCGACATGGGCATCTCCTACAGGCCAACTTCACAAAGTCTGGTACCTTGAAGGTCAGAGTTGACTTCCAAGGAATACGAAGACGCTCCGTCTGTCGAAGCGTCATGATATCTGTATCTGCCTGTGTTGACAAGGGTAGTTCCACACGTCCCGGTTGGAGAAGCTCTATAAGGGTGTAGGAGCTACGCGATGGCCCCCACTAATGGGCTGTGGGCTGGGTTGGGCTTTGAAGGTCAGGCCCATGGCCCACTGCGGGTTGGGCTTTGGGCTTTGGGCCTAGAGTGGGGGCCATTTGTGGGCTTTGCGGGAGTACTTGTACTTACCGTGCCAAACGTTATACTTACAAATGTCTAATTCACAAATTAAGTCTTTCCTCACCCCTTTTATAGAATACTGACAAGGCAGAATGGTATCTGAAAAGACCGCTGACAAGGCCGCTGAAAAGACATCACATGGCCACTTATGTGGCTGACTATTCTTGACATCGTTAATAGGAGTTTTCACTTATTAGAACAATTTCCTACTAAAGGCTCCGTTATCGAGGAGCAACCAATTCAGGAGGTTGTCCCCCATGGGTCAAGTTCGTCACATCATTTGTGCGTGCGTCTAGTATGACTTCCCCCCGGGGTCTGTGACTCTGTGCCAATATCATTGTCATGTGAGGGACTGTGGAAATCCCTTCTACACACTGATCTTCCCAGCCGCGACCGCAATGACTTAGAAACCCTGTTCCGGTGGAAGAGAGGATCTATAATCCGCCGGGTTGCTTGGACCTTGACAACAGAAGAACGAGAGATGCCAATGGGGAGATACTTTTCTGGAACGTGGGGTGAGCCTTCAAAGTATACATTAGTTCCCGTCTATCACAATGGAAACAAGTCGAGACAATCACAACATCTGATTCTATATGATCTCCGAATATCACAGTATCTCATGATCTGATAAGGATGTGAACCTTGAGGTCGGAGTCTTCCACCTGTCTACGGCACCCTCCGACTGTCAGATCTCAGATAAACCCCAAGATAGCAGAGACGATTCGATCGTTTCCGGGTGGAGACCTCGGGAGCAAGGTTCGAAGCTCTCGGGAAGTACGGAGCACGAAGTACATACTCTGTACATACTTCATGCCTAGGAGACTGCCGGTATAATCCCCCACCAATGAGGTGCCTTACATTGGCTCCATTATCCCTTTGTATCCAAATGGATACATAGCTCTACCAATTCGAAACACATAACATGGGGGAACTCGGGAACTCTCTAGGGCTAAACAGAACACCTTATCTTTCTCCACTCAGGATTCTCGGGTAATTGGCCACCCTCTAGATAAGGCGGGGAGGCTCTAACTTGATAAAGTCAAGCGGCTACATTATGCGATACTCTTAATATTTGCTCTTGCTAATTGTCTATTTGCCCGATAACAAAATTTTATAGCTTATCACTTCTGGAGACTCCGCCTTTTTAGTCATCTCCCCCGAATTTTACCCTGAATTTTAGAGTTTCCCGAACGGGCTGTCTGGGAAATTTTTAAATATAAACCAACGTCCTGTATTGATATAGTGACTTACATTCATTATATTAAACATGGACGGCCCAGACCAGATCGGCCCCGATCATACGCCCAAGCGAACAATTGGCGACAAAGTGCGATATACCGTTAAAACTTTCACCACACGGTATGGCCTCAAATAATACGTTATACAAGGGCCTTGACTCACAATTCACAGAGAAGGTCTACTAGGCGATTATGACTATGGATACCTCTTTATCCCACGCCTGCCCTTCACCAAGCGAGCTCGCAAATCCGCTCCGTTCTTCGGTCTCGAAGACCGCGTCCCAGTCGTTCTCGCATTGATTCTGGGGTTGCAGCATGCGCTTGCAATGTTGGCTGGTGGTGAGTACTAGAGACACCTACGGAATATACAAACAAAAATCTAAGAGCATCAGTGATTTCACCACCCATTTTGCTCGGTGGTTCAAGCGGTGCCCACTTCGGTGATGAGCTCTACCAGTACCTCGTTTCGACCTCATTGGTTGTCTCAGGCCTGCTGAGTGCTGTTCAAATGTTCCGGTTACATATCAAGGGAACAAAATACTATATCGGAACTGGACTACTATCAGTCGTTGGTAAGAACTTCCCCTCATTCTTCAGAAACCCCGCCTCGAATGCTAATTGGTTCAAACAGGTACATCTTTCTCAACAATCACAGTCGCTCAAGGCGCCTTTTCCCAAATGTATAAATCGGGCTACTGTCCCACCCTCGAAGATGGAACTAAGCTCCCTTGTCCAAAAGGCTACGGCGCCCTGCTTGGCACCTCATGTCTTTGCTCACTCCTCGAAATCGGCATGTCCTTCATGAGCAGCAAGATTCTCGCCCGCGTCTTCCCCCCACTCGTCACCGGTCCAACCGTTCTTCTGATCGGCGCTTCACTCATCAAGTCCGCAATGCAGGACTGGGCCGGTGGCGCATCGTGTGGATTTGACCCTTCCGCTCGCGCAATGTGCCCTAGCGCAAACGCCCCGCATCCTTTACCCTGGGGAAGCCCTGAGTTCATCGGACTGGGATTCCTGGTCTTCGTGACGATCATCATCTGTGAGCGGTGGGGTCCTCCCATTCTTAAGAGTTGCTCCGTCATTGTTGGCCTGTTGGTTGGCTCGATCGTCGCTGCCGCGTGCAACTACTTCGATAACTCCGGTATCACTGCTGCACCAGTGGCTTCCTTCCCTTGGGTCCACACCTTCCCGCTGTCAGTGTATCCGCCTCTCATTCTGCCGTTGATCGCGCTATATATCGTTATCATGATGGAATCCATCGGTGATATCACTGCTACGTGTGATGTCTCCCGACTCCAGGTCGAGGGTGATACCTTCGATTCCCGAATCCAAGGCGGCGTCTTGGGTAACGGTATCACCTGTCTCTTGGCCGGGTTGATGACCATTAGTCCTATGTCGGTGTTCGCGCAGAACAACGGTGTGATCGCGCTGACGAAATGCGCCAACCGCACCGCCGGCTACTGCTGCTGCTTCTTCCTAGTCATCATGGGTATTTTCTCCAAGTTCGCCGCTGCGCTGGTTGCAATCCCCAGCTCCGTCCTTGGTGGCATGACCGCTTTCCTCTTCAGTTCGGTGGCAGTCAGTGGTCTGCGCATCATTGGGTCTGTCGAACCCACCCGTCGCAACCGATTCATCCTCACAGCTAGTTTCTCCATTGGAATGGGTGTCACACTCCTGCCAGAATGGTTTAGCTACTTCTTCACCTACAAGGGTGACAACCATGCCCTCGAAGGCCTGATCAATGCTGTCGATCTGGTCATGGAGAACGGGTTCGCTATCTGTGCGCTTCTCGGCATCTTCCTCAACCTCTTCATTCCCGACGAACCTGACGATGTTCCTGCTATCTTTGAGTCGACCGACTCTGACGATGGTCGTGTACAAATCAACATTCCCGAGCAGTCGGAGCCTGTTAAGACTGCTTGATCTTGGGTTTTGTATAGTTCGGTTATATATGGAGTTTGTGTGGGGCCAGAATGCCTTAGCGTCGTTTTTAATACCTTATATTGAAATTTCATGTTCATATTCCCTGATCCTTTCTTCCTGCACTGTTTATAAATGAGGTCTAGTAGACCTCGATGTATCTCACTCTAGCTCCATAATAATATCAGTGAAAGGTTATAGTTTCGTTTCAACCTAAATTTCTTTGTAATCCTTTACTCTCCACTCCATTGCGATATCAAGAGGAAACCCGCGACTCAACAAAGGGCCTCGGCTGCACATTAGCACTAGCCGTCACGCTATGCTCATTCCCAAACTCGAAGCAGTCCTTCTCCAACTCCTCAATATCACACCGCACAAACCCTTCATCAATAAGTCTCCGCAGTACCATGAGTATCCACACCCGACACGTAATCCCCGGGATCGAGTTAAGAGACCCATCATAGCTCCTCATAATCTCATCCACATGCTCATGCGCGGATAGAGGAATCGTCGCGATCTGAATAATTACACACAAGAAGTTCTCCGTAAATATCCCCGTCGTAGCCTCGTGTCCTGCAATCCACCCGCCGCCTATGCCTCGTGCATGGTACTTGATACCTCCTGGTGCGGAGCTGGTGCCTTTGTGGAGGTAGAAGGCCCAGTGGAAGTCGTTTGGGAGAGGTGGGTCGGAGCGGATATAGAGACTAATGTGGAGGGAGCTTGGAGGGAGGTTTGCAAGGCTGCTGGCTTGTTTCTTTTTGATTTCTGCAGACTTTTGTCTTGCTTCAAGGCGAGATGTTTCGGACATTTTTGGAAGGAGATAGTGGTGGAATAATTTATTAGGATGAGATGGAGGTAGATAACTGCCAATGATTGACAACAGGGATGATGTCTGTTACGGTGGCACTACGAACAACTGAAGAAAGTTACATGTAGGTATTGCACATCACAATGGGAAGAGCGTATAGGTAACATTAGGCAGGTACATGGAGTTATTATTGTCTACATGACATATGTATTCATTATGCCAAAATCTACCCTATTCAATACATAGACACTAGGCTCGAAAAGTCTATAGCAGATTTATATTTTGGGCGCCTTATAGCCTGACTTGGTGAGAGCGTCTGGTAGGCGGCAGAGTCAAGATATGGGCGGTGTGACAAGCAAGTGTTTTGGATCTTAGGCCTCCAATTCGAAACGTCTCATGCAGGCTGCCTAGGGTGCGTAGGAAGGCGAATAGACACGATTTGGTATAAAAGTCTACTCCTGTCCCCTTTCGTCTTGCCCTATCTCAGAGATGAATTTCTCCGACAGAGTATTCACATTTGAGGGCAGCGACAAAGAGTATATAAATATCTTGAGTCTATGGTCTTGGAAACCCAACGTCTAACACGCCCATCTGCCTTATCGCCTAGATCTAGTCCAGACACATTTCATCAAACTATCTGGCAGATCCTTTGCCAAGTGCCCTGCTTAAGGGTCAGCATATTCCAGAGCGCGTAGAATGTATAACTATCTTGATTCTTATTTTGTTTTCAAAAGTTAGAACTCTTCTTTCACGATAAACCTAGGTAACAAACAGAGCATCTAACGGACGGTCTACTTGTTAGAGATCCATGATAGGAGTCTCCTCGGATCCTAGCTGCCTGTATCAGTGCCTGAAACTATGTTACCCCAGTTTATGCCTGAAAATCACGGCACAGGATTGACAGAAGTATGTAGATAGATAATGCGACTTTCACAACACTACGTGCAAAATGATACATAAACTAGTGTTTCTATACCCCCTCAACCTTCTCCCCAGGAGCCAACATCTTAATATACTGATGCACCCCAGTCTCGAGCACCTCAACGGGATCCCCAACCCTAACCACAAACTCCTCCTTCGCAGGGACAAGCTGCATCCCCAAGCACGCATTAGTCCGATCCCCATCATCAATCCGACGATATGATTTCAATGTCCTATCTGGCTCAGCCTTATGTCTATCCCCAGACAAGGGATCAACATTGGGCAGTCGACACCGAACAGTCCGACAAGAAGCGTGGATCTCCGTACCACCAATAGCGAGTCGCTTCCAGTGATCTTCCTCAAAAGCAGACGGGCCTTGGACGATGATATTCGCGCGGAAGCGACGGATACTCAGTCGTGGAATTGCATAGGCGCAGCGTGCTGCTACATCCCGATGACTGGCGATGCTGAGCAGGTGGATTGGATACGCATCTGCAAAGGCAGTATTTGGCTGGAAGCCTATGTCTTCTTTGCGCGGTGCATTACGGAAGATCTGCCGCGAGTGGGGGGCGCTGGCGCGGAAGAGTGTCAGGGTGTTTCTTGAGGGGTCGGACCTTAGATATGCGTGTAGTGATGCTGGGAGCAGCTTGCCGTAGTCATGGGCTAGAGGTTTGTCTTTCCAGATCTTGACTGGGACTAGTGGGAACATGGAGTCCGCTGGTGGGAGCAGCGGGACTTGGAATGTCTGCCGGCTGTTTAGGAACTTGAGTGCCATGCCGACCTTGATCGGTAGACCCTTCCATCCTGCTGACGGCATTCGTGGATATGATATCAGCATCACACCTTGCGACTTGACTTCTGGTAGGTCTGCATCATAGTTTGGAGAAGATGGGTCGGGAACCCAGATCTCCGGATGTATCAAGGCGAGACGGTTGAAGCCTGCATTACGCAGGGTGCGAATGTTCCATTCATCGTTGTTATACTCTGCAAAGACGAATTGTCTATCGAATTCAAGCCCAGTTGGTATGACATTCGACGCTTGCAGCTCGATTGCACCACATGATTTGAGCGGGTAGGTGAACAATGCTTTCACGCGCCAGGATGGGCGACCGTGATCATCTTGATCGCTGGGTAGGCCTTGGCTATACTTTGAGTCGAACTCATCGTCCAGATTGCTCTGGCCTGGCGGAAGTCCTAGGCGACGACATCCTTTGGGATTAATTGGTGTATTCAGTGTTTTCAGTATTTTCAGAAGAAAAAGTACAGATAGGAGGAATATTATCAACAAATTTGGGAGAACATTACCCCGGAGGGAAATGTCGATATTGAACATGGGGACTATGCAGGACTCGAGATCGATCGAGGGGAAAAATCTCAACCTCGGAACTCCGAACCGTCAACATCTTAATGCCCTGCTTATGATGGCATTTTTAATGTCATTTTTAGAATGAGATTGAATACTTAGCATTTGAATTTATTTCCTTATTTTTCTACGCTTGAATTGGCTTTGCTGCCAGCCATCCTGATGCGCCCATGAGCATCAACATGGACCTTCTCGGTCTCGACGGTCTCGAAGGGTTCGACGGAGACACGCGTAAGTAAATTCCCCAGATCCCTAGAAAAACAAACATTGAACTATTCCCTAGTACCTGTGGTCTCGATCTCAGCATCGCAGTCCCTCAACGCGTCTGCCGCTACCCGCGACCCGATCGCGACGGGCCTGGCGCGTCTAGACGAAGCTCTAAATGACCACCCAGACCAGCCCAATCAAGGCGGAATCCTGCGTGGACATGTTACAGAAATATTTGGACCCCCTGGAGCCGGAAAGACCTCGTTGGCGTGAGTGCAATCCCATGCCCATATTCACACCGCCAGAATTCAACCTGATCCATTTACAGATTAAATATTGCATGTAATGCACTACGCGACGGCAAAGTAGTCTGGATTGGTATGTTCCTGCCAGTTCCCCAAGTCAGCTGTCCTACTCATACCGTTAGATACGGGATGGCCCCTGCCCAGTCCCCGGCTCGAGGAAATGTCCATCAAACTCGATGACTTTATCTATTTCCGGGCACATACGCTGCCCCATCTTATAGCCCTGCTTGCATGTCCACCAAAAGGGTTTCCACCGCCAGAAACAAACCTTATCGTTATCGACTCTGTGTCGAATTTATTCCCAGCTTACTTCCCCCACCCTCAAGAGCTCAAGGACCAGTTCGCTGAGGGCAAGATCACCGACAAAGAACACCTGAAATGGTTACAAAATCGCAGATGGAACGTTGCTGCCGAGCTAGCGACGAAACTCGCTAGACTCGCCGCGAGAAATATCGCCGTGTTGGCAATTAACCAAGCCCAAACAAGAATCAAGGGCCAGCCTCATGCGGCTTTGCAGCCGCTCATGTCAGGAAACGCGTGGGAGGCCAGCGTGCAGACTCGAATTGCGGTCTATCGTGACCTGCCAGATGAGCGAATCGCAGAGGTTGAGAAGCGCGCGGGTAAGTCATTGCCCGAGCAAGCCGAGGAGCTGCTCGTTGCGTTTCGCATTGAACCGGTATGTCATCTGGTCTGTTGCATGCGATTGTCCTTCTAATTTGTCTAGGATGGTCTTTATGAAATAGAGAGAAAGGAATCTCTTCCCTCCGAGTCTTTGACCCCCTTGTTGAAGTCTCCCGACTTTGAGTACTATGATCCTCCTACTCCGACCCCTTCACCTATATCTTCTGTGCTATCTTCTGCGCCTTCATCTTCAGAATTGGCGTCTCCGAAACTGTCACCCCCTAGACTAGCACTACCTGAACAGCCTGTGCAGACACCAAATAAGAAACGGAAGGTGGAGGAGATAGCTGATAGTCAGGATGAAGACTCCGAGGAAGATGTCCCATGGACAGGTGAAACAACCCTAAATACGAATTCATTGTGAAATGTTATATTTAGAACATTTTCTTTTAGAATTTAAGCATCATAAGGTGATAGTAGGGAGTATCACGATGTCTTTCCTTTTTAGATGTTGGATTTCTCTTTCAATAGGATCTACATGTATCTATTTTTGGGTAACTTCTATAGATGTACTCTATACAAAGATAAAAAAAATATAAAACAAAATATTTCTTTCCAACAGCCACATGTTTAATATTAAGAACTTAATTAATATCGAAATTGGCCCCCAACTCCGATGCCGGCTGAATTTATCCTCAAACCCCCAAACCCCAAATCCCCAAGGGTTACCCCAGAACTTTCCCCCTGGAAATTGCCTATGAACAACAGGGCTTCTTTTGTTTGTTTTTTCTTTCAGCCAAGTCTAAAATTTGATCTGCATGAGCATTGACACTTTCCGGCCCTGTACGACCAGACCATATCGCACACTGCATTCGATCACTTCGCCCTCTTTTCTTCTTTCTCTAAAAAAATTCTTTCATACCCCCGTTTGTCCAGAATATGTGGACATACCAAACAGGGTGACCCAGACTCCCTGCTCGAGTCCGGCTCATATAAACTCCCAAAGCCCGAATGAGTTTCTTCGACCATGTCCAACGTTCCCCAGGACATGCTGGATGGGATATCAGGTGCCCTCGCGAAAGAGGGTGACGCGCTACAGTTGATCCTCATCGCATTCATCGGACTATCATGCTACAATGTCGCCGAGCTAGTTGTACTCGTCCCAGCCACATTCCGCCGGTGGCGTGGGCTCTATTTCTGGTCCCTGCTGGTCACGGGAGTACTCGGTGTCGTACCATACTCAATTGGTTTCCTGATGAAGTTCTTTACGAAAACAGACTCGGTGTTGTCTGTCACTGTCCTGACTATCGGCTGGTGGACGATGGTCACTGGCCAATCTGTGGTGCTGTACTCACGACTCCATCTTGTGCTACGGGATGAGCGCATGCTACGTCGTGTATTGCAGCTCATCGTCGCAAATGTCCTTCTCCTTCATGTGCCCACAACGATCCTCACTTACGGTGCCAACATAGTCCACAGCGGCGAGGTCGCCTGGGTGAATGGGTATAATGTCATGGAGAAGATCCAGCTGACCGGGTTCACGATCCAAGAGAGCCTGCTGTCGACGCTGTATGTGATTGAGACGGTTAAGCTTCTCCGTCTTGGGGCGGATGTGACTTCGCGCCCGGGTTCCCGGAGCATCATGTACCAGCTGATCGGGATCAACTGCGCAATTATAGCGATGGATGTACTACTCTTGAGTCTTGAGTACGCTGATCATTACGCCGTGCAAATCACACTGAAGGGATTTGTATACTCACTCAAACTCAAGCTTGAGTTTGCTGTCCTTGGTCGTCTGGTAGATCTCATCCAGGGGTCCAGACATCCTATTTCTATCGCTATTGCCGATACATTGCCTCTTTGCTCGATACAGAGGCCACCCGAGACGCCGGATCAAAGCGAGGATACGCCTTATGATCAGGCTGAGCCGAAGGACTTTTTGTCTCCGCCGGACGGAGGCAGAGTTGTTCAGAGGAGGATGTTTGTGGAGCCTGGAAGGTCGTCTTCATTAGCACCATGACGGCGTACTATATAATAATAATGATGATAATGTTAAAGAGCTTGAAACTGAATATTTGGCGTGTTGAAAAAACCATACAGAACATCCCGTAAGTAGACGATTGTAGGAATTAGAAATAAATTGGAGAACAGGGGTGGCTCGGACCATCTTGTGGCGCTTCGAAGCGTCCTGGTTTTGCCATTAGGATATGGAGGTGAAGTAGACCATTAGGTAGGTAGCCGTCTGTGGGTGGGCATGCGATTTGTGGGAAAATGTCACTACCAGACAAAAAAGAAATGTTTCATTCGAGACTACATGAATTATGTGTTCTCGTTCATAGATTGGTCAGGTAGTCCTCGATCTGCTCCTTAGTCAACTTGCGGAACCGTGGTCCCTGAGCACCCTCCACTCCTTCGTAGCCTAGCAGATGGTCCGCTGGGGGGCCGACAATGCCTAGAATGGAGTTAGCCGATGTCCACCAGGCCTTTGGATAGCCAAGCAGCCATGAGAGGAAACGAGGCAGAAACCCCAACTTACCAATTTCTATTGTGTCACCATTCATCTCACCCTCAATAGTTTCCTTGAGTGTCAACAATGCGATATGGATGGCGTCTTCCAATTCTAGTCCTTCAGTGTACCGTTTCTCGAGGAACGTCTTGGCACTCGTTGCGTGTTTGCCGATGGCCGTCGCCTTCCACGGGTAGTAGCTGCCACTGGGGTCGACCTGGTACAGACTAGGTCCACCCTTCTTGATACCGCCAGTCTTGCTGGAGATCTTCTGCTCAGGATCATCCTTCTTAGCCTCTTCCGACTCAGGCTCAACGCCCTCATCCCAGCCTGCGACCAGCAGACTGACACCGTACGGCCGCACACCACCGGATTGCGTAGCTTCCTGCACTACCCGAGCAACGTCCTGAACCAATATACGAGTGGGTGGATATTCGTTGTAGATGCGCTTGTAGCCTGTGTGAGAGACCTTGCGGGCCTTGTCGACCAACACCCGGTAATCGGGGCCCATGCCGGCGTAGACCATACCGATATCCGGCGTGATCAATGAGATCTTGGATAGCGAGGGAGGATCAATCAGAGGCGAGGAGGACTTCTTCTCAGTCGCGAGCACAATGCCGTTCGTAGCTATCACGGGAGCGGTCAGCTTGGCCCCATGTGAGAGAACTCGGTCATTTGCGTACCTTTGATACCAAGGGCAGTCACACCCTGGTTGACGGCGTTCAAGGCATATTCTATATTGATCAGTCATCGATACCTAAGCTTAAAGACGATGGTCCATACCAATTTGCACCAGCTTTCCGCTGTAATGGAGCTGAGTTAGCACGTTATCAATTCCACAGGCCAAGCTATCCTTACCTGGGGGAGAATGTGGTCAAGGAGAATGAGTATCGGTCCGCCATGATTCACTGTCAAGAGGAAGAGAAGAGGAGGGGATGGGAAGATCAAAGGAAGGGGAGCTGTGTTGTAGGCAGAGATGGGTGACGTTTGGCGCGGTAGAGCTCACGAAAGGCGGTGACCCGATCGGGATTAGCCGTGGGGTTTGGGACACCTTGGGCTTTTCTGCTTTTCCTTTTCTTGTTCTCTTTTTTTTTGCACCTCAAGAAACAGTAATTCTTACTCGGCCTTCTGTTGTCAAGGTTCGAGCAAATCTCGATGTGAGACTAAATGGCAGACACACAGCATTATCCTCCACGGGTCTGTCGTATCTGTCTGGAAACCGTGCTGCCTACTTTCCAACCTTCAGAATTTCTTCAGAAGCCTCGAGTGGTTTATGAATCTTCCGATCCAGAATCTGGCCGTCTGTTAAGCCCTTGTCAATGCAAAGGTTCCTCGCGTTATGTCCACGAGGGCTGCTTGCAGTCATGGCGCCATGCCGATCCCAAATATGGGACAAGAAACTTCTGGCAATGTCCCACCTGTGGCTTCCAGTATCGCCTGGAGCGTCTGACTTGGGCTCGGTGGATTAGTAGCGCCACTACCCAGTTGATTCTCACACTCGCCATTCTTTTGTTAACCGTATTCCTGCTTGGATTCATTGCTGACCCCATCATTGATTTTTACTTGGGCCCTGTGGATGTTTATGCTGAATTGGCCGAGGAAGATGCCACCTGGTTGGGGCACTTCGTCAAAGGACTCGCATCTTTGGGACTATTATCGTTCCTCAAGGCAATCTTTGCGCTGTCGCCCTTTCCTTGGAACCTCCGGTCTGTCGCATCAGGGCGGAATTCGGGCCGTAACCGGGCCGCCCAGTTGAACTGGTTAGTGGTTATGGTTGGTATCGGTACTTTCCTTTGGGTATGTGTGATCACAATTAACTATATCAGACTAGCGCTAACGACAGATAGGCTGTCTACAAAGGTGTTCGGTCATGGAGTAGACGAACGCTAGAAAAGGCTGGCGAACGGGTCATGGATGTCCCATTACCAGATGATGAGAATTATACGGACGTCCCAGTACCAGACCAAGTACCAGACGGAATGAAGGAAGACTAGTTCAAGCAATGAACTCGCACTACTTAAGTTGCCGTCCTCCTCTGCCCCATGAGACGTCGATTAGTCAATGTGCGAAGAACAATAACTGCCTTCAATAACTCTTGATTGTTTGCCTGAGAAGTAGATGATTGGCTTGAGAACGTCTTGTTCCTAAGTCATTCGCTGCTTCACCAATCGGGCAACGTTCTTGGGGAAGGCAGTCCACCACTCAATTGTAAAAGAGCGTTCTGACCCTCGAGTCTGACTTATTAGCGCTTTTGGATTGAGCAGCGGTAAATTCATGTATCATATTTCCTATTTGGGATAATTGTCTTATTGTTTCATTGTCTATTTTCCATTGTCTATTGTTTACTGTCTATTGTCACGCGCGTTCAATAACTTCAATGCATTATTATCGCAGCAGCCTCTCTTCTTAAGCACCCCCGCTCTTCTTCCCTCTTCCTCTTCTTCTTCCTCCCATGTAACTCATTCCTCTAATCCTTACAAAATGGACGCTCTCCCACCAGCCTCCCGACTCACGGTTGTCTGCTCTCAAGTTGCCATTGGCTCTGAATTGCACCAGGCTCCAATCGCTACTCCTACCAACATCCCCACAGACACTGAACCATTCCCTGAGTATGATGAGTCCCAGTGTGAGCTGGTTGCATCTGCCTACGCGGCCGAGAAACCCCTCGAGGATGCATTGATCCATGCTCTCGGTAAAGCCGCTCACCAAGAGATCCGCACGCGCGATGTCGACCCCAAGATCATCCCATATGTCAAGAGCGATCCGTCCCACCGCAGCCAAGTCATCCTCGAACAGCTGCTAGACCTTCTCTCCGAGCCACAAATGCGCCGTGAGGTTCGCGAGCAGTTTATCATCATTGTCAATGCAACCCTTCAGTTCAACAAGGTCATCTTTCACCAGTGTCCAAAGTTCCTATCTCCCCAAGAAATCAGAGATGCACGACGTCCACTTGAGATGGTCCTCAGGAAAATCCAATCCATGGAATACATGCTCAAAGATCAGCTGTACAATGCCGAAAAGGCCTCTTCCGACCTAAAAGACATCGAAGTGGAGTCTTTGTTGCCCTACGAACGACTTCGCAAAATGGCATCTGTGGTGGCTAAGTAGATGCTAACACCCTTCTTATCTACTCTCTTCCTCGCATTAACACTTGATGAACAGGAACATGGAAAAGCCCCGTTTCCTTGAAGAACGTCTGCTTTCTTTGTACATGGATATGTATGAGGAATGGATCCACGTCCCTTTCCTCTGCCGGCGAAACATCCAACTCAAGGAGGAGAAAACCCCTAGCTTTCCACGCATGCGGGTTTCGCGTCGTGTCATTACCGGCTGGCAGGGGATCGGCCAATGCATCGACACCTACAGTGCCTTGACCCGGCTCACTCTCGAGATCAAAGAAAAGTACTTGACGCCCATCATGATGGGCTATCTTTGTGATCCATCGGAGATCTGGGAACAGTGCTGGGATCGATACGAGAATATCAAGAAGGATCAGCACAAATCAGGCGAGGAAGATTTGACTGAATGCCTCCCCAACTGAATGATGGAAGAGCCACACTGGACTGGCACATGGAATATCTTCTCCATATCTACTGATACGATGATTCTACGACTACGATGATTTTACGACCTGCCTTTGTTTCGAATACCCCAGATGCAATGTTTCAACAGAACAAACGCACAGCGAAATTGAAATTGAAATTCAATATGAAATTCCATTCTATCCTATCCCCCGTAATCTCAAGCCGTACTATCCTTATAATCCCCAAGCTTAAACAACTTCTTCGCATTCTCCCTCCCAATCTTCAACCGATCCGTATTCGACATCTCCGCACCATCAAACCAATCGCACGCATCCTCAAACGTCTCAAACGGATAATCAATCGAGAACAAGATCCGATCAGCCCCAACTTCCGCCATACAAAAGTGCAGCGTAGTAGTCGAGAAATGTCCAGACGTAGTAATCCACAAATTCTCCGCAAAATACTCCCGAATCGTCCGCTTACACGTCTCCCCAAGTCCAAGCATCTTCTTCCGATCCTCAAACCAATGATTAATCCGCCACATATCAAACGGTATATGCTCCCCCAAATGTCCAAGAATAACCTGCAGCTTCGGGTGCCGATCAAACACCCCGTTCGTCACCATTCCCAGAACATGAAGACTGACACCGTGTGCAAATGACAGCGGCGGCCCAATCAGCCATTTTCGATCAGCCCAGAGCTTCTCGTAGATCGTGCCTGTCGGGTTGCGGGGATGCAGGTACAGCGGGACATCCAGCTCGGTGCACGTAGCCCAGAATACGTCCCATTTCTCGTTGTCGTAGAAGATCATGTCGTCGCCGTCAACGCCGGCGCGTTGTGTGTCGTTCACGAGTGCGCCCAGGAACCCATGCTGTGTTACGCAGCGACGGAGCTCGGCGGCTGCTTCTTGTGGATCGTGCATGGAGAGCGTGCTGGGTGTGTTAGTTATATGAAATTCCATCCTAGATTGGGGGACATCTTACGCGAATGCGGCAAACCGATCCGGATGCGCTTTCACTTTCTCCGCGATGTAATCGTTGATTTCAACGGCGAGTGCTTGTGCGTCCTTTGCATCCCAGATATCCTGTACGCCTGGTGCTGTGTAGCTGAGGATCTGGAGACCGACGCCGTGGCGCTCGGCGAAGTCGAGACGGATTGGACCGACGTCGTTGATCTCTGCTGTGTGTTTCTCTGTGTCTGTTGCGAACATGCCCGCCCACCATTTTGTCTTTTCGTGGAATCGGGGGAGCGCAAAGGCTTCTTCGAGGGCGATTTTGCCGAGCATTTTTGGGTATAGTACTAAGTAACTTTGGATGGGAAGGCTTGATGTGAACAATCTCATAGATTCTCGGCTGCTTTATAGTATATGCGGGGACCCCGCACTTCGGAAGTGTTCAGATGTTACATGCTACTATGAGCCCTGTCTATCGGAACGTCGGATGTTAAAAAGACAACATCCGATGGCGGTTCGTCGGGGCGGATGCGGGAAGCGGTTGGCATCGGCATTGTTTTCTATACTACGTAGGTCTAGTCGCAGATCGTACTCCAATTCCATAAGTCGGTGGATCACGTTTAGACTGGACAATCTCAATAGCTTCTTCACCAATCAGGCCCTTGGAAACTAGATGGCGAACATATTCCATGGTCCATTCTTGGCACCGCTTGTTGGTGGTCTGGAAATTTGAGTATGTGAGCTTAATCCATGCCTGACAATGTTTCTCTAGAGCCCTGTGTATGTCGTACGACTTACATCGTTGACAGGTGCCATGAAGTTCTGATTGACTCCCGGAGTCGGGATTTGTGTTGCCGCTAGTTCGATCGTCCCTCGGGGGGTGGAGTCGATCGATGGAGCCGCATCTGGGGAATCAACGATGTTGGACGAGTCGATCTGGCCGATTGGAAAGGTCTGGTCGTGAGGATCAAGACCGGGATTGTAGTTTCGTTTGAACTCCAGGACATAGCCTGCCATCGGGGCGCCAACGGCGTGGATTTTGGTTCCTCGGTCGGGATCGGTAGCTGATGGGATAAATATTGAGAAGTGGGCTCTTTGGAAGGATGTATTGCGAGCAGAGATAAGATAGACTGTTCTTGTAGTCATTGTACTTTGTAGAGGGAAGATGTGAGATGGTCAAGAACTATCAAACATGTGGCTAACCCTAGGTACCCAATGCTTGGCAGGATAAGTATACTCAGTTTCAGTAGGTTTAATTAAAACAGTCCGGTATTTCAAGGAGTAGAAGTAATGTAAAAGTAATTGTTTTATTGATTCATTGATTCATTCGCTCGCTAATCAAACCATTATGGACTTAGAAAAAAAAAAGCATAGGCATCCCTACTTCTCAACAAACTTGATCCCGCATTCCTCCTTCGGGCGACAAGTAGCAGAGTCATTGCAGTCTGGGAGCGGAACATGGTTCATCCTTTCTCCCTCTGCATCAACCATCGTAACATGGAACTGTGTCAACGCGTAAGTAACCAAGAGTTTCATACTCAGTGTGGCAAGTCGTTGGCCTTTGCAAGCATGCTTTCCGCCGCCCCAGCCAATAAATGGTGCTTCTTTTCCAACTACCCGTGATGGATCCCAGCGAGTTGGGTCCGAGTAAAACTTTGGATTGAGCGCGGTATCTGAAAATGGATAAACAACGAGAGATCCAGAAGGGATAACGTATGGCCCGATTGTAAGATCTGGCCCAGTGTTCTTTCGCACTGCTGTGTATGGCTGTGAGGTGCGCAGTGTTTCACGTATGCAGAGGTCAAGGTTGGGTGTTTGAGATTCCCAGGCCGTCAGTGGAATTTTTGAGAGGGCTTGAACGAGAGCGTCTCCAGAGAGAGGGGCCGATGAGGATGTGTGAGTAGATATGAAAGTTCTGATCTCCTCTTGAACATTGGAAGACCAAGTTGGGTTCGAGGAGATGTGCATAATCAACCAAGTTACTAGAGCAAATAACGGTCAGTGTTGTTATATTGGTGTTGATGGATATCGAACTTACCGATTGTTCCAGTAGCACGGGCTCCAGCCAGTGATAGTCCTAGAATACACTTCAGAGAGAGTCAGAACCCGGGAATACCAAGAGAACCGAAGAATAGGAGAATGGTATGAATACGTACTCCAAAGATTTGAATCATGCTGTCTCCATCATCAAGCATCTGCTGCAGCATGTCATCCTTCCTGACTCCGCTCTTCTTCCTGGCGTTGACGCCCGCTTGTACAATTCTGTAGATTTGAACAGAAGCAAAGAACTTTTGGAACAAGGCTGGACCAGGTAACCAAGGGAACCAAGTTGAGTATGGGTTAGTGATAGAGTCGACAGTGTCGACGTGTGACTTGAGACGAGCTGAAAGGGCTGGATCATTGGCGATATCAAAAGAAGCAATGCGCATGACCAATTGGAAAGTGACCTAAGGAAAAAGAACAAGGTGTCTCAGTTAACCCATCTACTAAACATAGAACTCAGATCCACGTACCTCGTGAAGGGAAGAGCAGGGGTCGAGAATACGCTCCCTACCCCATGCGTCCATTTTCCTCCGGCATTCGGACAAGATCAATGGGATCACTGCGTATATTAGTACTTTTGTCCGTCGTCACAGATGGTATAAGCTAACATTTCTGGAGATTCTCAGGTCGTTGAATCGAAGCCATTCGTCTGACTACGCCGCCGACTTGGTGCGGGTCAAAGTGAGCAGCGCTCTAGATGCGAGAAATGAGTTATTACGTGGTCAAAATCAATCGTTAGGAGACTTACACTGCCCATCATGATTGAAAACGTATCATACAAACAGAGACCCTTCTCTTTGAAGAAGGTCTGTCGGCCTTCGTCTCCGGATAGAACAATCGCATTGTGTCGAAACAGGTTGGTCTGGTAGATGGCTGACGATGTAGCCTTGAAACCATCTTTGATGAAATCAAACCTCTTCTCAAAAAAGAACTGGGAAACCTTCCAGCTAGGCAATTTCAAGAGTGGCGGGGAATGGTCTCTTCCAAGTGAAGATGCCGGGACGTAGAGCACTTTGTAGAGAAAGGCAGAAAGTAGAAGAATCACCGAGGCAAAACCACTCCAATCTCGAAGACTAGCTGAGCCATTGGATGGTTCAAGCAACAGACGTGTCAGAATGCTTTGCAGCATTGTGAAGGATGAAGATGTGTGGGGAAGAAAGAAGTGAAGTGAAAGATTGCGACTGAAGAGGATAGTAGCAAGCAAGTCTTTATACCCCGAAAGAGATAGCCCCCGAATCGGGGGAATTGAATTACGACAAACAAATACTCCTGCCAAAAGATCAATTCTACCGAGCCAAAGGGCCAAAATTTCCATTGCTCTTTCCATGACTCTGGCCCCATGGGGGCTCAGCCAGAGCTACTGGGTGATTCATGCCTCTGACCCACACACTCAGGAACTACCTAGCCTATCCTGCAAGTCTTACTCGTTAGAATTAGGTACAAGTTAAAGCCGCTGTTGGTTTTTGTCTTGCATGTCAGCATTGGCGCGATGCATACCGGAGTATAGATTAAAGCGGGCTGCTAAGGCGGGCCGTTGCCGCCAAATCAGGCATGAGGCTTATACTCCAATTTATTTTTGTCCATACAGATGTCATTATGACTCTTCTCGCCCATAGTTCAGGGTCGATCCAGCTTTGATGCCTACATCGGGGCCGAGATCTCGTTGACTCGGGTCAGGCATCCAGGGCCTCCAGAAACCTAGTCACCAATACGATGTCACCTGAAATTCTCGGATCTTCACAGTTCTTCAGGTCATTTTTCGGTAAACTACTGATATTATTACTAGATCCTAAAATAGACAACTGTTGGAGAGCACAGCCATGGAACGATCCATGGATTTACGGGATGCTGAGATAAATCATGTACGCATTGGGATTACTGTCTCAATTATAGACATTGTGGGGTTTACAAGACTAAAATGTGATGGAATGCCTAGTCTCTGCCTTAGTCTCTGCCTTAGTCTACCAGGGTAGATAGGCGAATTTATTTTCTTTACAGAGATGCCTCATTCCCGTCGGCTTTTCCTTTCCAAATTAGGGTTCTTCTACTGTGATCCCGAGATCAACTCCCAAAGCCGTAAGCCCACATCGGAAATAAATCCCATTCCATTGTATATAAGAACAGAATTAATGAATCATAATAGAATATCTTACTATCATGAACTGCCCACCTGGGCAGTCGATCCAAGTATATCTGACTCATCTTCCGTGGCTTGTACCCGTATAGAACTCGGGCTTATTTCCCAATTGACAGCCTTGGAATCCTCATGAACTGAGAACAGGATCAGTTTCGCTTAAACTTGCGTCGCATTTGTTAATTATTTTCCGTGGCTGACGACAATGTCATTATCGAAGCTGACAACCAACCCGGACCCCATGGTGGTCTCCCGCGATTGGGCTATGTTGTTGGGGGCTGCATACAAGCGCAACCAATGTATGTCATTTAGCGCTGTTGGAGCGCCACAATACACCGAGCTGAGCTGACTGGTGCCGGGCGCTGTTGAACCTGGAAAACTAATCTATATGTTAATCCTTCGCTAAGATTAACGAACTAGAATAGTCGAAGGCGTCCAATCAGAGAAAAAACAGGAAATGAACCCCGAATTCTCCCGTGTGAATCGCTGAAAATCACCATTTATTTCCCTGAATTCTAATCTAATTAGATGAAATCGCGTTTCTTCATGCACATGCAAAAAGCCTCTAGATTCGGTGCATTGCAATTCGGTCCAATCCTTCTGTGACGGTTACATTGGGATAGTTCTTCATTAAATATATCAATATGTTAGAGTAGTTCTATGCTAAAAACAGAAGGAGACATTACATGTATCTCATCACGCATTAAATCCCACATCCTGAGCCTTAACCAATTCCTCCCTCTCATAAAGAACCTCCGGTCTAACATCCCTTCTCAACACATATCGTTTAATGAAATACCCAATTTGTCTCAATCCATACCGCACATGGAACCTAGTCGACACTGAAAAGACCTGATCCAACTCCTCAAGTGTCTTCCCCTTCGTCTCAGGCATAAATAAGAGTACCAACCACCATCCAACAAAACTCCAACCTGCATGCCAAGAAAATGCACCCTGTATTGTAAATGCGGCGCGCAGAGACGGCCACGTCACGCCCAGCAAGAAATTACAAAACCACATCGTTGCCGTGCCTAGCGCCATTCCGTATGACCGTACGTATAGAGGGTACACTTCGGCTGTGTATGTGACTGGCACCGGTCCTGCGCCGGGTGAGTAGACCGCACCGAAAAGATATGTTCCTAAAGCAATGCAGGCTAGGCGTGCATTGTGACTGCTCTCCGGGATCCAGAAGCTGAAGCCTGTGAATAACATTGCCATGACCATGAGTGGGAAGGTGAGTAACAGGAGATTGCGTCGGCCAAATGTGTCGATTGTATAGACTGCGGGGATTGATAAGACCCAGTTGATTAGGCCCCAGCCTAACGAGGCGGCTAGAGCAGCTGGGGGAGAGAATTTGGCCTAGGATTCTGTCAGTATTCTGGTGGAGAGGAAGGATTGATATCATAGACTGACCTCGAGAAATATCTCGGATGAATAGTATGAAATTACGTTCACGCCGGAGAACTGCTCAAGTTATTACTCTGCGCATACACTTCAGTATGTCTTGCTAAAATCCACACTCACCTGTTGCATAAACATAACAATCTGAGACGCCAACATCGCTCGCCGGTTTCGCGGAACTTTAATCATTTCCAGCATCTTGTTTCGTCCAAGCTTCATGTTATCCTCAGCCTCCAGCAGGGTATGCATATAATACAGGTCACGGGCTGCCTGTATTTTATGATGTCGCAGCTCACAGATAGACCTGTAAGCACGGTAATACTGTTTCTGTCGCATGTACCAATGCGGCGACTCGGGACAAACAAAGACAAAACAGCAGACGACGAGAGCCGGGAACATCGCCGAAGCCATCATACAGCGCCAATTCAGGCCGACGATGGCAGTCGAGTCGACATTGTAGAAGATGAGGTCGGCCGCATAGCCGACCATAATCCCAAACGCCGTCCACACATGCCATTGCATGACCAGTGCACCACGGATAGATGGCGGTGCCGTTTCGGCTGCGTACATCGGAACAGTCGCTGATTTGGGGCCGATGCCGAACCCTAGCATGAATCGTGCAACAAACATCGCCCACCATGTTGAGACAAATCCTTGCCAGAGACAGGCTATTGCAGAGAAGCAGCATGTTATGAATATTGTGCCGCGGCGCCCAAACCAATGGTTGAATGGGACTGTTAACCAACAGCTGATGAAGGCGCAGCAGAGGTATGGCGCTGAATTTATTAGACCGACGAGCCAGGCATTCCGAGAGGATTCATTGCCGATGCCGAGTTGGTATTTATAGAATATTTGGGCCCCGTTGACGACCGTTTGGTCTGTTATTGTTAGCGGGGGTCGAGCCTCGAACTGAACTGTTACTTACCCATACCCTGCACTGCAGCGGATAAGGAACACAGTGTAATGACAGCATACATCTTCCAAGGTTGTGACCAGCGATGTGTGAACTCCCGACGCAATACTCCCTTTTCCTGGTTTGTTAGACCAGCGACATTCTCATACCGTTCCGGGGACTGTGCCAGCACAGCACCCAGCTCAAAAGCTCGGATATCAGACTCATCGCCCATCTCATGAAGTTCAGCAAAAGTGCGCCCCTGCTTCCGTAATTCAGTATGACTGAATCCGGCCAACGGATTGGAGAGTTTGGCATTGAGACTGCGTCGTGCACGCTCGGCAGCTGTCCCAGATGGCCGCTGTGGTACAACCTTCTGGGATATCGTAGTGTCCATTCTCTCCTTTTCTACCATATTTCTGTTTGTGAGAAGTCTATGGAGGGAAAAGACCCAGGCGATGTTTGGTTTTTAGGGTTGACTCCGGGACAAAGAAACTCGAGCCCAAGCAAACCACATGGCATTTGGTCTCATTTCGTCAAGGGGCATGGAGTACAAAGTACATGTACATGTACAGTAACATTCAGGTGGGTCTGTCAAAGAACTGTTCAAAGAACGGGGCATGGGGCTGGAGGACGCAGAGGAAGTGATTGGCAGGGCTAGGGCCTACTATGTACAGAGTAGAAATTGCAGACAAAGGAAGGTCTGTTGTTTGCCCCATTTCGGGCTATGCGTGCACAGCTTATTGGCAAGTCGAGTCCATGGAGTAAAGGGACGAAGGATCGCTATAAATTTGATGGAGGTCATGGGAACTACGATGTATGCCTATATTGTAGTTCAGTTGTCAATAAGCACAATCTATGAGTAGTGTTAGCAGTATGTACCCAGCGTATTTTCAGAATCTTAAAACTGATGATGTGACTGGAGATATATGCCTGTGAACAATGGATCTAAAATTATATGCAAAATAGGAGATTTTAGAAAAACACTGTAGAAAGAAACATTGATCATGTCGAAATAGGAGCAAACGGTCAGGTCACATGACCTCCGATTGGCACCTTTTTCAAACCTCAAGATATTGTAGGATCTACGAAAAATTAAGTGCAATGGAAGGATATGTTCATTATCAAGGTACGGAGTACCGACTTTATTATAAATTATGCAATATCTAATTCTATATTGTATGGAGACTGTGAAAATCTGGAATCATATTAGCAATGATCGCGTAAACTCGACAAGAGAAACGAGGTAAAGAAGCTCCATCAGACAGCAGTTGGTACAATTTTTCGTCGACATTATATTTCAGAACAGGTCTCGTGAAAGGTTACATCATCATAGGAGCAGGGGAGGGGGGGAAAAAAACAAAAACTCACATTTGAAAACTGAAACTGTTCCTTCAATGAACTCTTCATATCAGGGACAGTTGGAACATCTTGGGGAGATGCATAACCTTGGAAAGACATGGCAAGCCCAAGCTTCATCATGCCATGGGTTTGCCAAACACAATCATGAGGTCAATAAAGCCATTGAGACTTTCAAAAAAAGAATAGAAGGTGTATGAGATGAAGAAGAAATATTGGGGAGAAGAAAAAATGTGAGCGCGTTAAATAGTAAGCGAGGTGCTAGTTTGCACAGTTTGCACCCAAAAAAAAGTGGAAGATGCAATTTACCATGTCGATTCTGCAGCAATTGAAAATATTTATACTGTTTGCTCAAAGTATATTTTTACGTTGATACTGAAATCCATTCTCAAAAAATATGGATGTTAAAGAGAGCCCCAGACTGGAGGAGCAACAGAGTAAGATCGTCCTGAAAAAATACCCCAAAGAGTAGAAAAGAAGTCTCGACTGACAATATTCACAATATACAGCTCCTACCAAGTCTCCTTTTGCAAATGTCCGTACCGATGGCCGGGCCTTCAACTCTCCCAATTGGCGTATGAAGGTTGAAAGCCCAGCAACACCATCACGCACCAATGCCAGCCCAAGCGCGAGCCCCATTCCCAACCCCAATACCTCCCGCGCAGCCTTCAGCCGGCCCGGAGCGCACGTCCCCCAAGCGATTAACGATGGCCGTCGCCTATACGTTGGCAACATGCCATACACGGCCAAGATGGAGGATGTGGAGGCGCTGTTCATAGCGGCCGAGTTCCCTATGTATGACTGCACTTGCACCTGATGGCCATGAATTTGCCGCCAACTGAACTCTCCCCCTCCCAAATAGCGAGCGCATAGATATTGCCATTGATCCTTTCACCGGCCGGAACCCTTCCTACTGCTTCGTCGACTTGCAGAACAAGGAACATGCCGAGCGCGCCATGACCGAGCTCGATGGTCGCGATATGTTGGGTCGCCCAGTCAAGATCAAGCCCGGTGTGGCCAAGTCTCAGGAGCGCATTCAGAATCCACCTGAGCCGTTCCGCATTGATCGCTGGCGTCAGCAAGAGAGACCTAGCTTTGCTAAGGTCAATAGTGACTCCAGCAGCCGTGTGTATGTCGGTGGACTGCCACGATTGACTGATCACGGGGCTGTGCAGAGCAACATAGAGAATTTCTTCAAGGGATTCAAGGTGTAAGTTTAGATGGCTTGGTTTTCTAGTGTGTCGCGTGATCATTACTAACACGGTATTTTTGCAGGGAGAATGTCAGCAAGGTCTTCGCCCCTCACCCCGCTAAGCGGTTCGATCCCGGCGAGCACTACTATCTGTTCGTCGATGTTGGCACTCCCGAGCAAGCCCTGAAAGCCATGGATACATTGAATGGTCGGGAAGGACCATGGGGTGGTCCACTACGTGTACAGTTTGCACGTGGTCCCAAGGAGGCTCCCAAGGAGGCCTGATCTAAGTACTCCATACAGGGACATAAAAAAAAATAAGTATTATTAATGATAGGACGTGTCACATTGCATGAGCTATGATACCTGAATAGACTACACAATTACATGCATAATTATCTCGACATTCTGTTTTTGTCTGCCTATTTATATGTTAGCATAAAAGTTGGATATCCTGGCTTAGAAATATAAACATCGTTATATAAGACTTACGTGACGGATGTCGATAAGTACTTGTAGCTTGACTGGGTGACTTTTCTTCTTAATTCGCTCATCCGTATACCCGAAGATGCCACGAGATATTTATTTGTCAAGCCTACGAGAATTTGGTTATCTAACTCTAAATGTTGGTATTGCTTGGAGTTATGCTGAAGCTACATGCAAGTAATTACCACATGGGAATGTTCAAGCTGTGCAACTATACGGTATATATGTAGTCGCTCACTCAAGTGTCCAGGAGCCATGATCAAAATATATTATCTAAAGGGGTTCAAGACCATGCTTCTCATTTTATATAGTTAATTGTCTCTAAATTGCCTAGCTTTCAGCCCGGGTATAAGCGGGCGTATATAAAAACAGCCGCATGCGGACATCCCTTAACGAGTTAATATATATAGAAAACGAAGGTATAGTGTTTTATGTGTCTTGTAGGCTTTATCTTTCAATTTTGAATATTAGAATATAATCAATATATGAAGAAATCCCTTAATGATGTTATTATAGTTTAAAAACAAGGCATATGCTATATATAAAAGATTTTATATCAAGTGGATTCCAATGAAGGGGATGACGTTTAGTGGGGGAAATCCAGACTCTCACCGCATTATGCGCCTGTTCTGTTTCTGTTTCTTCAGGTTTTTCTGGGTTTTTTTTCTTTTTTTCTTTTGTGAATTCATATAACATTGTATCCATTTCTGCAGGTCATTTCTTCAATATCTTTTTTTGGGAACACCCATGTTGGGTTAAAGGCCTTCTTCTTGTTCTTCCGGCTTCGGGTCGGAATTGTCCCTAATCTTCCCGAGATCTCATATTTGTTCTTCTTCATATAACGCCCTCAAAATGCCTTCAAATAGTATCCAGCGCCAGCATAAGGCATTCATTGCAAGTGTGAGTGCAATTCCTCTGTTTTTGCCCTTTTGATATTTGCGAGGGTTGCTCTACCGAGACATTGCGTATATGCGGGTTGATTTGGGATTCATTGATCTCTATTGAAGTATGAAATGCTTTAAAAACTGCGTTGCCTGAGTCGCAAAATGCCGAGCAAGTAGAGGCAAGAGCAATTTCACGGTACTACGTTTGGGGTTATAGCTTTTATCTTGTCTACCCATTTGTTTTCTTCTCTTTCCCACAACCCCCCGCAATCAAGCATTCTTACGATCATTACTTTTGTTTTTGTGAGAACGAGAAAGAAAACGAAAATGTTCGCTGTTAACTTTGATCCGCAGTCCGACGACTCGAAGATATGTGTTGTCATGGTAGGCCTTCCGGCCCGAGGCAAGAGTCTCATCGCCGGCAAGGGTAAGTGAAACCGCCATCCGGAACTCATTTATGTGAAACTGACCTGTGACAGCCATGCGTTATCTGGGATGGGTCGGTATCCCTGCACGTGTCTTTAATGTTGGCGGTTATCGCCGCTTCAACACTCCACAGCCACAGGCGGCCTTCTTTGATCCTCACAATGAAGAAGGTGAGCGTATGCGACGAGCTGCCGCAGAGGCTGCTATGGCGGACATGCTTCAGTGGTTTAACACCGGAAAGGGCGTTGTGGCTATCCTGGATGCTACCAACTCCACAAAACAGCGCCGCAAGTGGATCTATCAGAAATGCCAGGAAGCTGGTATTGAGCCTCTCTTTGTGGAGTCGATCTGTGACGACGAAGATCTGATCATGACCAACATCAAGGAAGTCAAGACGACATCCCCAGACTACAAGGGCCAAGACCCGGAAGTAGCTGCGCTTGATTTCCGAAACCGTATTCGCAACTATGAAAAGGTCTACGAGACCATCGATGATGAAGAGAAGCATTACACTTATGTCAAGCTTATCAACGTGGGGTCGACCGTCATCATCAACCAGATCAAAGATTATCTGTCCAGTCGCTTAGTCTATTACATCCAGAATATTCACATCAAGCCTCGCTCCATTTGGCTATCACGGGTAAGTCGAATATCAAACTTTACGGATCATTATTTTGAACGCTGGACTAACGAAAACATAGCATGGTGAATCCGAGTTCAACTTGACCGGTCGGATTGGAGGTGACTCCAACATCTCCGAGCGCGGTGAGGCCTACGCCCGCGCACTCCCCGAGCTAATGCGCAAGTCCGGTATCCCCGAAAATACCAAGATTGTGATCTGGACCTCAACCTTGCGACGCACTATTCAGAGTGCCCGTCACCTTAAGGCAGAGACTCACTACGAGACACTGGAGTGGAAAGCCCTGGATGAGCTGGACTCAGGCGTCTGCGACGGTTTGACATACGAGCAAATCGCCGAGAAGTACCCAGAGGATTTCGCCGCTCGCGATGAAGACAAATACAACTACCGTTACCGCGGTGGCGAGTCCTACCGTGACGTCGTTATTCGCCTTGAGCCTATCATAATGGAACTGGAGCGCAGTGAGAATGTCATTATCGTTACTCACCAGGCTGTCCTCCGCTGCATCTACGCTTACTTTATGAATGTACCACAAGAGCAGAGTCCCTGGATGGAGGTGCCTTTGCATACTCTAATCAAACTCACGCCTCGCGCTTATGGTACGGAAGAGCAGCGCTTCAAGGCTGATATCCCCGCTGTGTCGACCTGGCGTGGGAAGGGGACTTCGGCGAAACACCAGGAGTTCCATGCCGCGGAGAGTGGGAAGGGAGAGGGCACAGAGGCCAAACATTAGGGATATGTTGATCTGCATCGGCGCGGCGTCACCTGGATGTGATCGGAATTCGGACTGCATGAGATATTCAGATACCAAAAACATGGTTTGTTCTTTGATGATACGTTACATACTTTAAATCTATTCTTCAAGTCATGTTCCTCGCGGGTTTATCGTAATACTGATGCCTTATTGGAAAGGTGAAGTTCGTTTCGACATAGAAATGAGATTGCTAGACACCTCCAAACCACATGGGCAATTTCCAAGGTTAGGGACATCCTATTTCTCATTGAACTGCTTTGAGCATCAAACCAGTAGCCACCATTCTATTTCAAGCAGAGAAAACTTGCAGGTATGAACATCATAAGCCAAGATCCTATCGCAGTTGCTCCCAGGGCCCAGCCCACCTGCCCAGCCAGAGATATGCTGACTCAGGACTGAGTCAGCCCCGGACGTCATGCGGAGAGCTCCAGCAGGACCCCTCGAACCTCCAGTGGAAGGAATTGAAGACAGCACGCCCATGTTGTCAGCATTTACGGCGCGGCCGCTCGTGGAGCTCAAGCCGCGCGACAAGTCCCGTATCGAATCTGTCCTCGCCTACGGCGACCGCCTCCTTGCCGGCTTAAACAATGGCAACCTCCGCATCTACCGCGTCACCGACGACGGCAAGACCGAGCTCCTCCGCGAACTGGAGAAATTCTCCCGATACAAGATTGAACAGCTCGCTTTGATTAAGGAGGCGAACGTGCTGGTTTCTCTTTCTGGCGGTTATGTCTGGCTCCACGATGCGCAGTCCTACGAGCTTGTTGAACAGCTATCTCAAACGAAGGGAGCTTCCGTTTTTGCCATCACATCGAATGTCGTCAATGATCCCGATACAAATGTACCTGCTATTGTTTCCCGCTTGGCAGTCGCTGTGAAGCGGAAGATTCTTATGTGGGCGTGGCGCGATATGGAGCTGGAACGGGATACGGCCGAACTGAGCTTGGTTAGTGGGGTCAAGACTCTAACCTGGGTTGCTGCTACGCGGCTAGTGGTTGGGCTGAACTCGAGCTTTGTCATGGTCAATATTGAGAGTGGTCAGTTCACGGACCTGGCTGGGCCCGGCAGCATTGAGGAATCAGGCCGGTTCGGCGGCGTTGGTGCCGCGAGCATGAGCTATATTGGTATGGGAGGTATGGTACCGCGGCCGCTTGTGACGAGACTGCGTGAAGGTCAGATTCTTCTGGCTAAGGACATCAACACGAACTTCATTGATGTCGATGGCCAGCCTCTCGGTCGGAAGCAGGTGCCTTGGAGCCATGCTCCGGTGGAGCTTGGATACTCGTACCCGTTTTTGTTGGCTTTGCACGACTCATCCAAGGGTGTGCTAGAAGTACGGAATCCGGAGACACTGTCACTACTGCAGTCTATTCCGTTGCCGTCGGCTAGTATTTTGCACATCCCGCAGCCGAACATTAGCCTTGCCCATGCTGGTAAAGGATTCCTTGTGGCTAGTGACCGCACTATCTGGCGCATGGAAGCTCTGAGCTATGACACCCAGATTGATGCTTTGGTTGAGGGTGGTTATCTAGATGAGGCTATCAGCTTACTCGGCATGCTGGAGGATGCTCTTTTACGGGACAAGGCTGGTCGACTGCGCGCGATAAGACTTGAAAAAGCGCAGAGCTTGTTCGCCTTGAATAAGTACCGGGAGTCTCTAGATCTGTTTACTGAGGTGTCTGCGCCTCCGGAGAGTGTCATTCGCCTCTATCCTCGTTTAATTGCGGGCGAGCTCTCTACGGTCCCGGAGCCTGAAGCCCCAAATGGAAAGACGAGCGGGTCCCAGAGTGACGGATCGTCCGATGATGTTGCTGCTGGACAGGCATCCACCCACGCACCTTCTATTATATCTTCGGTGCGAAAGCCCGATGAAGGAAGTGAGGCTAGCAGTATCCGCGGAGACGATAAAGGTACGGCAAGCTCCCATTGCTTTTGAATCCGTGCTAACTCATTATAGGTCTTCGAATTGCTGTCCGCGAGCTACAAGGATACCTGGCAGATGTTCGCCGACGCTTCCAGCGCTTCCTCAACCCCGATGGAACCCTCAAAGCTGCTCCACCAAGCGAAGCTACAGATGAGGCAAGTGACTCGGTGCTTAAGCTGTTGGATTTCCCATCTGCCGACGAGTTTGCCTCACAAATTTGTGCCAAGGCACGGTTGGTTGACACCACTTTGTTCCGTGCACACATGTTCGCGACGCCATCATTAGCTGGATCTCTCTTCCGCATTGCCAACTTCTGTGACCCAGAAGTAGTGATGGAGAGGCTTGAGGAGACTGGTAGATATAACGACCTAATTGATTTTCTCTACGGCAAGAAATTGCATCGTCAAGCACTTGAATTGCTCCAGCGCTTTGGACAGACAGATAACGGTCCTCTAAGCGGTCCAACACGCACAGTCGCCTATCTACAAAATCTACCGCCAGACCAAATTGATCTGGTTCTCGAATTCGGAGAATGGCCGCTTCGTGCCGATCACGAGTTGGGAATGGAGATATTCCTGACCGACACTGAAAATGCTGAGACATTGCCCCGTTCGGAAGTTCTCGCATTCCTTGAAAACATAGACACCGCGCTTGCCATTCGATACCTCGAGCATGTCATTAATGAATGGAATGACATGACGCCGGACATACACCAGCGACTGCTCATCTTATATTTAGATCAACTCAAATCCAACAACGAGCAGGGGGAATGGAAGGAGAAGTTCCTTACGATGTTGAAAGAGAGCGAACAATACTCGCCAGCGAAGATGTTAGATCGGCTCGATCGAGAGGGTACGTTGCACGCTACTTCTGTGAAGCAAGCCATCACTGACATATCCAGATCCCAACTTCTACGAAGCCCGAGCTATTCTATTTAGCAAGATGGGCCAGCACCGACAGGCACTCGAGATTTACGTCTTCAAACTTGCGGACCATGAGAAAGCGGAAGAGTGAGTGATATATCATTTCCCCCAAAAGAGCAATTGCTAACCCCAGAAAGATACTGCAACCAAGTCCACCTCGCCGAAAAGGCCGAAGAAGAGAATTCCATCTACCTCACCCTCCTTTCCCTCTATCTCTCCCCACCTCACGGCTATGAGCCCCAAAACGACCCCGCGATTGACTTGCTAGCCAAGCACGGTTCACGCCTCCCAGCCGACGCCGCATTGAAACTCATACCGGACCAACAGGCCGTGCAGAAACTTGAATTCTATTTCAAGGGTCGCATGCGCGCCGCAAACTCTATTTTCAATGAAGCGCGCATCGTGGCAAACCTGCGTAAGGCACGGGATATGCAGATCCAAGCGCAGCTTGCTCTTGGCGAGGGCATTCGTGGTGGAGGCACGCGGGCTCGTCACGTCACTGTCACCGAGGAGCGAATTTGTGGCGTCTGCCATAAGCGTTTGGGCGGGAGTGTGATCAATGTTTTCCCCGAGTAAGTCGTTTCTGATTGCTTGTCTTTCTGGCCTGTTCATTGCTGACTTCTTTCCAGTGATACCGTAGTTCATTTGGGGTGTGCCAGTCGAAAACCCAGTGTTCGAGCTGGGTAGTGTGCATGCTCTCCATCGCATCCGCGGGGTCGTTCTTATTCATATCCTTTATTTTCCTCCTTTTTTTTGTCTTTTGGCTCGAGGCTCTCTTTCATTTGGTTTTTTTGCGTCGATGGAGGCTATCCCAGCGACTTTGATACCCATAGCATCTGCCCATTTCAAGATACATCATGGTTATGCGATCATGCATCATCCTCAATCACTTCCTCTCCGTAATTCTCTTCCTCCTTAGCTTCCTGTGCCGAGAGCTTGCCCTGCACCTTCTTGTCCTCTTCCATGCGTTCCGTAAGGAATGCGTTAATCTGGTCCTGCAGCTTGGGAACGAGCGACTGCAGCTCTGAGAGGTGGGCTTGCTTAGCAGCTAGTGTGCCGGTTGTGGTTGAAAACACATGTTCAAAGGTCTCAGTGGCTTGAGGGGCGGTGTAGACTGCATTCAGGCTCGTGTTGGAGGCCATTTTGAAATTCGACAGGGAAGTTGGGAAAATTGGGGGAAATTGTTCAGGAGGGGGAGAGAAAGAATGTCCCCAGTTATCGGTTACCGCCTTTCTTACCGCCTCGCTGATCTAAGCCCAACGTCGGGCCTTGGGCTCTTCCCCAGGACCCTATGTATGGCTGAATACGGACAATTATAGATTACCCTGATATGCTTCCTAAGGTCGGATCATACGGTAACATTGCCGAGGCTAATCTCTGTTGGGCTTTAATGAGACAGCAAGACCTAGTCTGCATTAGGCGTCCAGGGCTGTAAGAAGAAAAATTGTGGAAATTGGGAAACATTGAGAAAAATATGCCAAATAGGCCCAATACAAGTTCAAAGAACGACATAAAGCAGTGAAATGGTCTACAAATATAAATCGAAAAGCTATAAACTCTGTGATCACCAAGTCTCCGCATCTTAGATCTGAGATTCTGCCAGATAGAAGTCATAGAGGAAGGGATCGGCGACTTGCCTAGGTGTGGCTTTTGTAACGTTGTATGCAAAGAAAAACCTTCGCGCTTAAAAGATAACTCGCCTAAAAGAGAGAGCATGGATGATTCGCTATGAATCCTACCTTCCGATCCCCCAACTCGCCTGAGCGTCAGCGAGTACCTCCTGCCCCTCGATACCCCCGACCTCCATCTGATGACGAAGAGGACGACTCTGATGAAGACGAATTGGTTCGCCCCGGATCCTCCGGTAGTGACGCCTCTTCTAATGTGACCACCGTTTCCGCCGCTCCTGTCACTCCGATCAATACTCAACTGCCCACCGGTAGTTACTTCCCTCCACAACCACGTTCGGCCACTTCACCTCATCACCCTATGCCGAACCCAACAGGGCGAAAGCCCTCCGGCCGGGGTCCCTCTATAGAGCTACCCCGGCACCGATCACGGCATCACTCACAGGGTTTCTTTGAACCATCCTTGCCGACCACCTCCTCCGACCAGGCCCCTACTGTGTCAGCCTCGCGGATCGCCGCCCAGGCAGCAATGCAACAGATGAAAAGGCAACAAAGTTCTATGCCTCCGATAGAAGATGGTTCCCGTCCTAGGCGCAGCGGAAGCGCCTCACCTCCTCTCATGCCGCCTCCATTGCGTGTCAATCAACCCTCCCCGCAACCGCCTGCACCATCAGGGAACGTGGCTACAACAGCAGCGAATGTGGCGTTCCCGCGAGCCGGTGCCACGCCGATAGAACAACAGCCCGAGAAACAGAAGAAGAAGAAGCTTTTCTCAAAACCAAAACACATCGGAATCAGTCATAAAGATCTGGGCAAAGACCGTGCGCTTCCCTCCCCGAGCAAGATCAGTGGGTTATCGCGCATGGTCAGCGGCTCGACTACGAACCTAACCGACTTGTCGTCAAACAACTCATCGATGTACAACCTGTCCAATGCATCCGTGAGCACAGTCGTCCCCGCGGATCGTCAGCCACTTCCAGAGAAGGAAAAGGAAAAGGACAAAGACAAGGACAAGCACAAGCATCATTTCCTGTCAAGGCAGAAACTCAAATTAAAAGACCGTGTCGATGACCACTTCAACCTCCCTCTATCATCGGCTTCGAGTAATTCTCGTCCGGCAGACCCCAATGCCCCGCAATCTTTATACTCCTTTACACCTGCGTCTCCGGCCCCTGGGGTGACATTTGGCAAGTCGGTCAGTGGGCTGGATCTCCTGCATGGCGGCCGAGCACTGCGTGAGAAGAAGAAGGAGGAGAAGGCAATCGCCGAGTCGGAGCAGTTGGAATGGCTGGCCAACAATGCTGGTGCGCCCACGGCACCCGGTGGCTTCCCAGGTCCATCTTCAGTTGGTAGTTCGGGAACATTCCCCGATTCTATTCTCCGAGAGACCTTGCAAGGGTTTGGGTTGAATAATATGACCCCAGAGGATGCGTGGGACTTCCTTAAAGCGAAGCTGCTGGTCATCTTCGACGGCGAGGATGTGCGCATTGCTATTGAAGATCTCAACAAGCTGGTACTCGTTCACTTGCAGCGATGTGTACTCAAGAGGGCCCCTGCTTCTATTGTAATAGATCTGCAAGAACTTCTACACACTGGCTTTGCGACTTTGAATCACAGTTCGCTGGCTGGCCTCCCAGATGAAAAGCTGATCCCGCATCTGGTTCAAGTGTGGCTGCTGGTGTTTGGCACGATTCTGCCTTTCATCCAAGCTGTGTTTCTCCCCTTGGATCTCGAGTTCAAGGGGTGTGGATCCTTAATGACTAGCCGAGAAGCCGGTGAATTCTGGGGTGCATTGCCTGTTGGTGGGTCACTCGATGTACGAAGTCTAGTCTTGATTGCCTTCCGTGACTGCATTATCATGAACCGCTACGATGCTCTCAAAACAACCTTCTCCCGGCTCAGCCTAGACTCCATCAACACCGGATTCCCAACGCTCAGCGTCACAACTAAGAGTACCGGCACTGGAGCGCGTCCTGGCACTGCAGCCTCCCTCGACGCTGGCCTCGGTAGCTTCAACTCGCAGTCATCCACGCTTCTCAGCACCATCGCCGACAGTTATTCCTCCGACGGAATAAGCGCCATGGCCAACCACCCACGTCCAGCAAGCAGTGACTCTCGCAGTCGCGCTACCTCAAACACATCTTCCAACGCAGACCCACTTTTCTTCCAGTCCATCGCATCGCCTGCAACCTCCAACAGTCGACCCACCATCATTCACCGCGGCGCCGACTCCTCTCACGTTATCACAGAGACCGTCGGCCGCATGTTACAATGCATTAGTGTCCTGGCCAGCGTGCAAACAGCCGACGATGCCCAGGAGCGGATGGATGTTCTTAGCAAAGCTCTCAAACATAACTGGCTTGGCCGCGGCCGCACAGGCCGTGATCGTCGCGGCTTTGTCGGTGCTAAGATCCGACCTGTGATGGTCGGCGGTCCCCCTGTTATCGATGATACCGATTCTTTGACTACGGGTGGAATCAGCATCGGTGCTAGCACTAGTACAGGTGGATCCCGGGGGCGAGGTGACTCTTCATCGTCGGAATGGAGCTCCAATGTTCCAGGGCCTATGAGTATGCGTAGTGGTGGTAGACGAGAACTGAGTGTTCTCTAGTGTGTTTTTCTACTCGTTATGATTGTATGACGGCGGGTACTTTGGTAAAGGGGCGTTTTTAGTTTTAAAGGAATTGATATCCTGCGGGTTTGAACAATTACATCTATACAATTCTTACCTACCATTCTATAGTAAGAGGAATGTGTGTGAATCATACAATTTTTTTTTTGTATTTTGTAGTAACTAAGTAACTTTTTTTTGTAGGTTTTCTGTTTTTCCCCTTTTTTTTTTTTTTTTTTTTTTGTTTTTTTTTTGACTTCAATGTGAAGTAAAACCAAAAAAAAACTCAGAAAATTCTGAAAATATCTTAGGGTCCGGTCAACTGACCCTGGGGAAATTTTTGTTTTTTTTTTTTTTTTTTTTTTTTTTTTTTTTTTTTGTTTTTTTTGTGACTTCAATGTGAAGTCAAACCAAACAAAAACTCAGACAATTCTGAAAATATCGTAGGGTCCGGTCAACTGACCCTGGGGAAAGAACATATTCACCACCCAGGGGGATGGCGTCTCACCACGCCATCCCCCTCACACCCAAACCAGGGAGGGCTTACTTTGCCCTTCCCTTTCCCTTCACATCCACCCTGCCCGCGGCCTTCAGGACCTTGTATTGGCCCTGGCAGGCCGCGGCAGAAACCTCCCACCCAAGCTCAGCGGAGAGCTGCTCCGCGATCTGCGCGAAGCCGGCCTCATCCAGCTCGCCGTCGAACCCGGCGACGGCCTCAAGAAGGGCTTCCTATTCAAAAGTCAGTAAGAAGTAAGAAAATATCTCTTCACTTCCGAACAATAGGTTCGGAAGCGGGGGGTAAATACGTACATCGAAGCCGGGCCAGACACCAATGCTGTGCTGGATACGGTGCCAGCGTTTGGTGAGACCACGCGGGTTCATCTCCTCGCTGCCCGCGCCGAGGTTCGCATTCCAGGCCTCCGCGATGTCGCGCCAGGACATCTTGGTGGTCTGCTTCATCTGCGACATCATCTTGTCTGCGAACAAGGCGGTGTCCCAGGAACGGGGGGTTGGGTTGCCCCTTCCGACCTTGTTCGCAGACAAGATGATGTCGGAGTTGTGCAGACGGCGAGAGGAAGCAGCGGTATTAGCCCCAGAAGGTCCTGGGGTGGCACCTTCGGTCTTGGTGCTTGCTCCTGAACGACGGCTGGAGGATGGAGTAGCCGCGGGGGTAGACTGGCGGCTAGAACGGCCACGGGCAGCTGAGGAAGATGAGGGGGTGGTCTTCACCCGGGATGAGGTGCCGCGACGCTGAGTCGGGGCAGAGGCAGAGGTGATGGTTGATGGCCCTGGAGTTGGGCTCTTGGGTTCGATAGTGTATCGAGCACGCTTCCGGGCCGGTTCGTCGGATGCTTCATCTTCAGACTGCGTGGTCTGGCTTGATCCAGGTGCGTCCTGAGCTGGAGTGTTCTGGGGGGACAACTCAGGTGCGCCTTGAGCTGGAGTGTGGGGAAGAGAAGGTTCAGGTGCGCTCGATTCACGTGGAGAGGGTCCAAACTCGCCTTGAGTTGGAGTGTCGGGGAGAGAAGACTCGGGTGCATTCGATTCACGTGGCGAAGGTCCAGACTCGCCTTGGGCTGGAGTGTCGAGGAGAGAAGACTCAGGTGCACTCGACTCACGTGGGGAAGTTCCAGACGCGCTTTGAGCTGGAGTGTCGCGGAGAGAAGACTCAGGTGCACTCGACTCACGTGGGAAGGGTCCAAACTCGCCTTGGGCTGGAGTGTCGGGGAGAGAAGACTCAGGTCCACTCGACTCACGTGGGGAAGTTCCAGACGCGCTTTGAGCTGGAGTGTCGCGGAGAGAAGACTCAGGTGCACTCGATTCTCGCGGGGAAGGTTGGGCAGGACCGGGGGAAGCCAACTGCTCAGGGTCCATTGGCCGTCTTTCGGCCTCTGTGGTTTTCTTTTCAGCCATGTTCTTCTCGCGATTCCGTCGCTCACGTTCATGCTGTTGCCGAGAAAGCAGATGGGGGTAGTGACGAATGGCATGGGGGTCATTTAGGAAGTCCGCGGCGACTGGGTCATGCAATGCACCCAGCGCACGCCGGAGGTTCCTTATAAATGCCAAGATTCGTGCAAACTGCTCAGGAGTGTACTTACCCGATGGGTCAGAAGGCAGATCGGTACGGCCAACAGTTTGGACAGGGTTCATGGAGGAGGAGGGGAAGACCTCCGGGTCTTGGAATGGGGTTGTTCCTCCCATTGCGTATGGATCAGATGACTGAAAAGGGTCGCGGTGATCTGTGTCAGGGTCCCAGTCAGTATCCAGTGTAGGATCAATTGGAATGCTGGATCCCGGGTCAGATGGAGTGGAGAAGACGAAATCACTGAGTGGAGATCGATAACCCGAGTATCCAAATCCAAACGGACCTTCTACAGAGCTTGAGCGAGTTCGAGGAGAGTTGGGAGATCCACTGGTAGCAGGGATCTCCGAGGTGGGATGGATGCTAGTAGAAGTCTCGTCGAAGTCAGATGCAGGTCGACGAGATGTGTCGACAGGAGGATTGGGATGATCCATGTTGATGGGGACAAAAGGAGACTCAACAGATGATTCAATGATTTCTTTCAGCTGATCACAGTCAACAGTGGGTGACTGTGAAGGCTCAGTAATGGAAGACGAATCGTCGTTGTCAGAAGGATGAAAGAGGATAGATGGAAATGAGATAGATGGAAAAGAGATGGATGGAGTAGAGATGGATGGGGAAGAGATGGACGGAGGAGAGATGGATGGAGAAGGAAGAATTGGATGAGAGAGGAAAGGAGAAGAAATAATTTCGTGTGAGGGGACAGAAGAAGAAGGAGCAGGTGGGGGAGAAGCAATTGGGACAAAAGAAGAAGGAGCAGGTGGGGGAGAAACAATTGGATCTGGGGTAGATTCAGGTTCGTTGACAATAAACCTGACCCTACGCGTGCTACGAGTCGCGTGGGAAGGACTGCGTCGTGTCTTGTGGTGGGTTGACCACAAGTTTCAACCTCAGGACATGAGTCTCATCCGTAGATTCGTCAGATCTCTTCTTCAATGTGAGTTTAATCTTTGGTTTAGTAGGAGAAGGCACAGATGAATTCTTTGGATCCGACATTGTCGCAGATTGCTGGCAGTCGACGATGCTACAAACGTTTCTATGACTATGAAATTTTTGTTTATATACTGGGCATTGCATTTAATTTTTTTTATTTTTACGAGGTAATCATCATATATTGGCATAATAAACACTGGGCTTAGTGGCAAACAGAAGGATGGAGGTGAAGTTGTATACTTCACTTTATACAAATAAGGGACGGATCTTGAAACCTTAAAGCTTAAAAGTGGACCAATCCCCAATCTTTCATCTGTTCCACCTGCAAAAGGCTGTAGAGGATGTATTCACCTTTTCTTCTTGTTCTTGTTCGAACTTATTGAAGTAAAACTTCCTTTAATGTCCCTTTTACTCGCACGTATCATACATCTTTTCACATAACAGGGACTTGAACCTTGACTGACGGATGTTCATGGTTTCCCCACTGTACCAGCAAGGTAACCATCTAAGCTTTCGGAGATCGTCCCTTGATCCAAATCTAAAGGTAAATAGACTGTTAGGACTTCATAAAGTACTAGAGTAGAAAACGGATGCGAGGATATAATGTACCAATAGTGAAATCCTGTTGCCAATAATCTAAAATCTTCTACCTAGTCTCAGGCAAATTTCCGACATATGAGATTCTTCCCTGTCTTACTTCTCCACTCTGGTTGATGGATTCTTGGTTAGACGACGGTGACCACTGTATAACGATATTTTTTCTGATACACAATTCATTCTGTTTCTTCGCGCTTTCCGTTGTAGGCTTAGGATTCTTGGCACTGGCACGTTAGATCGAGTAGTGACAGGCATGGTGTGGGCAAAAGGGCTGTCTTTAAATGTTTCCACCTGACCCACTCATATCGCGCTAAATTAAATTAGGTCGAAGGTTCTCATGTTATGTCAAAGCCTAATGCAAGCAATGAAGTATAACAGCTAAGATATATGAAGTATAAATACTAAGGTTAAGTCAAAATCAGTTTAAGGGGATTATTAAAACAATCCGAGTGTGAGTCGTTCCCTATACGAAAGACCTAGTAAGGATAAAGTCCACTATGTATCACCTTTCCCAACTTATCATTCTAATCGAATTTACATCACTATTTGTACAGTACACATAACTTCCAATACAATCTCACTGGTTCTTAGGCCCGTTGTCGGTTATTGTAGACTGACATCTTAGTTTTAACATCGCCCCTAAGTTTACTGAGTTGAGAACCACATACTCAAGTAAAGCTCTACAAGCTAGACGCGAGGTCCCGGATGTTTCAAATGAGCAGTTCGCGATTTACCAGTTTCCTTAATTTCGAAGGAGAGAAAGTCGTAACTTTCGAAAGCAAAAGCATTATACACGAAATGTATGTCAAATCATTGTAGATGGTGATTGGATATATTTTCTATTCTTGCATTCTGAAGAGATGATATTGAGATGTCTCAGTTCTCGTATAGCGGCACATGAATGATCTACATTTGCTTATATTAAAGACCCCAGCTAAGAGATGTAGCGGATAGGGACAGTGTTTTTGATGCTTCTATACTTCTAGTTCTAGATTATTTCATTTGATAGGGCCGGTGGTCCTTCCTTCGGGACTAGTAAGTATATCGGGATTTCAGCTCCTAGGCGAGATGGTGTCAGTCTAAAGCAGACAGTGTCGCAAAGTATCTTTGAAAACTAGTTTCTATGTCCTGTCATTGAGATTTCCAGTAAGACATTATACATATCTGTAGGTGGTACAGGGATTAGATAGAACATAACGAGTTACAATAATATGTCTAGAACTGTTCAAAGAAGAATGTTCATGCTGGCGCTTAATATGAATAGTAGATTGGTCAGGATTTAGACAGAGCATTTAGGCCCAAAGACTGGGCAGTTTAATAATAAGTACACCGTATATTTACAACCAGCACATAGATTCGTGGGGCCGGTTGATTGGCTTCAGAGCTGCAGCCTGCGCTGCGTATCGTGATGCCTCTCTCACATAAAATGCGTCTCACCCACAGTGCCATTCTTCTTCTTCTTTGTATTTTTGTGTCTTAATTTTCCTTTCATTTCACTATTTAATCTCGTTTCCCCCCAACTTTGAATCATTAACTCTCTTGAACTTTCCCCTCAGCTGACGGCTTCAGCCGCATGCAACCTGCAGCTTACAGCTTACAGCTATGGATCCCACTTCTACCCCAGTCGAGCCCAAAGATGAAGTTGTTCCAGACAACTTGAATGGCTCTGCCCAATCTACAGATGTCAAAGATGTCAAAGAAGTCAAAGATGCTGTCGCCCCCGCATCCGAAACTACCCCTGCCTCTGCCCCCAAACTGTGCAAAAAACATAAAAAGAAGAATAAGAAAAAGGAAGAGAGTGATAGCTCCTCTGAATCTTCTTCATCTTCAGAATCGGACAGCGATGCCGACTCTGAGGAAGAATCCGATTCAGAGAGCGACTCAAATACCGAGAAGCGCAAGCGACGGCTGCGAAAGGCGCGTGCGAAACGTGCGTTGAAGGATAAGAAACGTCGTAAGAAGAAGAAGCAACGGTCGCGCAAGGTGGAGTCGTCCGATTCGGAATCCGATTCTCCCTCTGAGTCAGATTCGGCATCTTCTACTGATTCCGATGACGAGATAGATGACAAGGCCTTGCGGAAATTAGTCACAAAGCTCAAACTTAGCAAAAAAAGAGCTAAGAAGTTGCGTGAACTGGCTTCGGAGGACTTGGCTGCCAGTGATGCCGTGGGTGAAACTCGCCGGGAGAAACGGTCGAAGAGGAAGAAGCCCGCTTCAAAGGTGGCTTATAAGCGTGTAGATCAATGTAAGTTGATTCCCTTCTCAAATTGCATGGGCCTTGCTAACTTGTTACAGTATGGGATACCACCATTCACAAGTACAAGCTCACTGAAACGGTGGATGACCCCGATGCCGACGAATGGGATCAGTACATCTTCAACATTCGTCGTAAATTCAACTGGGAAAACAAGTACCTCGAGACTGTCGTCGATATCAAGAGTAAACCCCTCCGCGATGCCCTCTCCAAAATCATGGACGGTGTCAAGGGCGTCAGTCTCGTTCAGGAACCCGCCGTCGTCGATCCAAACATGCTGTTCTTGTATCTGGAGGAAACAAGGCAGTACATGAAGGATCTGAAGAAACAATCACGCAACGAGAAGAAGAAAAAAGCCAGAAAGATCGCTGCAACCAAAGCTTCCCACCTGAAGGTCCTGATCAAATACCTCGATACCGATTACGCAGACATCAAGAAGACCCTCTACCCTCTCCTCGAGGCTAACACCATCACATTCGATCTACTGTGGGCGTTGTACAAGCCAAACACCATCGCCTACACCCCAACCTACGGTAGTTCCGATGAACCCCGAGCTTTCAAAATCGAGTACGCCATCAAAGAGTCCTCCTTCATGAAAGGTCAGTGGTACAGTGTCGACGGCCGCTACCTCGAGTACGACGGCAAAGACTACGGCTTCGGCACGATGTCCGCCGAAGTCGACGCCTTCAAAGGCGCCCGCAAAATCACAAGTCTCGCCTGCTACCCACTGAAATACCACCGCGACGCCGAAGCTCTACGAGCCCGTCTCATCGAACGCGGTAAACGCTTCGTCGCCCTCCGCGGTATGAACTACCGCTTCCACAAAGGTATGGCCTTCTACAAGAAAAAGCGCTCCCTCATCATCAAGGTCAACATCAACGGCCGCGTTATGATCGACCCAGCCATCCACCGTCGCATCAACCCAAACTACCCCATCTCTACCGTCCGACCCAAAGACCCGGATCTAATTGACCCGGAGGATCTCGGGGTGAGCGATAATGAAGGCGACGAAAGCGACGGCTGCTGCTGTGCCTCCGACTCCGACTCCGAGCACGGCGGTGCCTCCGACACCCCACGGACGATGTACAAAGTCGTCGAAGACACAGACGGATGTCCTCGCGTCGTGGAGGTCGAAGTCGACGAGAACGGCGCGGAAATCCAGAAAGAGAAGATGGATCGCATTGAGGGCGCCGCTGATACCAAGGAACGCGAGTTCACCGAGGAAGAACTCCTCGTCGCATCACCAGTCGTGCTGGGCTTTGCTTTCAGCGAGAAACTCTGGCTCGAGTTCACCATCTCTGGTATCAGTGATATCGAATGGGATAAGGAAGCCTTTGGCTCGCTCGTCCTCCCCGCAAACCAAAAGTCCATCGTCAAGGCCCTCGTCGAATCGCATACTTTCAACGCAGCGCAGAACATCGACGATGTCATCCAGGGTAAGGGTAAGGGTCTTGTTGCCGTGTTGCATGGTCCACCCGGTACGGGTAAGACCCTGACGGCAGAGGGAATTGCGGAGCTCCTCCGTCGCCCGTTATATATGGTCTCCGCCGGAGAACTGGGTACAGACTCTCGGACGCTGGAAGCGGAACTGAACAAGATCCTGGATATCGCCCATTCGTGGGGTGCTGTGCTTCTTCTCGACGAGGCGGATGTGTTCCTCGAGAAGCGCACTATCCATGATATCCATCGCAACGCGCTTGTCAGCATCTTCCTCCGTCTGTTGGAGTATTTCCAGGGTATTCTGTTCTTGACTACTAATCGGGTTGAGACGTTCGATGATGCGTTCCAGTCGCGTATCCATGTCGCTTTGCGGTATGGCGATCTTACTTCCAAGGCGAAGAAGAGTATTTGGAAGATGTTCTTGGAGCGTGTGCGTGCTATTGAGGGTGTGCATATTGCGTCCTTCTCTGAGGAAGATTATGATATGCTTTCTAGACATACGTTGAACGGGCGACAGGTATGTTTACTAATTATATCCTATTCTGGTATTGAGACTAACTGATTTACAGATCAAAAACTCTGTTCGCACTGCTCAAGCCCTGGCTGTCAATGAGAATGCGCCGCTCTCCATGGAGCATATTAAGCGTGTGCTAGAGGTGGCTGAGACTTTCGATCAAGATCTGCGTGGTGGAACGGGATACCTGGATGCCATGCGGAGCTATACTTGATTATTTCTCTTGGGAAATTTGGGTACTTGACTATGAAGATCAGTGCAGATCTGGTATTGAGCTTGCTATTTACTTTTCCTTTCATTGTTTTTCATGATTGCTGTTTTCGGTTTATCTCAGGTACAGATTCTTCAGTTACGACGTCTTGGTTTCTTTTGCATTGCGGACATGGAGTGAATGAGTTTAGGTAGTCTCAATACATGATAGTTGAGAATGAATACAGCTACAAGTCAGGATCGTAATGTAGACCGATTTATTATAATGGATTATCGATCTAGTAAAGAACAATGTCATACACTTTCATTATAGCACAAACAAAAGTCACGACGAGATATGGATGGTTGTACATGGAACTTTTCAAGGGTTGGCCTTGACGAAGTCAACACCCTTCTGGATGTTCTTCTTCAGGTCAGCCAGGCAGGCATCGAGGAGACCCTGCTCGTACTCGTTGACCTCGCCAACAGAGTTGATCTTCTCAACACCGTTGGGGCCGAGCTCGACGCGGGAAGCGAAGAAGTCGATACCCTGGTCCTTGTACAGAGGGGAGTCGACGAAGGTGGGCTCAATGACACCCTTCTCGCCCTGGGCGGCGCGGAGAAGAGACTCAGCGAAGCGGGCACCGGCCATGGCCATGGAGAGGGTGGCGGAGCCGGCACCGTCCTTGGCCTTGACAACCTCGTCACCACCGAACTGGATGCGGTTGACAAGAGCATCGCGGGCCTGGCCGGCAATGGAGGAGTGGTTGGACTGCGAAAGCAGGGGAACGATGGTCACACCGGAGTGGCCACCAACGACGGGGACAGCCTCATCGGCGGGGTTGGTGCTCTGGACCTGCGAGATGAAGCGCGAGGCACGGACGACGTCAAGGGTGGTGACACCGAACAGACGCTTGGGGTCGTAGACGTTGCGGGCCTTGTAGACCTCGGCAACGATGGGAACGGTGGAGTTGACCTTTTTAACGATGAATAGTTAGTAGGGTATCTTAATTGAGATGATTATTGATGATTATTGCGACTTACGGGGTTGGCAATGACCAGGACGTGAGCCTTGGGGGCAGCCTCGGCAGCGGCCTTAGCAAGGTCGCGGACGATGGAGGCGTTGGTGTTGAAGAGGTCATCACGGGTCATACCGGGCTTGCGGGGAACACCGGCAGGGATGAGGATGATCTCGGCGCCGGAAAGGCAGTCACGGAGACCGGAAGCATCGGGGTTGTAACCAGTGACGGTGCTGTTGGTGTTGATGTGGCTCAAATCAGCAGCGACACCTGATCAAAGTCAGTAATTGGATTGTGTTGAATTCGAAACATCATCATACCGGGTCCACCGCGGATATCGTAGAGAGCGAGCTCGGAAACACGGGGGTTGAGCTTCAGCAGCAGGGAGAGAGGCTGGCCAATACCACCGGCGGCACCGAGAACGGCGACCTTAGAGGCCTGAGGGAAATAGTTAGCTCAATTGGAAGAGAAAATGCATCTGCTTTCACGGACATTGATAGCGGAGGCCGAGAAGGCACGCTTCTGGAAGAGGTTGACAGTGCGACGAGCGGCGAACATGATGTGATATTCGGTGAGGATGTGGAAAGAGAAGAAGAGAAGGAGAAGGAGAGATTCCGGTGAAAGAGATTGGCTGGGGCTCCACAACAGTTTCCGTCCTCCCGAGCTCCCGATGGTCGGCTGAGGTTGTTATGTTCAATTGTTTTGAAATTGTTTAGTTTTATTCTGTTTATTAGATGAAATTTAGAATGAGAATGTCTCTAGGATTCAAATGATATCTAATTTCATGCTATTCTGGGAATGTACTGCTGTGTCGCAACATTTTGCCTAGCTAGGTAATTAATTTCATGTGCCAAAGGTACTAGAAACTATTTTACATGAGATATTTGCTTGAACACTTCAAATATATCCAAATCTTTGATAGGAACCTCAATGTCTTGAAATGACCAGCTTATAGGTAATTGAAAGTGTAACTGGTATATGTTCGGAGTAACATAGGCCAAGTTCTAATTTCCAATAGTCCCATGTGATTAAGAGTAATTCCCTTGTCTCGAAGCTAATGAACTATAACTGCAGGTAGCATATACAGCTCACATATATATATATACATTTACAAATACCACACTCCCCAAGATAACACACTTGATTGGCAATAAGGACATCAACTGCAAAGACCAAACGCCGACGCTGATGAACCCAATACAAGATACAAAACCACGTCCTACCCAGGTGAGCCCCGAGAACTCTCGCCAGCTCCCAAAATAACCGAGGTAGAAAATAAGAACACAGAGTGATATAACCCTAGCGCAAAAAGTGCAGTACTGCCCAGCAGAACAAGAAGAAAATCACCACTCCACCCCAGAAAATCCACTTATCCTGACGTGCCCGCCGCTCCACCATCCGGATTGTATCACCGCTCACACCGAGTGTGTTTGCGACGCTGTATAGTCGACGCTGTGTTCCCTTGAGTACTTCACGCTGCTGCCCTAGATCAGCAAGGACCGCTCTTCCTCGGTCCAGGAAATCATCGAGTTGGTTATGTGTATTGGAGAAGAAGGACTGCTCGCGCAGCGCGGCGGTTTCGCGGTTATAGTCTGCCGGGCCAGCGCCAAAGCTGAGGCTAGAGGATGAGGGACCAAAGGCTGAGGTGCTCTGTGGAAGTGAAGACTGTGCATAGGGATTCTCTGGTGTTGCGGCGTGGTGTGGGCGACGGCCTAGGAGTTCATTGTGGTTGGCAACCGATTGCTGGTACTGGGTCAGTATTGGAAAGACTCTGCCAAAGGATTGATCAAAACATACTGCATCCTCACGTTCTTTGCGGAGTCGATCGAATTGTGTCCGATAGTCTGCGAGCTCATTTCGGAAGTTTTTGACGCGGTCGAATGCCTTTTGTTGCTTCTCGGGAATTAGTTCCTTCTTAGAAAGCGCTGAGTAGTCATCAACGGTGCGGGAAAGCGATGCTAAGGAGGCTGCAATCTGGCCTAGAAGCTTCAAGTCAATATATTGGCTTGCAAAGAGTCGGTGGTAGGAGCGCACCTTGTAACGCGGGCGAGGAGGTAGCTGGTGACTGTGAAAAAGTGTCCAGATCACGGCGGATGGACGATGATTGCTTTAAAGCAGAGTTGAATAGCGAGTTCTGTTCATGTCAGCTGTGTAAACCTCTCGCGGGGAACTGTAATATACCATGTTGTCAATGCGGCGAACGGCTTGTATAGATTGGACTCTTGGATTGCTTGTACACCCGGCAGTCCTAGAAAATGGAGCACTGGAACTGAGAATGGGATGAATAAGAGATGGCAAGCTCCTGAGCTAGTGGATTTATTTCCAACCGAGGTGGACATCAACTGATCCAACCGGAGGCCAGATGGTCTTGTTTGGCCCATTCTGACGTAGTTCACCGCCTTCAGGTACGAGCATTTTATACAACAATGACATACGGAGTACACCTGCAAGCCCTCGGGATATTTTTAGATTCTACATTATCCTAAGTTCGAGGTGATCGCTACTATGTAACAAGCTATACTTTACTAGGCTGTTACATGTTACTGTTACTAGCTTCAAGGAAAATGATATCGTCGTTAAGGTACTGGTACAGTCAATCCGATCCGACTCCATTTTCGCCAAATGAACATAATGCAAACCACAGAAGAGCTGGGATGGTATATCAAAACATAAAGCAATTAGGCAACACCAAAAATAACAGATGAAACAATACATCTATTTGGGAGGGAACTTGTTCTGCAAGAACCACCTAAACCATGGGTTAGCATCATTTGCATACTCACAAGTCCAAAGTTATATGCAACACTTACTTGCTGACAAAGTAGTCCACCGCACCAAAGATTCCAACAGCACCAGCAGAGAGTCCGACCATCTCCCAGGAGAGGTTGCCCCGCGCGTGTTGCTTGTAGGCACCGAAGCCGAGGCCTGCACCGACCACAGTTGCGATAGCAGCATTGGCGATGAATACAGGGTTGGAGCTGTTTTCACAGATGCCACTGCTCTTGACCTTCTGAGTCTTGGCCCTCTTCTTCTTTTCCTCGGTCTCGCGCTTCTCCTTCTCCTTCTCCTCGGATTCGCGCTCTATCCGCTCTGCCTGGGTGGTGGTTTGAACATCGTTCTCGAGGAAGCCAGACTCTACAGTCTGCACATGGGGCCCATCGACGTCGATCAACGAGGCCGTGCTCTCGGATTCATCATGATAGACTCCGCCCACAGGGGGAGCGCGGCTGTTGGACATGTTAGATGTGTGTCAATAATACTAGATACTATAGATAACTCACGCCTATTAATTGTTAGTTCTGAAATATAGATAGGCTTGAATCCATGTACTTACATCCTCAGGGGACTGCTTGGGGCCCTTTGCAGCTGCGTCGGCGTAAGACATGTTGGTGAGGGTATTTGAAGGTAATGGATCTAGAGAAGGTAATGGGTCTAGAGAAAATCCCGGCTAGGAAAAGAAAATATGGCAAAGGGTTACCAGAAACGTGTGGGAAAGAAGGAGTTTGAGGGGAAGAGAACGGATTTATACCAAGGAAGCTGGGGGTGTGACATCATTGACCTATCTGGGCCCACCCTGGTTCTATGGGGGGTTTAATTTCCGATCTCACATTTACCTATAGTAGGATGATATGACTCTGATATTCTAGGAAATGTTTCTATTCTAAAACACATATATCCTGTGAATAACTCATTCAACTTAGTTAAAAGATATGGGAAATGCTCTTGATTCAACCCTCGAGCCCCTGGCCTCAGCCACTTACGTGATTTCAAAAACATTAAAAAGAAGTTGTGAAAAATTCCATTGGGAGGATTTAAAGCTGCTAAATAGATCAAAAACAAATGGGACCTATGGAATGGTCTAATGGGGGAGGCAAGGTGTTTTAATACAGATTACAGATAAGTCAGAACGAGAGGGCTTCGCTATTTACAGCAGAAGCTCCAGAGGGTTCTCGACGACCTTCTTCAGCTCCTTGATCCATTCACCGCCAACGGCGCCGTCAACCACCTTGTGGTCGAAGCTACCGGTGACAACGATCTGGTCGTCCCACTCGGTAACGGTGCCCTCCTCGGTCTCGACGGGGATAGCGACCTTGCGGGTGGTGCCAACAGCCAGGATACCGGCCTGCGGGGGGTTGATGACAGCGGTGAAGCGCTCGACAGCAGGGTTCATACCCATGTTGGAGATGGTGAAAGTACCACCCTGGTATTCCTCAGGCTTAAGCTTGTTCTCACGGGCACGCTTGCCAAGGTCCTTGATCTGCTTGGAGATGCTGGAGAGTCCGAGACCCTGGACGTTCTTGACAACGGGGGTGATCAAACCAGAGGGGGTAGACACAGCGACGCTGATATCAGCGGTGTTGTGCTGACGGATCACGGCCTGGCCGTTCTCCTCGCGCCAGCTGGAGTTAACCTGGGGGACCTTCAGGAGGGCAACAGCGCATGCCTTGACCAAGAAGTCATTGACGGAAAGCTTGTACTGACCCTCAGCGGAAGCGTTCAGGGCCTGGCGGAGCTTCAAAAGCTTGGTAACAGAGAGAGTAGTGGAGACGAAGTAGTGGGGGTTCTCGGCCATGGACTGCTTAAGACGGTTGGCAATGGTCTTGCGCATGGAGCTGACAGGAATCTCTTCGAAGGGGGCCTCGCCAGAGACAGCAGTGGCGGCGGGCTTGGCCTTCTCAACGTCCTCCTTGGTGATGACACCACCACGACCGGTACCCTTGAGGCCATTGATGGACACACCCTTCTCGAGGGCCAGGACCTTGGCCGCAGGGCTGATAGTAGGCTCGCGGTCAAGACTGGGCTGGAGCTTCTCGCCGGAAGTCTCAGGCTCCTGGGCGGCGGGTGCCTCCTCAGCGGGGGCCGGGGTTGAGGGCTCGGCGCTCTTAGGCTCCTCCTTCTTCTCAGCAGCGGGGGCAGCCTTGTCACCACCGGCATCGGCCAGGGTGAAAGACTCAAAGGCAGAAACATCCTCACCCTCCTCAACAAGGACGGCAATGGGCTATAAGGCAAGTCAGATTCATGGAACTTCACGGAGTAAAACCGGGAAATTTCTTACCGAGCCAACGGAAATATCCTTCTCGCCGCTCTCCTTCAGAACCTTAGCCAGAACGCCCTCCTCCTGGAACTCAAAGTCCATCTGTGCCTTGTCGGTCTCAATCTCTACCAGGACATCGCCGGGCTGGAGGGTATCGCCGGCATGCTTCTGCCACACGCCGATGTTTCCGGCGGTCATTGTCGGCGAAAGAGCCGGCATGCTGATGATTGTGTGGGGAGGGAAAGCTATGGGCAGGCATATTAGAAATGTTGTGTGGGACAAGGGGATATATCAATTGTCATACACTTGGAGGCATAGAAGCGGGAAAGGGCAGAGAGGGCAGGCACTTGGGTCCTAGTGGAAACATCATCAGTATCAACCCACAATCACAATTGATATCAATTAAACTTACTGGATCACCTCCTGGAGCTTGGAGGAGACCTGGGGCCGGCGCATAGCGGCAGCACCTCTAGACATGAACATGGCGCTCGGGGTGCGCATCCGGATAGCTGACGCAACCATGGTGCCTAAGACTTGCTGTGATTATAGAAGAAAAAGAAATAAAGGCCCTTAACGCTGAGATGAAAGAATAAAAAGATCCCGGCACAGAGAAAACGTGGAAGGCCAAGAATGGATAAGGTTGGGGTGGAAGAAGATGCCTCTAAATCACGAACTTTTCTGTTGAGCTACCTGTGGCTCCCGGTGAGAGGAGCGGCAGCGGCCTCTTCCGATATAGTCACGTGTTGTAATTTACCTTTCCAGCTGGCTTTTTTTCGGGGACTAATGACTAATGCCGCTCTCACCGCCTTAGGTATACATCAAAAAAGGACATTGAAAAGCTTTTGAAAACAAACTCAACCTAGGAGATATTAACTCAAAGATAACTTATCATTATAGGAAATATTCCCACTTGTACCACCTCAAAATATCCTATTGCAAAAGGGTTCATGATATGTATGTAGGATCGATAGTACATAGATACAGAACCAGACAGGCAGCGTTCTGCCAGACAAAAGCGCCGGTGAAAACCTTGGGAATCTCCAGAGGCCCCCCGACATCCCAAGGCGGCCAATCCTTTAGCTGAGGTAAGCATGCATTAGTCCCGATTCGGAGAAGACACGCAGCCCCCGTCCTTACATGTCATTGCGATTGTTTCGAGCTTCCCCACGTTTGCTCGTTCAATGTTTCTGATCTAATTAGATCACTCCGCCCGGAGTCTACTTGACCATGGCGGACACCGACCCCGGCTCCGAGCCGACCCAACCCATTGAAATGCCTGAGAAACCCGTCGAGACCCCCGACGTATCTCCTACAGTACCAAACTCCGACGAGCCAACACTGCCCGAGCAGACTGAATCACAAGAATCCAGCCAGGAGGGCGATAAGGAAGTAGCTGTGGGCCAGGAAAATGAAGAAAAACCGGAGGTGCCACCCAAGGACGAACCTGAACAGGCTGAAGAACCCCAAACAAACGGTCCGCCCACGATCCAGGAACCACCCCAGGAAGACAACAATGCAGCAGAAAGCAGGCTGCGATCGGATTCGCGGTCAACAACTGCTACGTTTATGACCCAACGATCCAGCCCAGTCAGCTCGACGGTCTTTATTGTGACGGCTCTGGACAATATCGCCGCCTCGCGGGATGCCCGGAGGGACAAAAAGCTGGAGGATGCCACACAGGTCGCCCTGGCCAATATTAGGCAACCCGATGGCCAAGCGATTGATCCAGAGTTGATCTTCCGCCCTCTGCATCTAGCAAGCAAAGCCCTCAGCATTCCTCTCCAGGTAACTGCATTGGACTGCATTGGAAAGTTGATCACATACTCCTATTTCGCATTCCCATCCGCCGAGACACAGAACAAAGACACCCCCGAACAACCTCCACTTATTGAGCGTGCTATCGATGCGATCTGCGACTGCTTCGAGAATGAAGCGACGGCGGTTGAAATCCAACAGCAAATCATCAAATCGTTGTTGGCTGCGGTCCTGAACGACAAGATCGTCGTGCATGGAGCTGGTCTCCTAAAAGCCGTCCGCCAGATCTACAATATCTTCATCTACTCCAAATCCAGTCAGAACCAACAAATCGCTCAGGGGTCGCTCACACAAATGGTCAGCACAGTATTTGATCGAGTGCGGACACGGATGGATCTTAAAGAGCTCCGAGTGCGAGAGCTGGAAAAACCATCCTCGGGCCTCGATGCATCGGCAAGTGACGTGGGCCAAATCTCGGAGGCGGCTTCTGTTTCTGTGGCTGATCAGCCCGTGACCAAAGAGCCTACCGCCGAGAAGCTCACCCTACAAAGTTTCGAGTCGCCTAAGGAGGTTACCACAGTCAATGACAACGCGCCGACTACGGTCACGCGCGCTAAGCGGCGTTCAACGACGAGGTCAATGTCAGGAATCCCGGAGGAGAGAGATGATGATAGCTCGGCCGAGGACGATGTGGATGAGATTTATGTCAAGGATGCTTTCTTGGTTTTCCGAGCGCTCTGCAAGTTGAGCCATAAAATTCTGACTCATGAGCAGCAGCAAGATGTCAAATCCCAGAACATGAGGTCGAAGCTACTTTCGCTGCACTTGATTCACTATCTGATCAACAACCACACCGCAACCTTTTTATCCCCTCTGGCAGCAATCAAGAACAGCTCATCCAGTGTGGATGGAATGAATCTCCTTCTAGCTGTACGGCCGCATTTGTGCCTAAGTTTAAGTCGCAATGGTTCTAGCGCCGTGCCTCATGTCTTCAAAGTTTGCTGTGAGATTTTCTGGCTGATGCTGAAGGACATGAGAGTTATGATGAAAAAGGAACTCGAGGTGTTCTTAAAAGAAATCTATCTGGCCATTCTGGAGAAGCGCGGCGCTCCTGCGTTCCAAAAGCAGTACTTCATGGAGATTCTAGAGAGACTAGGTGGTGATCCACGAGCTCTGGTTGAAATTTATCTCAACTACGACTGTGACAGGACCGCACTGGAGAATATCTTCCAGAAGTATGTGTTACTGAATTCTTGCTCTTCTTAGACGTGAACTAACTTCCTCAGTATCATCGAGCAATTGTCCCGGTACTCGAGTGTGCCGGTTGTAACAACATCTTCTCAGCAACATCAGTACCAAGAACAGCACACTAAAATGTCTATTGGTTCCGAATGGCACCATCGAGGAACTCTTCCTCCTTCATTGACAAGCGCCCACATCGTCCCTACCCCGCCGCCTCCAATGCCTCACATTCCATCGGAGTACGGATTGAAGCAGCAGGGTCTAGAGTGCCTTGTGGAGATATTGCGCTCATTGGACAACTGGGCTACACACCGCATGGATGAACAGCCCGAGGCAGCCATTCCCTCTAAGTC